GAGGGCGGCAGACTGGCGTAGGCGTTCGAATTGCGCTTGAAATCCCGGCCTGCTGCTTGCTGCTCCTTACTGCTCATCTTGGTGCATTGCCGGCTGCCACAGCTGATTGGTCCTGCCGGCAGTGTTGGACAACTTTTAATTCGTTCCTGTAAAGGATAACAAATAGGGTTGGTTAGCATTTCACATTTAAAATTGGAGCAATACTATTGTTATCTTTTATATAGTTTTTAAATAAGGAACATCTTATCCGAAAAGTATGCAGAAAGAGAAAAGCAAGTAGGAAGGCGAACCAGTGGCAATTAACTCATTTCCCTTTCTTTCTAAAACAAACTCTGTAGAGAACCAGTGGTGATTATTCACTTGCATCAAGAACGAAATAAAAAACGTGTTAGACGAAAAGAGTATTCCATCACAACAAAGTCCTGAAAGTTAGTAAAAGATCAAAGAGTCCAGATATACTTCTACTTTAAAACGTTAAATAAGTTAGTAAAACATATTAACAGTGTTGTTGCTACCCATCTAAACATATCATAAGAATGAAAACATTATTAAATAAGAAAAAGGCAATAGTCCCTCCCATTTCCATTTTTGCAGAACATTTTAAGTGAAAGTTATTTAAGTGCATAACAAGATCCTAATAAAAACCTTTTAATAAAGTTTGACTCATTCAGATATTTCGTAATCGTGACTAATTCGGGAGTGACTAATATTTATTTATTCAAATTAATTGACTGAAATGGATTTCTTAATAGAGTTTATTCTTCAAACATACTAACAAGAGCGAAGATTATTTGTTCTGGCTATAAAAATCATTAACTTACTTGTACTAAACCAAACGAGTTATTTTGTTGGAAGCATACAACTTAATAACCAAAGCGAGAAACCATAATTAGCGAAGAAGAATGCCAATAAAATGTGTTAAAACGAGCTTGAGAAAATGAAAAGATGATTCTCCAACAATGTGCTTAAATGGCATACAAATTTAGCGAAACCTAATTTTTTTATAAGTAATCCAACCCTAGATATTAGGACATATGTAACTAAGTACCAGATAAAAATAGATGCTTCGGTTAATTTTTGTGTTGGGGAAATCCAAGCTTCTCGTGAAGATTGTAACCATCCCCCTTCCCATCAAATTGCAAACCCAAGATAATTCTCAACCTATTATCAAATCAGAGCCACCGATTGGGACAGGTCAGTGGGGAGATCACTCTGCATTATATGCAAAAATGCAATCAAATGCAAACGAGCGCGTGCTCCGCGCTTTTACGGATGTTTGCACGTGAGTGAATCGCGTCAGCAATAAAAAATATAAAAACCAACAGCAGCTGCTTGTCAAATGGCCGAGAAAAAATATGAAAAAAATTTTAATAATAAATAAAAGTGAGCAAAGCGAGAAAAAAAAGTAGAAAAGAGCAGAGCGCATGTTCATTCAACTGATCAGGTGAATGTACTTCCGTTAATAACTTTTTAAAGCACGATATAAACAATCAAATCGGAAAGGGAGTGCTGGAGTCTAGGCTTTAAAAGGGGAAATCGTTGGCACGTTACCTCGATTCAAGTCAAAATTGTTTTATTGCCGCCGTTTCTGTTTATTTTTACACTTGCGCATGGGGGTATTTGTACTGTGAAGGATTACTCCAATAATTATATGAATCGATATTTTATATCCTTTAGCTAACAAAATTTATAGTACTGCAGCATTATGGCTTAAATTGTTTATTGGTATGGAAAGTCTATCTTATGGTTCGTTTATTTTATAAATTGGTTTCAAAGATTATTATATTGGATTTTTTAATATGAAGTTAATTGTATTTAAATTATATGTATGAAAACGAACGGTCTACATTTTTAGGACATCATTTTTGTTGAATATTATTTACCTTATAAATCAAGCATAGAACTATTAATTTGACAGTTTATTATGATAACTGCAAGGGTATATAAACTTCGACTTTTCCATCTTCCCTTTATTCGTGTTTTGGGCTGCGATCTCACTGAATCACATAGTCTGAAACTTGGGGTCTGGTTTTGTTTTATTTTGCATACGCTAAGCAGCCGTGACCTTCGGCGCCGCCATAAAATCTCCAAAACTCACACACACGCACGAACAACCTGTCTTGTCTTGCACTTCTTTTTGGTTTATGGTAATATATATCAGTAGTAATAGAATGGGCACCATCCACACATTAATTGGTGGCCCAGAGGTCAAATTATTTAGCGAAGCAGCGCCATTGATCGCGAATTTACACACACACAACGAGGTGGAGCTACCACGTACCGTTAAATTTCGCTGGCGCTCTCGTTTTCTCACATTTCTCGCATTTTCGCACCGCACAAAAGTAAACAAAACAATTAGAGCTGCCGCATCAAGTGCAACTCACAGTTCGCGTTCGATCGGCAACGTTGGCCACCTGACCTTCACCAAATGGCTAAAAAAATGCGGCTGAAATGGCAACACCCAGGTGCACTAATCACCAAACATTGCTGGCCAACTTGTTTTCCTTTTCTATTTGCAATTACAATGAAATTGACATTCACCAAACAAATAAAACTAGTTAATTCTGCCACGCACACACATACACTCGCAAGCTGGGGAGCTGGCTCCATTGTGCGTGAGTCGTCGGTGTGTCAAAGTTGGCGAGTGTTTGAGTAGCAACTAGGGTTGCAACGCCTGCGGATCGCAAGATGCGGGGCTTTCAACGAATAAAACTCCAATACGGGCAGGTGGCCCATCCCTGGCACAGTGGATACCGACTAAGTAGTAAATGTTTGGCATTGACTATAAGACTATTATAATTTAATTTTATAAGAACAGTTTAGCCAGGTAAAAGAACAACTGGTAGGAGCCCAATATTTTTCAAGTGGTATAAATCTTGACGAATATTAAAAATGGTAAAATAAATTCATTTTTTCAATAATTAAATTTATGTTTTATGTTTTTTAGGTGACTTTATAAATTTTCAACTAGTAAACAAGCATTAAAAACTTCTTTATTATAGCTTCTGAGTTTAATGAACTACCATTATCATGCATGTTGTCTTTACAATTATGACTTCTTTTAAAAGCAACGCCTAAGAAAACTAGGCAAGTAATTAAGTAATAAAAACAAGATTACCGATAATAAAAATAAAAAAAAAGAAATTTGATTTTATTGTTCCCTTAAATAAGAAAATCATAGCGTTTAAAGTTATCTTACATTGATGTTAAAACCAAATGTTTTTAACATGCAGGTTGGGTAAGCTGTTAAAAACACAGTAATATGAAAAGAGAACAACAAGCACTTAATTAACAGATGTTTTGAATTTTGTTTGTATTACGGCCTAATTAAAATGGATTATAATTGGGGTGGAATCTTTGGGCAACCAAATTGAGCTTAGCTCATATTCACTGTACTTGAGCTATCTTCCATTACATATACTCTTTGTAAAACATCAAACGGAAAGATCGACACGTTTTTTGCAAGTTTTTCATAGATGGCTGCAATAAGTGGTGAGTGGGAGGGGTGAGGTACTCATTCCCCCCTTTTTTCAACATATGAGTAATGCAGCAAATAAAGTCCCGAGACTGCAACTGCGCCTTCAATTGAGTTCAATATTTAAGGGAAGCACTGGGTCAATTGCAAAACAAACGATGTATATGTGTGGATATATAAATTCTGAACACATTCGCAGTTGAGAGATAGCGGGAATTTGTTATTTGTTTATTTTTGCATTCCCTTCTGGCAGGCGGAAGAAAGAGAAAGAGAACGGTAAAGAGCCCGCCCTGCTTTTTTTTTTTTTTTTTTTTTTCGCTGTTGAAATTGTGTGTATTTGCAAAACATTGCCCCAACACTCACACACAGGCGCACAGGTAATCCAGAGTTTTAAATGAATAACTGTTCAAAGTAAAAACGCTGATTGGGCTTATGCGGTTCGCTGGGGAATACCTTAATGGGCATTGGTCATTCCCACGGGAAGGGAAGGGGGCGGGGGAAGAGTTGGAGGTGGGGCGACTCACAGCTGATTCCAGCGACTGACCCGAAAAGAAAATGGAATAAAAGCAGCGCGTATGCGCAGCACGCTCGAAAAACACCGAAATTTCGGTGTGTATTTTGTGGGTAGAAGCGAGATTGAGATTTCCAGATACGTGTCGCGCTCTCTCTGTCTCTCTTCCCACCCCCCTTTCAGACTGAGCGTGTGTGTGCGTGCGTCGCTTTGTTTCTCACCGTACGAAAAATTGTTTTTTGAAGAAGTCTCCGATTATAAAAAAGAAAGGTAACGGCTTGGAAATGGTAAAGACAGTACTTGCCACACCGCACTGTGCTGCACTTTCCGTCCCTCTCTCTCTCGCCCACACTTCGTAGTAAAATGCAGCAGCATACACACACACTCACACAGAGAATACTCACACACGTGCGCGCGTTTGGCAATTTCGATATTCCGTAGCTTCGGTTCTTCTAATTTTTCTTAATTTTCGTTCACTGACTTCTGCACTGCTTGGCAAGGGAGCTTGTGCGTTTGGCGCGACCAGAGCTTCATTGGGGCTCGCTTTTGAACACGCAGCGCACACGACTTTACGCGGAGAGCAGAAAATTTTTCTGAGAAAAAGTTAAATAAACTACTAACAAAACCAACAAATCAAAACTCGATGTGCAGTGTTGCGAACGACAAAACACAAGTGTTGCCTAGCAACCGATGGAGTCGGATTTGCAGGGCGGTTCAATACGGTCACTCTGGCAATCGATATTGTTTGGCAGGCGATCGATGGGCGGCAAATTTGAAATGCGATCCGTTATCATAGGTAATTAATTATCGATTGTGTTTATCTTATAGTAATCTTGATAAAAATCAAATATTTTGAAAACTATTTTAGAATATAACGCCCACTTTAAAAACACTCCTATACTTAAGTAAACAATACGTGTTCTCTTCGTTGTTAAGCAACATTAAGCTTATCAGGAAGATAAGATTGCAAATAACTATGTCATATTGATACCACCCGTTTACAAAGTCACGTTCAACATTTACATATATATGTATTTCGCAGTACTTTTCATATAGTTGTGTGTATACCATACTATCAGCGGCGTATAAACATGATCAACAAAAATACATACATGTGTTAATAAGAGTACGATAACAAGAAATAAGTGATCTGCGGTCGTGCCGAAGCTCTGATACCCTTTCCGTGCGAAATAGAGAGCTAAAAGGACTCGCTCGGACACAAGGCGATAGTTAGTAACGAAAACTTACAGCCGTAGCTAAGGTAAAAACGGACAGCTGCAGTTAGCCAAGTACTTAGTAGACGATTAAAGGTATTCCATTAACTAATCACCGGATAATTTGAACTTCGCTGTAGTAGTTTGTGTGGGTGCATTCAATCGTTTTGCTTAACAACTAGCTGATAAACTCGGTATGGTGTGGATGTCCGCCTCACGAGAGGAAGGTGCGTACGAATCCCTTGATGTCGGCGCGGCACATGGGACAGTTGGCCACGCTGGGGGCGCACTGGTTGCAGGTGGCTAATGGGAAAAAGGTTACTTAAAGCCCTGGTCAGCGGGGTACTTTATTGACTCACCCAAGTGGCCGCAGGGGAGGAATACCACGCCCACCTCCTCGTCCAGGCACACCTTGCAGAGGCGTGCATCCTTCAGCTGGCGGTTCTCCTCCTCCAGCGACAGGTTGCCATTCGGAGTCGACACCGACACCTGCTTTAGCTGCTCTGTAATCCTAGAGATTTCGGGTTTCGACTCTGCCTGTGGTTTGGCCGGGATGGCATCAGCCACCAGTACCGCTGCTGCCTTGCTGGTGGTGGCCTGACAGGTTTCCATAAAGGGAGCGCTCGGCTGAGGGGGCTCACGCACCTCTAGAGCAGCCTCAGAGCCCGCCTCGTCGAAGATGGCATGCAGAAGTTCATCTAACGTGGCGAAGGCGCATCCGGAATTCGAGAGTTTGCGCTGGATGGCATTGCGCACCACTCCACCATCGATGCCCAAGGCCAGGGCCTCCTTGGCCGGAGCCTCGTCCATCAGAGAGTCTGCCTGAAGCGAAGGAGCCGGTGCAGTGGCTGGGGGGGATCTGGCGTTGGCTGCCGTTGCCTCGAGCACTTCGTTCACATAGGTTGGCCCCTTGGCCAGTAGCACGAACTGGCACTTTGGTGACCACTTGGCGTGCTCGTGCCAGGGCTCGTCCTCCTTCTGCCAGGAGCGCAGTCCGATGTTGCAGTGGAAGCAGCGCACCTGGTCGCCTATTTTCTGGTAGTATAGGCCAGCCTGTGCCAGGTCATTTGCCGTCTGTATATTCGGTATGGGCCAATCGGAGAAGGTCCTCATTCTGGCCTCCACACAGGAGTATTTTGGACGCTGCGGTAGGCTGGTGGGCTGGATGCCGAGCTCATCTAGGTTCTTGCCAGCTGAAAACTCAATAAGGGGACCCATTTGCACCCGGGGACACTGGGGAAAGAAGCGCCTGTGCTCGTTGAAGGCGTTGTCGTTCTTCTCCCACTTGGCAATCACTCCGTTGCACCAAACGCACTTTACGTGATCCAGGCGATTATAGTAGTAAAAGCCCGCTTTGGCCAGCGCCTGGGGCGTGATGTTGGGATTCTGTAAAAGGAGATGGTATTAGTTATGTGATACTACTTTTTATTTTGGGATTCCCAAGACAATCTTAAAAACATTCTCCCTAGCACGGTTAAAGTTGGATTTCCAACTCATTTAAAAAGCTCTTTAAATAATTAACAAAATGTCATTGTAAACTGCATTAAGCTAATGGGAAAAGATAAGTTTTGTTGATTAAGTTTTTCCTTTAGTAATCTCAACTAATTTCATGATATTGCAATGTTAAATACAATGTATTTCCGATTATTTCGAATGGGCATATCAATTTCACTTATCAACTACGTAGACATCTGAATTAACAACTCGACTTGAAACTGTAAACCCCTTTTGATAAAAAAAGCAAGCTTTGGTGAATCACCAGCGAGCGAGCCCTGCAAAACCAGAGCACGTTACTCACAGGCCAGTCCTTGAAGGTCTCCAAGCGGTTGGCCTCCAGCAGGAGATCGGGTGTGGCGCAGGAGGGTGGGCTGTCCACTACGGTGTTACCCTCCTGGTCGTTCTCTTGGCTCCGAGGAACATTTCCGCAGTGATTCGGGGCCAGAACCATGGAGCAGATTGGCGCGGAGCGTCGGTGGCGTTCTGCCACCTGGTCGCCGTACTCCCAGTGGTCGATGCGCACGTGGCAGAAGTGGCACTCGGCCTCCAGCCAGTTTCCCGTGGCGAAAAATCCGTTGGTCACCAACTCCTCGGCGGAGACGGGGGCGTTGAGGGGCCATTCCCTGAACGTCGCCAGACGAACGCTCTCAAGCTCCATGTGCTGCTCCGTCATCGTGTCGCGTCTGGCCGGGCTGGGCTGATCCCCACCCTGCAATGATGTAATGCCACTAGCGAAAACCCAGCGATCGCGGAGGAAAATAAAAACAAGGCAAAAGAAGAAAAGTAAACTTATTGATCCCAGCGACAGTGTGACCGGAGGCCGCAAATTTGCCAACCGAATATGGGGCAATGGAAACACCAAAGCAGTTGGCAAGCAGTCTAATCTTATAAAAATTGTATTTATAATTTATTTTTAATCATATTTAAAAATCAATAAAATGTTTTTACTATCAGATATTTTAATCAAAATTGTATTTTCATCAAGACATACTGAAATACATAAGGCCTTATTTACATTTCTAGATTTGATTGTATATTAATGTATTTGTTTTATACTCAACAATAATTAGGTATTATTTGAAATAAACAAATATTGACATTATTGCCATCAATTAATTTCAATTAAACTTTATTTACTTATGATCAAGCAGTTCAACTTGCACTGCCGTCTTTAAAATGTATTTTTTAGGTACACTAGAACAGCCCACTATTTTCACAGCTGTTTAAAATGCACCCAAATCTGTTGTTTATATTTGGTAAGTGATTTATTAATTATTTAAAATTAAAACAACTTTAACACCTTCCGATTCGTATAGTGCTCTTTGCCACGCAGGCCCGGGCGGAACTTTCCGGTCTGCTTAGTGCCCTCCACTACTTCGGGCTCTACTCCAATGGAACAGCGGACTCTCTGGGAATTTCCCGGGGTCAGTGTCGCTACAGCTTCGAGACATTCGCCCTCCTGGAAGAGCGTCGTACCTGTGCCCCCGATGACGAGCACATCCTGCACTTGACCCAGTTGCCGCCAATAAGGAAGCCGCCCATTCTAATCAAGTGCTTGCAGCAGGATCCTCCGGAGAATGGAACCGCAGCTGAGCCGGGATTGCTGATAATGCGCAGTGCCAAGGAGATCGTGGGCCTGCTGAAGCCTGTGGGTAATGCCACCAAGCGCCATGAACCTGGCAGCTGTGTGGTTGTCCATTTCTGCACCGCCTCCAGTTTGGAATGCGCCAGGGTGGCTCCGGTTATGAACCTTCTGCCTCATCTCTTTCCCACGCTGCCCATCGCCTACGTGGATGCCTATGAGTTCGGGCGCTTCAACGCAGAGTTCGGCATTGTCTCGCTACCCACGCTGATGATCTTCCACCAGGGCAGGCCGCTCATCAAGTACGATCCCTCTTGGTCGGATTCGGAGAAGCGCAGTTTTGGGAGGTTTATAATGCGGCACACCAATGTAAAGACGGTGGACCCGCAGGCCATCCATCCGGACATCCTTAATCGCACGCGAAGTGAGCCACTGTCCAACGTGCCCATCGTGCAGACAGATTACTATCTGGGATTGGCTTGGGCCTTCATCCTGGCCTGCCTTGCCAACTACTTGCGGCAGACTGTCTTCTGGAAGCAGCTCGTTGAGATGGTGCAGCGCAACTGGCGGGAATCGGAGGAGACTCAGATGGAGATGGTCGACTAGTCAGTTACTTTATTTTAATTCTCCTTAAGTTGGTTAGTTAGAACGCATTGGATTCACTAATGTAATGTAATTACCGTTTAATTAAATTCACATCAACATTTACTTAAGCCTTACGAATTACATGTATTGGGAATTGGTAATTATAGTGTTCTTTATGATCTTGGAGCCATTGAATCGCCTGTGTTCCTTCACACGGGATCTGGTCTCCATAATTTAAAGCTTAGTGGCTAACGAAATCTAGAAACTTGAGAATTAACCAAATATATCAAACTTATGATTATGATTTCATATATTTTCCATTACTTTCATTCAAATTTTGATTAGGTATGAGAGAGTGTAATGATTCCGGCGTTGAATAGTCACATTTGTATTGTGTAAGAGTAAGCGAGTTGCTCCGTATCCTGCGTGGGCATCAAAACGACGACTTGGATAGACAGGTAAATTTTGGAGTGTTAAGCTGAGGTTGGCGCACGCAGGATATGGCAAAACAACTTAAGAAAAAGGTTTCTTGAAAATATTTGAATGGCTATTCTGCTGTAACATAAAGATGCTCTGGAACAGGACCCAACGCTTGCTTCCCAGTGTTTTTGAGTGTGCGGTTTGGAAGATGTTGGCATGGAGCAGATCAAGTCTCTACTACTGCTTCTTGCCGCGTTTGCTCGCCTTGGAGGCGCTGGCCGCCTCGTCCTCCGTGTGCTGATGCTTCATGACGCGCTGTTGGCGCCTCGGATGGGCGGCATAGGGATGTGGATGTATGCTGGTCGAGGAGCAGAAACAGAGACTCATTATTCATCTGGTACATAACTCAGGCGAGGGCATACAAAACAAAAGATACACATAATCATTCGTACACAGGCCAATTCGAACGCAAGTGAAAATTTAATGACAGGAAGAAAAGGGCGAAAGAGCAATGATGGGTGAAGTGAGCAAGCGAGTAATGGGGTCGTAGGATTCGGAGGATTCGCGCGGTGTGTCGTTAGTGGAGGCGCAGCAACAGCAGCAGCAACAACGTTAAAATTTTGATTAGCGTCGATGGCCAATTGGGCGTCGCGTAGTGTGGGGAACCGGAGTCGTCGAGTGCGGCTCTCGCAGACTGTGGACTACAGATTACGAATTTGCGAGGCTCTTTCGGGCGGGTCAAAATGCGAGTATGCAGACAGAGTTAGATGTGTGTGGGAAGGTGCGGCCTTACACGTAGCTTGCGGCCGTAGTGTTGCGCTGGCGATACGGCACGGAGATGTGGTTGCTGCTGGTTCGAAGAAGTTCTTGTGGCGATGAGGCGGTGCCCAGCGTTGGTGGCGCCTTCGGTTAGTAGTCGTGCATGTGGTTACGTCGAGGCCCGCCGAAAGCCGTGTCTCTCGTCGTTGTTTTGATTACATATGATATATATCTGGATTAGCATAGGTTTCGGTTTTGTTTTTTGGTTCGGTTTCCGCTCTACTTGCGGTGGTACCGTGAATTATAAAGACGCCAATCTCTGCATGATTTGGAAAGTACAAAATGTTGATGGAGAAGAGAAGAGAGAGCGAGATGTCGTTAATACACTTGGGTAAATGGTATATTAAAAGGTCAATTCTTGGCTACCCAGGGAAGCTATGTAGAGTTCGAAAAGCTGACAAGCAGTCTGAAATTTAAGTTGTTTAATTGTAAAAAACAAGTGAAGTTCGTGTTGTTACCAAAGAGGCGTTAAATTTGGGTTATTTCAGCCATAACTCGGACCACAAATCTCTCAAATTATACTTCGACTGGCCGAAGACGAAACACCTGAATTGTTAGGACTTTACAAGCAGATTGTTATGATGTTCGAAGCTTATTGTAGCCAAAGTAGTCTAGGTTAATCCCAAATCGCCGGCTCCCGCCGATCTCAACTGAACAAACCTTGGAGAAGTGGACACCGTGGCCAGCGGCGAGGATGGGGGCGTCCGCAGGGGGCGACGGGGCGTGGCCAAACCCTGCCCGTGGCCATTTCGCAGGTACGAACGACGGGAGCTCACGTAGTTATTGTTGTTTCCACTGCTTAGATCGTAGATAGCTGGCGAAGATGTTGCTGCTGCTGCTGTTGTTGCAATGTTGCCACTGAGGATCGATGTAGTAGTTGTCGTAGTATGGAATCGAGTCGAAGAAAAGTTTGGAAAAGATTACAACAATACTTTTGGGGGTCGGGACTATGCTAGTTGGCAATCCAGTTCATTCAACGCGGGGCTTTAGTACGCTGTGAGTGGGTGGATCATGGCGAACGAAAGGAGTCGTGGGCAAAACGAAAACTGAACAAACGAAAGATGTTGAGAGCTTAACATTCCGCCTACCTCTGTGCTTTATATGATTTCGATTCGATTCGTTTCGTTTGAACGCAGTTGGGAATGTAATTAGCAGAAATTTATTGTATGCAATTCTGTTTCTGTTTTTTCGGATAGTTAGTAAAATATACTGTATGTACTTTAGATTTAGTAATTATATCTGCAAGTAAATACAAACGTTTCAATTTAGCAACAGTTGTGGGGAGTAGGGGTTAGTTGGGGAATCTTTGGATTGGGCTTCAGCAAATGCTATTCGGCTAATCCTACTCAATCACGCGCACGGAACAGGGACTCGGAATTGGGATTTGGGGGTGTCCTTCAAACTCACCTGTTCAGCGGTGCCGTTGGCGCAGTGGAATAATGGCGGCCCGCGGCGGAGCGAACTGGCGGCTGCTCCTGGATCACACAGTCATCGTCCTCATCGTCATCCTCCACCGGCTCGATGGTCAGAGTGGAGGTGTGGGCCGCCGGACGGGCGGGCATGATGGCCTGCATCCCACCTCCGCGATGTCCTGACTGAACCGCCCCGCGAGTGGCGCGCGAGGTGAATTCTCGATCGAACTGCTCGGCCTCCTCCTCCTCCAGGTTGATGAACTCCTGGCGCTCCTCCAGCTGGCCGGACCGCATGTCCTGCTCCTTCTCAATGATGTGGGCCCGCTCGCCAATGTGGTGTCCGATGGCCATCTTCTTTAGGCCGGTGCGCGAATCCTGCACCGTCTTGCGGGTCTCGCGAACGCCACCTGGGCCTGTTTTGGTGCTGGTGCTGGCCTGGTAGATCTGGGGGCGGCCATCGGGACCCGAGGACATGGTCATCACAGTGCTCTGGCAGAAGGAGCCCGGATTGGCGCCAATGTCTGAAAAAGGCAGGTTGAAAAGTGTTTTCTTCAGGGAAAATCCAACAAATACCCACCTGCATTCAGCAAGCGATTAAAGTTGGGCATCATGGGCATGCCGAAGAGACCCATGGCGGGCATGGCCGGCATCTGGGGACGCTCCATCAAAGCGCCCTGCTGGAAACCGGGGTCAAAGGGCGAGACCTGCATGAAGGGATCCGGCATGAAGGTGTTCATTAGGCGATTCATTGAACGCATTTGCATGTTCATTGCGTTCATGGTGTGGTTCATGTGGTTGCTGTGGAAAAACAAATGAGTATTTAGTGGATTTGTTTAAAGTTTGTATTACTTTGGCTCCATTTGGGCGCGATTGTTTCTATTACTAGTTGATTTTTTCTTGCGTTTGCTATTCATTCCAAACTGAGCCTAAAAATAGTTTCTAACGAAAGATTTGTGGCCAGATATCGAGGCGTAGTGATAAAAGCAACGTAGCCTGCTGCTTTGCCATATAAAATACAGTCCGATGGGCTACTCATGGGTCACTCTGTGGTTAAGCTTTATCTAAAGAGAGAAGCAGTGGGTGGGGAGGGGGAAAACCTTTAAAAATAACTGCCGCGAAGGCATTTTTCCAATTGCATTTCCCTGCGGTCGCTCGATTCAAATTATCGATTATTACGTCTTCTCTTCACGCATGCTGCACACTCACACACATACACACACGCAAAAAAGGGTACTGCCAGTTTTAGCACGCTATTTATTGCTAATTTCTGGCCTATTAATTGCCCTGGATCTTCACTTATTAGGTCGATTATTGTCTTACACCATACTTTGCAATTTGCAAGCCTTTTCCACGCCCCAAAAAGGCGTCAAAGGGTGCACACGTATGGAAATAAATGGGGCTTCGGCAGGAGCGCCGTATGATTTTTCCACTTTTCACCTGGTTTTCGTACTTACTTCATAAGGCCGAGATCGTCGTCAAAGTCCCCCATCAACGCTCCGAATAAAGACATTTTCTTGGCTTGTTTGTTAACTTGCAGTCGCTTGGGTTTTATCTCTTTCCGTATGCAGAATTTTCACGAATTTTCGAGTTTTTCTTAAGAGTGTGACCGCGTTTTGACGTTACAAAAATAACGGCGACCAAAAAGTACTTCAAAATACTTTTTAGTGTTCAAAAATGCCTTAAGAATTATAATTTTGGCGGTTTTATTTAAAAGTTTAAGCAATTGTATCTTTGGTACCCTTCGAAATTCAATATAAAATTTTAGGTTTTTAAAAATTCGGCCCGGCCTACTATTAAAATATAATTGGTCTTGTTTTTTGTAAATGTTCATTTTGAATTATTATTTATTAAGGTTTTAAATTAATATTTTGTTCGGTTCATTTGTTCGCTTTTAGCTTATCAATTCTTCAATCTCTATATCTCCAGATAGGGCTCCGCCTGCTCCTCGATCCAAGCGGTGTGCGAGTTGACACTGGTGTAGACCCCAGGGAATCCCTCCCGGCCGCATCCCACGCCCCAGGACACGATTCCCACCAGGACGCCGTCTACAGCCAGGGGGCCGCCGGAATCGCCGTTGCAGGTGTCCTTGCCGCCCTCCAGGTATCCGGCGCATAGCATCTCGTTCGTTATAGTGTACTCCTTGGTCAGATACTGAGCTCCACAGGTGTTCTGCTCCACGATCTCCAGTTCAACAGCTCGGAGCAGGGCGGGCAGGGCCTCATCCTCCTCCGTCCGCTTGCCCCATCCACTCACGACGGCGTGGGCTCCCGAAGGAGGAGCCTCCAGGGCCACGGCAATGGGCTGCACCAGGGCGGAGTACTCCAAGGCTTCACGGGTGATGATCAGACCGATGTCATTCACATACGTCTTCTTGTTGTAGCCGGCATGGGGGATCAGCTTGCTGACCTTCACTCCCTGCTCCTCCAGATCGGCGATCGAATTCTGGCCAGCCACAATTCGGATATAGGAGGCATAGCGTCCCTTGATGCAGTGGGCCGCAGTGATCACTATCTTGGGGGCGTAGATACTTCCTCCGCAGATGTGGAGCAGCATGTAGGTCTCCAGGCGAACCGAGACCTGGTACGGATAGTCCGAGATGTCTGCCTGATCGCCACCCACAATGTGGGGGCTTATAAAGGCGGATTCCGAGAGGATTACCAGGCCAAGCAGGCCCAAAAGACACAGTTCCAAGCGCGGCGACATTTCAAAACTTAAAGAGTGGTTCGATTGGCGCCCCCTTTTATAGGGCTGTAGTAACCTTCTTATCACTTATCACCAAAACAACGAATTTAGCGATCATCCCCGATAGGTATTTTGGATTTTCATAAAATTCTGCACGATATCGTAAAGTTTATAGGACTCCCAGTCCATACGTTTTATATCCATTATAAACTGGGCGGTGGTCTTCTAAAGACCCAATGACCACAAAGCCGAAAGAAAGCCAATTGGCCAGTTAAGGAGAACCCGATGGGGATTATCAGCAAATCGTTCCGTTGAGTCACTGTTCGGCATTATTTCATTATTCCTTGAACTTTACCCGTCAAAACTGACGAAGAAGTCTAGTCAAAAGCTGTAATCTATGTCGCTAAATCACCGGAATCGGGTCTCCAGATAATGGTGTCTGAAATTGAGAGATTTACTTACTATATTAATCGGTGGAGCATGGGAACGGCTAATAAATAGTCTAAAAAGTGAAAGCCTAATCAGGTTGATAACCATAATGTTAATTGTTTTGCTAATAACGATTACGATTGGCTTAATGGGTTAGCTACTCTTCGATTTGGCTTAAAATATCCATAATAAACGGATTTAGGTAATCGGATCTATAGATATTTAACGAATAAATAAGTAAGGGGTGTACAACCAGTAAACAGTCCAATATTGGCATAAGTTGCTAGCACAAACAGATATTTCGCGGAAACAAATCCCGAATATAATTCTTAATATTTATGATGACGTTAAAAGCCCGAGTATCTGACTGCGCAAATTCTGACGACTGAACTGCAAACATATGAGATTGATGTAATCAGTGTATTGAAGAGGCCCGTCTGGCGAGCTGAATATCTGAGCAAAGTTCGAACCGAAGGCACGCGTCTGGGGGATATCTGTACCTCGTTTCCCACTCAAATCATTGAGACTGGAGTGCCACTAGAATCTGGTAGGAACCATCCATGTACAGATCTACAGATCCAGAGAGGGCGCAAAACGGATAATTGATTGCCATGCCACTTGGCCGGGGCATCCAGCATCACCACTTCTAGCTACTTAGCACTTCGAGTGCCGACTAGTTGGCAATTACTATACTCGGTACTCGATACCTTCTTTTATTTGGGGCCCAGGGGAGACCGGGGATTCGGAGATGGAGCTTCAGGCCCGGTCTCACGTACGCTCGGAAGCATTTTGAGCCGCGCATCTTTTTCGGCGTGTTTAAACCGAGCCCAAATCGGCCCAAATCGGTTATAAATAGACGTCGCCCGGCGGAAATCCCGCATTTGCAGCTCATCAGTCGGCGGATGTGACTCTGGATAATTAGACCTCAAAACGGAATTACTCATCATCCAATTTGACCGTCCGTATGCGGCTCAGAAAAGTGTCTGTGACAAGGACTTTCATGTGGATAAATTAAATACTATACTCAACATAAAGTGAATCAAAATGTTTGTGGAAAAAGTGGTGAGTGAGAAACTCTAGAAAAACATCGGGCTTAAAATTAATTGGATTTTGAAGAATATTTTAAAACTGTTTGGGAAAAACTACTTAACAATTTAGTGATAATAAATTTAAGCCAAAATTATATTAAATATAAAGCCAGGAAAATCTAAAGGGGGGATAGTAATTTAACATTAATTTTTATTAGAATTATTAGAATTAAAAGTAACAATGACTGACAATGACAATAACTGAAGGTCAAGGAATTTGAATTGCAATACACTACACATTAATTTAATACAACGAATGTTATGAAATGATTTTATGATTTGCAGATTTTTAAACATTTTCAAACATTTAAAATCAAGAACATAATAACTTCGAAATACGAATTCATTAATCCCAATTCTTAGTTTTCAACTGAATTAACTTTCGTTTCTTTGCATTAAAATGAAACATTTTTAACCGGAATTACTTTGGGCCGTTTGATCCAAGCAGGTACTCTCAGCAAATAGCTTCTCGTTTCGGAAGACCATTACGATAATTTTTGGAATTAGTGGGAAATAATCATGATGTATATTTATTAGTAACCAGGTGAGAATTGGCGAGCAAACATGCGGGTTCTGCACACCTCGCAGCCTGGATACGCCGAGCCCAAAAAAAGATAAAAAAGAAGAAATAGAAGTGGCCCCTGAGAGTGGAGCGGAAGCCTTCTGGACGCTTCACCGGTTTTTGGTCAAATATTGAGCTGATTAAACAAAGATACGGGGGTTGTTGGACCTTGTGTTCGATCCCCTTGAGAGTTCCTAATTGCGAACTATTTTCTGGCAGCAGGCGAGGGCGTTTTGAATTCGATTCGAAGTGGGTTCCCTGCTGTAGTATCTGTATTCGATCAGTACTAAACTCCTCCAAGCATTAGAACAAATTGTGATTCTCCTGATTCATGCCGAGATTCGACATTCGGCAGGTGGGCACGATGCCCGCGAATACCGCTGGTCTGTGGAAGAGGGTCACTTTCCTGCTGGCCCTTCCGGCCATCGTCCTGTGCGCCGTGAACGCCTTTTCCGGGCACAAGCACCACGATCGGGAGCCGTTCACCAAGTACGAGTACCTGAGGCGCAGGACCAAGCGGTTCCCCTGGGGCGATGGCAATCGCAGCTTGTTCCACAACGCCGAGGTCAATGCTCTGCCCGAGGGTTACGAGGATGAGGTCCAGGAAGAGGAGTAGTCCCATATCTTTTTTTTCTAACACACTGCTTGGTAAGATCGATCTGTTTAATCGCTGACTGGGTAACCAAGTTTCTCCCTCCAGAACACCCTTTTTTGGTAAAAAGAATTTGTGGATTTGTGGTTATTATAATACAGTTGGCCCATCGTTTGCATATTCTTTGCAAGTAATAAATTAATCATTGAGATCTGAGTCAGTTGTGGTTTCTCTTGACCCTGGAACCCATCGCAGTTGGCTAATGGTTCGCGGCTTTTACTCTCGCCCAGAACAGAAAACAATGGGGTAGTGGACAGGGAGTAGGTGACATGTGTGGGAATTGTGGCCAACAAAGCCCGACTGTCCCTGGATTTTTGGCCGCCGATCATCATCATTTGTCATGTTTTGTGCTCATCGTAACCTGTTGCACCACTGACACGAATGAGCCAAAAAACCAAAGCAAACCAACACGTACGGTGAGGTGCTTTAATCGATCTTTTACACACACGTACTCGCACTCGTACTCATATCTACATATATCTGCTTTGATGCCAGAGATCGCATCGCATCGGATCGCATCGCCCATACGCCGTGTTGGCCCAAGCAATTCACACCGCAGTTAGATACATAACTTATACTTTCGTTGCGATTACGATAGCAGCGAGTGTTTGCCGAAAAATAAAACTTGCGACACGCGGCAAGGGCAAGTACCAGAGCATCCAAGTACGAATGCCTGAGTGCTCCGAGATCCCAGTTAATTAGACTCCAAATACGCCGAAAAGTGCGTAGCTGATGAAGTGCGTTTGAGGGGCTGGGTTCTCGATAGCAATCTAAATATTGACCCACGCGTGCCATTATCCATTATCTATTATCCACCTGACCTGATGTTCTCCCACTTTTGAATTTCAGCTGGAACGCGCCACCAAGTCGGAGCTGTGCTCGATCCTGATCCTCCTGGTGATCAGCCTGAGTATCTACACCTTCTACGCCACCCTCAGCTCGTATCTGAGATCGGTGATTCTATCACTAAGACTCACGGGTCCACCGTCGCTGCCATTTCTGGGGAACTGCATGCTGGTCACCGATAAGGACTGTAAGATCCTCTAGACACCTTAAAATTCACTCAAACAGCTTAAGCAAAAACATATTCAAATTGTAACTCTGTAAATAACTATATCTTAAATCTTATCCATTTTATTTAGAAAATTCATTTCATTATCATATAATATATTGAACTTGGAATAGGTATATTTGTTTAAATTTGGGCTTAATTTATGAATTTTTATTTTGGCCTTAACAACTAAAACCCATTTTATTATAAAAACTCTAAACCATTTTACAGTAATGAGAAAATGTGCAGGCAAGGCCTATGTTCTCTACGGATCTCTAGTCCGTATTTGGGTGCTCCTCTTCCCATTCTTTGCCGTACTGCAGCCGGAGGATCTGCAGGTGATACTCTCCTCCAAGAAGCACACCAACAAGGTTTTCTTCTACCGACTGATGCACAACTTCCTGGGCGATGGCCTGATCACCAGCAGTGGCTCCAAGTGGAGCAACCATCGCCGGCTCATCCAGCCAGCCTTTCATCACAATCTGTTGGAGAAGTTCATAGACACCTTCGTGGATGCCTCGCAGTCGCTGTACGAGAATCTGGATGCCTCCGCCGTGGGCATAGAGATCAACATCGCCAAGTATGTGAATAGCTGCGTGCTGGACATTCTAAATGGTGAGTCTTTAGGGGATTTCTTACTGTAGTTTTCTCCTAAATAAACCCATACCCACCTTAATAGAAGCTGTTTTGGGTGTGCCCATCAAGAAGAGGGGTGAGGACATGGTCAGCATGGAGGACTCACCCTTCCGCCAGGGTAAGCTTATGATGCCCGCGCGATTTACGCATCCCTGGCTGCTGCTGGACGGGATCTACCACTGGACCAAGATGGCCAACGATGAGCTGAACCAGAAGAAGCGCCTCAACGACTTCACCCGCAAGATGATTCAGCGGCGTCGCCAGATCCAGAACAATAACAATGGGAATGGCGAGCGGAAGTGCCTGCTGGACCACATGATCGAGATCTGCGAGAGCAATCCGGACTTCACGGAGGAGGACATTGTGAACGAGGCCTGCACCTTCATGTTGGCTGGCCAGGATTCGGTGGGTGCGGCTGTGGCCTTCACCCTCTTCCTGCTGACCCAGAATCCCGACTGCCAGGAGCGATGTCACCAGGAGTTGGAGTCGATCTTCGAGGGCAGTAACAGGGCTCCCTCGATGAGTGACCTGCACGAGATGCGCTACATGGAGATGTGTATCAAGGAGGCACTGCGTCTCTATCCCAGTGTCCCGCTGATTGCCCGAAAACTGGGCGAAGAGGTTCGTTTGGCGAATCATACTCTGCCCGCCGGCAGCAACGTCTTCATCTGCCCTTATGCCACCCATCGGCTTGCCCACATCTACCCAGATCCGGAGAAGTTCCAGCCGGAAAGGTTCTCGCCGGAGAACTCGGAGCAGCGCCACCCGTACGCCTTCATCCCGTTCAGCGCCGGACCGAGGTACTGCATCGGCAACCGGTTCGCCATCATGGAGATCAAGACCATTGTTTCCCGGCTGCTGCGAAGCTTCCAGCTGCTCCCGGTGTCCGGGAAGACCACCGTGGAGCCCACCTTCCGGATCACCCTGAGAGCCTCCGGCGGACTGTGGGTGCGCCTCAAGCCCCGCGACGATCCGCTCAAGGATCACTGACTCCAGTGAAACCCCTCTTTCGTTACACATTAACTTTAATTAGTATGGTAAATATGTATATAAATCGATACAATAATTTAAACACTTAGCTTCCTCTAGCCTAAGTACAGTCCCTCCGACTGGAGGGAGTGCATCCGCTCGGATGCAGACATATCCTACTGTGAGTGGGTGTGTGCGGGTTGGATGTCGGATGTTGGATGTTGGATGCTGGGTGGGTGCGTTTTGATCCGCAGTCGCTTCGCATTCGCAATCGCTTCATATTCGAGTGTTCGTAGAGTTTCTCTGGGGTTTGCTTAAACAATGCTATATCTGCTATATCTGTAATAAAGTTATGTTGATCGGTTGCATAACCGACTTAATCTAGGACGTGATATGCTGCGTTTCGTTGTTGAATCGGTTGATGAGACGTCGAGCGCGAGATTCGCGATTTGTCTCCGCCGTGTTCCCATTTCCATTGCCAAAGTTGTTGCCACTGCCGCCGGCGTTAGCCAACTGCCGCTGAGCACTGGCCACCGTGTGCTGTTGGGCAAGACGCTCCGCCGCCTCCCGGACGCGGTGGCTCATCAGCCGCGTCGGCGTGGCGGATCGCTGGGGCAGCGGGGAACTGGGCATGGAGCGGGCCTGAGGAGGCTTGCCTTTGGAGGATCCACTGCCAGTGCCGATGACTCTTCCGGTTTTCCCTGGCTCCTCTGCTGTAATACGGAAAACAATAGAGAGTTAGTAATGCAGAATACTATCAAGTTTAAGACCTAAACGGATCCCAAAGTAAAGATATATAAACTAAGTAGCTTTTCAATATCTCCTAAATAAAGTGTTTCTTTAATTTCAAACTATTAATATTAGATATGATATCATTCCGCTACCTTATTTTAATAAATCATGAGTTACTATGTTAAGAAAAATCTTTAAATTGGTGTTATTTTTCAGCATTCACATAAAGAATAAGTTAATAAAGTAGTTATTATTTGGCAATTCCACAAAACAAAGTTGGATTTTGTACCTAGTTGACTTTACAAATACATCATATATTATTTATTATTTAATGTTTGACGTTATTTTCCAGCAACCTTTTCTAGTAAATCGGATGAGAAAGCTAAATTTTGGCACTGGGCTTAAGATAAATCATTTTTATGCTTCACCCCCTCTTGTCACATTGTTCTGAGAAATTTAGCAATACTTGCAAGATCCGTTTTGGGTCATAGGCAAAAGTTACTTCTACTGATGCGTCCCACACTCGCCACCTTGGCTATTTTGAAGGGCTCAAAGGCAAGCGGAGGTTTGTTAGCAGCGGATGCAGAAGCAGGAGCAGGGGAAACCTGGAACCTATCCTTCAGCTGGGACACCTTCAGCTTGGACTCACACAGAGGCTTGACCAGAGGCTTGGACTTGGGTTTCTCCCGCGCGGCGCTGTCCTCCAGTGATTTTTTGCGCATCTTAACGGTGTTGGTGAAGTCCGATCGCATGATGGCATTGCCCGTGGTGGGCAGCTCCAGGCTGACAGGATGCTCTGCGTCCTGAACCACGGTGAGAGCGGTGCTCGCCTTGGCTATCGCCTCCAGCTTGGACTTGGCCAGCGAGAGGAGCAGCGTCTCCTGGGCTCCACTGCAGTTGGAGCACTCGCTGTATCCGGAATCACTGCGTTCACTGCACTGTGATTTATCCCGCAGCTTGAGAACGGTGCGCTTCTCCACCGGCGGCATCTCCACACTGAAGTCGTCCTCCTCCTCGTGCAGGGAGGTCATCTGGGAGCTCAGCCCACTGCCCATCGCACTGGCCATGGTCAGCATGCCCAGTCCCGAAATCGAGGGCCTCGGACTACTCAGTGCTCCCATGGCAATGGCGGAGTTCCTTCGCGACACGGACAAGCTGGTCATGCGACCAAGAGCACGGATGGCATTGCCAGTTTTCTGGATTAGCAGCAGCAGGAGCAGCAAGCAACAGCGGGCGGGGTTAAGAAGGTAGCAGCATTGGGTTAGGATCTTTAGGATCTTTAGCTGGCGCAGAGCATTTACTAACCTGCCACTTGCGTCGGATGATGAACTTCTTCAGCTTGTCCGTGCAGATCTTGTTGTTGCTGAGATTGTCGTCGTGGCGCTGGCACAACCACTTGGACTCCAGGCACTGCTGGGCGGTAAGGCGCTCCTCCTTCCGATGGACCAGCAGCTGGGAAATTAAGTCCTTGGCCTCCTGGGAACTATCAGGGGTATGAGTAAAAGATGAAGACAAGAGACTAAGCCAGTACTTACACGCAGTCGAAGGCCTCATCATCGTAGTCGTAGTCCGCCCTTGTTATATTCGAGAAGGTTTCCACATCCGTATCGCCCATGAAAGGAGAGAGACCCGAGAGCCTGCAAGAGCAAGTAGTTATAGAGTATCCTGCGCATTACATTCCAGATTCCCCACTCACAGCACATAGCAGATGACGCCCACGCTCCACATGTCCGACTGGAAGCCAATGGGCTCGTAGCTAATGATCTCTGGCGGTATAAACTCAGGGGTTCCGAAGAGAACGCGGACGGGGGCTTTCGTATCGAGTCGTTGGGCCAGGCCAAAGTCAATGATCTTGATCTGGTGACTGGTGCGGGTATGGCACATGATGTTCTCGGGCTTCAAGTCCAGGTGGACCACGCTCTGACTATGCATATAGGCCACGCCATCGCACACCTGTCGCAGGAACAGGATGCAGTCCATCTCGGTCAGTGTGAAGTCGTCAGCCACCACACGTTCGAATAGTTCACCGCCAGTTATGCTGGGGAATAATAAAAGATGAATGATTATCTTAAAAACAGGATCTGCATCTACTTACTACTCCATCACCATGACGATTTCCCTGGGACTTTCGAAGGAGGCAGCCAGCTGGAGGAGCTTGGGATGCTGCAGCGAGCGCATGATGGAGATCTCCTCGAGCACCTTCTGTCGATCCTGGGACTTGATGCACTTGATCACCTTGGCGGCCAGCAGTTGCTCCGGCTGACCGCGTTCCTGCACCTTGAAGACGGTGCCAAAGCGTCCTTTGCCCAACTCCTCGATTATCTCGAATCGCGACTTGAAGTCTCCGCCGGATTGGACGCTCACCGACTGCCCGAAATGATCGGTGACATCCGATGTGCTCCTCTGTGGCTTGCCGGTGATCTGCACCAGTTCGCTGGCCTGACCGGGTGCACTGCGTCCGTGGATGTTTTCAGCCCGCACCCTGAATCGGTACTGCAGCTGTGGCCGGAGATTCTTGACGGTGTAGGCTAAGGTGTCGACCACTCGGGTCACCTGGGTCCAGGTTTCACTGTCCCCTCCAATGGTCTGCATCTCAATGCTAAGGAATATGTATTATTTAATTAGTTTTTAGGGACAGATCCTTTGAATACTCACATAAATCCTGTGATCATGCAGCCACCGTCGTAGGGTGGTCCACACCAGGCCACTGCCACGCGATCCGGTCCCAGGGACACGCTGGGTTGGCCACTGGGTGGCTCCGGAGGTCCTTCCACTGCCACTGAGGCGGCGGAGGCCTCCACGCCGTAGTCGTTCATCACCTCCACTGTATACTTGCCACTGTCATCCGCCGAGATGTCCGTGATATAGAGCGTTGACTGTTGGCCCGTGGTGCGGATTGTCACATTGGAGCTCTCAACAATGGGATGACACTGTGGGTGGAAATAAAATGTTGTAATAAGTGGAGAAAGACTTTGAAAATGGGTTAAAAACTACCATAAAATCTTTAAAATGTCAAGGAAATGGTTTCATTATAACAAGAAGACACCTAATTGTAAGTAATTTCTTCTCTAAAAATATTGTTTACCTTTCCTTTAGTGTGAAAAATAGATAAATTTGGGGCCTCTTCAAGATAAAAGTATGACGAATTGCTCAATTTTGGGGTGATTAATTTTGCCAACGTTCAGGTAGTGTAGCCAGTGCTCTAGTGCTTTCAGCCAACCTTCGTCGGTGCGGCTCGCCCAGCATTTGCGGTTTGCAACCATTACGTAGCCCGTCTAGGCAACCCAAGCAACCCAAGCAACCAAAACAACCCAACTGGCCCAGCAAACCCGACCGAACAACACCGCAAACTGATCGTGACACAGTGAGATACCTAGGCTAAATGCCCAAAGCGAGACAGTGAGCTATCGCGATAGGGTGCAGAGTGGGCTTATGGCAGAGCAGATAAAGAATATGGATCCATAATCCCCTGGCACGGCCAAATTAGGTCAAGATTGCACAACTCGAAACCGGACCAATTACCATAAGCCTACTGCCCCTTCAAGTCGCCCATCATCTTATGCATATGTGTTCAGGTGTCATTACAATAATACCCCTTTGGAGTCTGGAGGATTACTTACCGCCTTGTACCAGACGACTGTGGTGCCCGGGAATGGCTCGTAGCGAACGCTCAGCCGAACATGGCCACCAATCAGGGCGGTGCAGTCCTCGGGGCGGGTCAAGATGCAGCTTCTGGCCGCCAGCGAGGAACAGGAGCTGTTGCCCCTGATGGCGGGCAGGACCAGGAGGCTGGTGTAGGTGCGGCTGGCAGGGATGCGCCGCGACTCCGCCTGGGGATGCTTCACCTGCAGACAGATCTCTCCGCTCCTCGAAGCGGTGACGTCACGCATGCGCAGCAGCCGAATGCCGTTCTCTGGATATGACTCCAACTGAAAGAGGAATCAGAACATATGGAAGATTAGCTGGAATTCTTATATACACTGGGGAAATAGCACATAAAGTAATTAATTTCTTAAGGGAATTGCACATTCGTTATTTCAACAATCTAACAATTTTTATTTAAGGAAATAATTAAAAAATTCTTGCTTAAGTGAACAAAATTATTGAAAGATCTCAGAGCTTCATTAATTGAAAGTTTATTGGGCCATTAATATCATTAGGTTCAGTTGAAGCTTTGTTATTGGCATATCTTTTCAGGCATGAACTGTTCTCATTTTTCTATATTGTGTAAAAGGTATAACAATATCTAGTGGGGTATTGAAAGGCGGTTAAGTATACCATCAAAAAAGTGAAATTTGTTCCATCAAACATTTACATTTATGTTAATAAGCTTCAAGGTGTGAAAATAAGACTAAAACAGTCATTTTAAAAGAAGCATCAATTCTTGATAGCTTATTAAATAGGTTTAGGTTATTGAAAAGTAATTAAGTGATTTAATTTTAGATATGAAAGTAATAACAATATATGATCTTAGAGAGATTTGACAGGCGTCCTTAACTCATTTTTAAAGAGAAATTGGTTCTTCCAAATATTTACATTTGTGATAATTGAACTCGAAGGGGTGAAAGTGGACGCGGGAACAAAAACATGCCTTTGTATAATTGTTTTGTGAATAACTTGTATAGCTATCGATGAAGCACAATGATTATTTAATAACAACACTTTACTGCTGATCGACGAAATATTCCCCTGTGTATTTCTTCAACAAAAATCACGAGTTGAGAACGTTTTTCCTTGTGTACCCCGTACACATGGGTAAACAATTATATACTGTATGCACAAGTGTCTGGAGAGGGAGCGAATCCGAATCCAATTCCGAGTTGAATTCCGGAGCAGGGTGACGCGACGCGGACTGAGGTTGCTGTAGAACTGAGGCGGCCTCTCCGTGGCACGCACCAATTAAGCGAGAATGGGGAACGGGAATGGTTCCACGAGCGGACCTCGCCAAGTGGAATTCCATGAGCGAACGATCGTGACAATGACACTTTCACGCCCGCTCTCATTTTCATTGGAGCACAAACGACGCGACCAGTGCGGCCCTTATCGAATGGAAACAGTTATAGGGCTTAAACCGAATCCGAATCTAAATCCGAGTACGAGTCCGAGTCCAACGAATCCACCGAATGCCAGCGATATCGATACTCGCACTCGGATGCAATCCATTTGCTTCGCCTACCTGTGACATTTTGTCACGCCCTTGTGCTGCCGTCAGGTTTCGATTGGGATCGAGATTGAGATTGGGATTGGGATGGCGATGGGGACTTTGGATTTCCAATCATCTGAATATTAGAAACCGAACGCTTTCGGACCGAGATGTGCGCCGCTTGAGCGCCGACGAGCGATTGTTTCCCCAGCAACATCGTTGGCATGCAGCTCGCATGCCGCCGTATTTCAATCTTTTGGGCCTCCTATATGTGGCTTATGCAAATGAGCATGCTCTCACACTCCGACCAGATACAGACATATGTATATGCACAATTATTATTATTGTTTTCTCCGGCAGAAGTGCGAACGAGCAGCCTGCGGCAAGGCAAGAGTTGAAAATGAAGAGCTCTGTGTTTTGTGTTTTTGGGGCCAAAAGCAAGCACGCGGCGATTCACTTTGGGTTTATTACGATAAATACGCATACGCACCGTCATGTTAAGTGAGTCATCCGCCTGGGCCAATAGCTGCCCATTGAGGTACCATTCGGCTTCCGCTTCGCAGGGGAAAACTCTCGCGTAGAACAGGGCCTCCTCGCCGGATCCGCATACCACCGGCAGAGGAGTCTTCAGCAACTGGACGCACTCCTCGTCCTGCCGACCCAGATCCCGCTCCAACACGCACAGCTCCCCGCTGCTGCTGCAATCGAATCCGCTGGAGTTGGAGTTGGAAGTGGAGGTGGAGCTTGACTTGGAAGTGGAGATGACATTCATATCGCTGGTAAACACCTGGCAGCTGTAAGTGCCCGAGTCAATGTCGAAGGCGTCGTTGATTCGTAGGCACAATTGTCCATTGCCGTGATCAATGTAACTGCAATAAGCAATAAAGTATAGTAAATAGTTGTCATTGCGTATGGCGAATAAAAAGGCAAAAAGAGTACTGCTGTTATTCAACCTGAGCTAATCGGTCGAAAATGGGTGCTTATAAAACGTTCAGTTGCGGTCGGTAATTTAACTGGGTTCTCACGATTTCATTAATGTGAAAAATATTACTACAATGTAAGCTACAATTTTTCATTTGGAATAATATGAATTTTCTATAAAACAAATAATGGGGAATAAAGTAAAATAGAATTTAGGATATTTGCTTGACTACTTATAATACTGTCTTATAAACTTAGAAGATAGAATGGTTTAAGAATATGTGGATAAATATTCAAGGTTAAAATGGCGATATAAGATTTTTTTAACCCTCTTTAATCAAAGTATTTTTATTTGGAAGGGATTGTTAATTATCTAAATAAAACTATCTGATAGATAGTTTTCGATATGAAAAAAAATTGTCAATCAACTGCACCCTATCATTCCTCAATCTGCCACCAGATACTCACTTGAACTCATCGCCGTCCGGTAGAATTTCGCCATTCCGCAGCCATATGTAGTTGTAGGGCTCATCGCAATCGATGGCGCAGCTCAGATCGATCACCTCGCCCTCCAGCGCTTTAGTAATCTCAGGCAGTGGTTCAGTGACGACGGCGCCGCGTCTCTGGATCTCCGCACCCAGTTCGTGGAAGGCGACTGTGGTGGAGCTGATCAGAGGATCGTGGTCGCCGCTTAAGATGCAGGTATACAAGCCCTCGTCCTCGCGCGTCACATTGTCCACGATCAGCAGGGCCATCGAGTCCTCCTCGCGCAGCAGGATGTGCACTCGCTCCGAGGCCTCCAGCTGCACGTTGTTGTGGTAGAATCTCACCGAGGGCACCGAGGAGCCCCTGTAGCCACTTGCCAGAGCCATGCGTCCGCCAATTGCTACGGGATTATGGCGAAAAATCAGGAAAATAAATTATATATCAAAATTTCACATATTTATATAAATAAAAATATTAGCAGCAGCATATATAAAACTACAAATGTGAAAGCTTATTTATTTTTACATATTTTATTTAATTTGATTATGTGACTAATGAAAAAATTAGATATAGGGTACATCATGTAAAATAATTAATGTTGCTAAGGAATAATTGCATCATAATGGCAGTTTAATATTTTCATAATAAATGAAACATTTAGAAATATTCATTTTAAATTATGTCATTTATTTTATCATGTTTAGTCTGTTTTATAAAAAACACCCGCGCTTAAACGCCAATACTTCCGAATTTTTAACTTGATAAGTAATATTATCTAAGTTATGCTCTAATATCGAAGGAAGTTTTTAAACTTATTGGTTTGCAATTTCGCACTTAACAATTGGTATCTAACCCAATATTATATCATAATCTTTCTAGCTTGTTAAGAGAATATTATAAAGAAAGTTAAATTGAAACCCACCTGTGGATGGACCCATGAGGCGCCTGTAGAGGTGGGCATTTCGGCGGGAGGAGGAGGCGCGCACACTGCGCACCGAGGGCGACTTGGAGTAGCGGGAGCTGCGGATGACGTCCAAACGGGCGGTGGCCTCAATCCGACCGAAATCGTTTTCCAGGGTGACGCGATACAGGCCGGCATCCTCGAAGGACACCTCGTCGATCTCGATGATGCGCAGGTCGTCGATTTCCTTGACGGCGACGCGCGGCGTGGGTATGACCACGAAGCCATCCTTGTCCCAGGTGGCCCACGGCGTGGGATGGCCGGAGATGGCGCACTGGAAGCGCACACTGTCGCCCTCCTCGACGACGCGGTTGTAGGGAATGGCGAGGAACTTGGGCGCCGTGATGGCGTTCCGGGCGTCACTGCGCCTCCGCTCCGACACGCCGGACAGGTCGATGCTGCTGGTGCGGTAGGACAGGCGCAGCGGGGAGAAGCTCCTCGCGGGCGTCGATCTTGGCGTGGAACGGGGCGTGGAGTGGGCGGAGAGTAGGCCGCTGGGACGCGTCAACTGGCGACTCAGCATGTTCTCCTTCTCCTCTGGCACGTCCACAATGATGCAGGCGGAGGAGAGGCTGCGGCCCACCGAGTTCTTGGCTACGCACGTGTACTCGCCCTCATCCTCCGGATACACGCGTGGAATACTCAGCGTGGCCTTGGTCCCGTCGAAGGACATCACGTAGTCTCGATCGCTGGGCACCACGTGCCCGTCCTTCTCCCAGATGATGAATGGCTCCGGATCGGCCTCCACATGGCACTCCAGCGATATCGCATCCCCATCGCAACAGCGCAGGTTTCGCAAGTTGCGAACGAATCGGGGAAGGGTCTCGATTTTGCTGTGGATTATTTAAGAAATATTGGTTTAGTTACTAAGTTATTCTTATCTATGGGACATAAACTCACCCATGTCGCGTGTGCACTTTATCCATGCGGCTACTGTTGAGTATGTCTGGTGAAAGAAATACAAAAATGATGTGTCTTACTAAAGAAAAGGAAGTAGAGATATTTTGAATTTGGCGCCTATGTACAACTGCTTGCTTAAAATGGCAAGCAGTGTTTCCAAGTAGGTGAAAACAATCGAGTGTATCGAATAAAAGAGATTTAGCTAACAACTCGACAAGGTCACATCTCGCCAATGTTTATTATTAGCAACGGAATTTCCTTTTAAGTTTTTCCGTAGAGTTTTCGGGACTACAAAATGAGGGGCATGATTATTGTGCCCATGGACTTGGAGCCTGGCTTCCGCAAGGCGGACATACACAATATACCCGCTCTAAACATCGGAATGGTGTTTAACTTTTGCCTATCCTCCGAGAAAACAATGTGAGTGCCATCCCTTTCGCACCCATATGTGGGTATACTTGATATATTCCAATTCTCCCCATAGTCCAACTGACAAAAGCGATCTCCTGACGGATTATGTGCAGATGCGAAGACATGGCGATGTCTGCGAGCTCAAGGGTTTGGTATTCTCCGCCTCGGACTTTGCCAACACGGAAACCCACGCCAATGTGGCGCTCAAGGTCGTGGAAAGTGCCCGGATCATCACAGATGGCCAGTGCAGCCTGTGCGCCACGGCTGGTAAGGTTGACTATTAGTAAGAGATGAACTAGTACCTAATTTTTAACCCCATCAAGGAACCTGCGTCCACATCGTTGCCTTTACCTTCTGGCTGCTAAACAAGAGCACCGATCGAAATCCCTCGGCTGTGGTCGAGTTTTGGGGCCACGAACTAGAAACTCTCGTGCAACCGGAGCCCACGACTGCCACGCGCATTTGTGATATGCTACCCAAAGACGAGGTGCGACTGGAGAGCGAACTGAGCTCCCAGGATCTGACGCCCAATGAGGGACAGGCTTTTCTGGAGACCGTCCTCGAAGAGCTGGCCACTTGCGGCAGAGATTCAGCCCTCTATCGCCAATGTGTGGACACCAGCGATGAGTTCGAGCCCCTGTTCGTTCACCATGTGCTGCTCCGAGCCGCTGAGTACAACATAGTCGATGTGCCCAGCTTTGTGCAGCACATGGAGGCTCAGGCTCAGACAGGAATCATCGAGAGTCTCTATGATGTGACGAGGAACCAGTACAAATCCAGACTGTGGGTGGAGGTGCAGTACATGCGCATTCGCTGCTCCATGATGCATCTGATCATTAACCGCAAAAGAAGCGAGGATGACGATAACATCTTCAACATGATGTTCTGCAAGGGACGGGACAAGAACAATGAGGATCGAGTGCAGCAAAAACAGCACAAGCGATTCATTCTGAAGCAGACGGAGAAGTTGGAGAATAAGCAGTACGTCGAGTGCGGACTGATCATCCACGAGAGCTTCCCCTTTTTGTGTGCCGCCCCCGATGGCATTACGGACGATCACATCGTCGAAATTAAATCGCCAAAGACTGAGGAGGATTTTGAGAAGTACCTAGAGGCCCGCGAGTCTATAGCACCCAAATACATGGCCCAGATACAGATCCAAATGTTCGTGGCTAATGTCAAGAAGGCACTCTACTGTGTGCTCAGTCCAACGTTCGAGGTCAACGGAGCACTGCATTACGTCTGGGTGCAGGCAGATCCGGAATTCGTGGCCAGTTTGCTGGCCATGGCCGAGGAGTTCTGGCGAGACGTGGCGTTCCCCCGCCTAATGAATATTTACCCGCAATTCGGTCAATAAACGTAAAATAGAGCTTACCTTTGGCGAAAATTTGTAGCGATATTACAGCCTTGGCCTCGCCATGGCAATTGCTGGCTATCACGGAATAGGTGCCGGTGAAGTCCAACTTGGCGCTGGGTATCTCCAGTCTGTACTCGGGTCCGTCTCCAATGCGGCGGAAGTGGGGCGCGTCCTTGTAGTATTCCGGCTGCGGGCGAAAGAAAACGTTGCGATCAGTGGGACTGGATGGATCAAGGTCACGACGCGATGAGCTTCGTCTATAAGGACTTGTGCGGCTGTCGCAGAGAATGAATCACGACTGTCTTTATATAAATGTCGGTGCCGTTGACGCTGACTCTCCACTGCCGTTGTTATTATTGTGTTAAGCTTATGGCCATATAAGCACAAAATTCAGTTTCGAGACTGTCGAATAGGAAAACTGGTAATGGGTATACGTTGACCACCCTGACCTCCTCCTCATCCAACTCCTCCTGCCTGCCTGCTCGCTTCCTTGGTCGACAGTGCACGACAGTGGCTAATAATATTTTTTATTTTTTCGCTTTTTTTCCTTTTTGGCTCGCGTAATTGTTTGTTGCGAACAAGCCTGTTATTTGATATGGGTTGAACTTGAATTAGCGTTTGACAGCGAATCGGATTTGTAAGATCTGTGGTCTTGTATAACGCGCACCGTTTCACTATGACGCACTTGTCCGTAATCCGAGCCAGCTGCCCCTGCAGTCTATTCTTCACGTGCTTTTGTAGCCACCTTGTTGCCGTATTGGGTTCTGGGCTGGTTAGCTCCAAGAGGGTCGCTCCGCTTGTTTGGACACTTTGTTCGCGCTCGCGGATCAATCGAAAATAATTCTATCCGCGCGAGCAACTGTGGCAACTGCAACTCAAAAAAAAAACGGTCTACTAAAGTGTCTGGCCCACTGGGAGTTGCCTTTTTATAGTAAACTAAAGCGGAAACTATATTCCGACTTCCTGATGCCAGTAGGGCCCACGTTGCTGGTTCACCTGAACTTGAGCCCCTGATAAAGCAACGGGTTTGAAAGCGAGAGGAGGTGGTGATAAAACGACCCACATTTGCTAACGCCGCGAATGCAACTAACTGCCTGGCCGCCGGAGAGCTGCGCATGTGCAGCATGCCGACGCGACTCTCGTGCAACGTCACGTACTCATACTCATACTCACATTCAGAAAATCGCGCAGCCAAACGACTTCGGGCTTGGGATCGCCAACCACCTCGCAGAATATGATGACGTTGTCGCCCTCGTAGGCTTCGCTGGAGCGCGGCTTAACCACAAATAGGGGCTCCTTGGAATAACTGGGGGAAAAATGATTCATCAGATGGAGTTTCTACAAGGTTCGTTCCAGTTTAATCTTAATATTATTTATTCGGATTCCGTCACCAATTTATTTTAAATTTTATTGGCTATTTGAATAATGAGCAACATACAAAATCGGTCAAAAAATGTATTAATTATTAGATAATGAAATTACAAGACTTTTGAGGTATGTTACTTTTAAATCAACTTAAATTAGGTGAAGTTATGGACTTTAGAAGTCCAATTGTGGGCTACCTTTTTTAAAAGTTATCGAAAACTCAGTAATAACTAACATGAAAATGGGTCAAAATTTTGACCAACGATAAATTGATAAATTTGAATATAGATTTTTAGAGAATTAAAACACAAGTCTTAAGAGGTATGCCACTTTGGAATCGGATTAAATTTAGTAATGTTATGGAATCTAGAAGTCCAATTAAGGGACCTCATTTTTTAAGTCATCGAAAACTCAGTAATAACTAACATGAAAATGGGTCAAAATTTTGAGCAACGTTAAATTGATAAATTTGAATGCAGATTTTTAGAGAATCAGAACACAAGTCTTAAGAGGTATGCCACTTTGGAATCGGATTAAATTTAGTAATGTTATGGAATCTAGCAGTCCAATTATGGGACCTCATTTTTTAAGTCATCGAAAACTCAGTAATAACTAACATGAAAATGGGTCAAAACTTTGACCAACGATAAATTGATAAATTTGAATGCAGATTTTTAGAGAATCAAAACACAAGTCTTAAGAGGTATGCCACTTTGGAATCGGATTAAATTTAGTAAAGTTATGGACTCTAGCAGTCCAAATATGGGACCCCTTTTTTTAAGTTATCCAAAACTTGGTAATACCAACATGAAAATGGGTCAAAATTTTGACCAACGTTAAATTGATAAATTTGAATGCAGATTTTTAGAGAATCAAAACACAAGTCTTAAGAGGTATGCCACTTCGGAATCGGATTAAATTTAGTAAAGTTATGGACTCTAGAAATCCAATTATGGGACCTCATTTTTTAAGTCATCGAAAACTCAGTAATAACTAACATGAAAATGGGTCAAAATTTTGACCAACGATAAATTGATAAATTTGAATATAGATTTTTAGAGAATTAAAACACAAGTCTTAAGAGGTATGCCACTTTGGAATCGGATTAAATTTAGTAATGTTATGGAATCTAGAAGTCCAATTAAGGGACCTCATTTTTTAAGTCATCGAAAACTCAGTAATAACTAACATGAAAATGGGTCAAAATTTTGAGCAACGTTAAATTGATAAATTTGAATGCAGATTTTTAGAGAATCAGAACACAAGTCTTAAGAGGTATGCCACTTTGGAATCGGATTAAATTTAGTAATGTTATGGAATCTAGAAGTCCAATTATGGGACCTCATTTTTTAAGTCATCGAAAACTCAGTAATAACTAACATGAAAATGGGTCAAAATTTTGACCAACGATAAATTGATAAATTTGAATATAGATTTTTAGAGAATTAAAACACAAGTCTTAAGAGGTATGCCACTTTGGAATCGGATTAAATTTAGTAATGTTATGGAATCTAGAAGTCCAATTAAGGGACCTCATTTTTTAAGTCATCGAAAACTCAGTAATAACTAACATGAAAATGGGTCAAAATTTTGAGCAACGTTAAATTGATAAATTTGAATGCAGATTTTTAGAGAATCAAAACACAAGTCTTAAGAGGTATGCCACTTTGAAATCGGATTAAATTTAGTAAAGTTATGGAATCTAGAAGTCCAATTAAGGGACCTCATTTTTTAAGACATGAAAATGGGTCAAAATTTTGACCAACGTTAAATTGATAAATTTGAATGCGGATTTTTAGAGAATCAAAGCACAAGTCTTAAGAGGTATGCCACTTTGGAATCGGATTAAATTTAGTAAAGTTATGGAATCTAGAAGTCCAATTAAGGGACCTCATTTTTTAAGACATCGAAAACTCAGTAATAACTAACATGAAAATGGGTCAAAATTTTGACCAACGTTAAATTGATAAATTTGAATGCAGATTTTTAGAGAATCAAAACACAAGTCTTAAGAGGTATGCCACTTTGGAATCGGATTAAATTTAGTAAAGTTATGGAATCTAGAAGTCCAATTAAGGGACCTCATTTTTTAAGTCATTGAAAACTCAGTAATAACTAACATGAAAATGGGTCAAAATTTTGACCAACGTTAAATTGATAAATTTGAATGCGGATTTTTAGAGAATCAAAACACAAGTCTTAAGAGGTATGCCACTTCGGAATCGGATTAAATTTAGAAAAGTTATGGAATCTAGAAGTCCAATTAAGGGACCTCATTTTTTAAGTCATCGAAAACTCAGTAATAACTAACATGAAAATGGGTCAAAATTTTGACCAACGTTAAATTGATAAATTTGAATGCAGATTTTTAGAGAATCAAAACACAAGTCTTAAGAGGTATGCCACTTAGGAATCGGATTAAATTTAGTAAAGTTATGGAATCTAGAAGTCCAATTAAGGGACCTCATTTTTTAAGTCATCGAAAACTCAGTAATAACTAACATGAAAATGGGTCAAAATTTTGACCAACGTTAAATTGATAAATTTGAATGCAGATTTTTAGAGAATCAAAACACAAGTCTTAAGAGGTATGCCACTTTGGAATCGGATTAAATTTAGTAAAATTATGGAATCTAGAAGTCCAATTATGGGACCTCATTTTTTAAGTCATCGAAAACTCAGTAATAACTAACATGAAAATGGGTCAAAATTTTGACCAACGTTAAATTGATAAATTTGAATGCGGATTTTTAGAGAATCAAAACACAAGTCTTAAGAGGTATGCCACTTTGGAATCGGATAAATTTTGGTAAAGTTATAGAATCTAAAAGTCCAATTATGGAACCCCTATTTTAAGTCGTCAAAATTTTAGTAATAACTAACATCAAAATGGGTCAAAAATTGGATCAACGTTAAATTGAAAAATTTTAATGCAGATTTTTAGAAAATCAAATCACAAGTCTTTAGAGGTATGACACTATGGAATCGGCTTAAGTTTGGTAAAGTTATGGACTCTTGAAGTTTAATTGTGGGTCACCTTTTTTAGAAGTCATCCGAAACTTAGTAATAAGTAACATGAAAATGGGTCAAAAAATGTATCATCGATAAAAAGAAAAGCGAAATAAATATATTTTATGCAATACTCACGGCAGGTCGTCAGTCTTGATGCTGGGTATTTCCAGGGATCGCTGCGGAGCCACGTTCTTGTTCTCCTCCTCCTCGATTGCCACCCGACAGATGGTCTCCACTTTTCCCACGACATTGGAGGCGACACACACATAAATGCCGGCATCCCTTAACGTGGCCTCGGCAATAATTAGCTCCACATAGCCATTGGAGTCCAAGGTGGCGGTCAGACGTCGACTCGGACGCAGTCGCATCCCGTTGCGATGCCATGTGACTCCCACAGACGGATACGCCTCCACCTTCGTGGACAGACGGATTTCGGAGCCCTCGCGGAATATGTAGAAGGGATCCAGTGGCACGTAGAAGTCTGGGGAGATATAGGCTCGTATGCCCTTATCCACCACCAAAGTGCAGTGACAGGAGACAGAACCCAGTTCGTTCTTAGCCAGGCAGGTGTAGGTGCCGCTATCGTCCAACGTGGTGGCCGCGATTTCCAGCGTGAAGAACTGTCCCTCGGCGCTGATGAGATGCTTCCTGTCAGTGTGGACGAGCTCATCGTCCTTGTACCACAGGATCTCTGGCACGGGATAGCCCACGATCTGGCAGGTGAGGCGCACTGGATAGGTAACCTGGACGCGGCGATCCCTCAAGCGCATGGTGAAAATGGGCAGCGAGTCGCCGACATCGGCCACATTGCGCCCGTGGGCGATCTCCTTCAACCGCGAATCCGCCTCATAGATCCTCGAATCGGAGACGACCTGGAGGCGGGCGAAGGTGGAGACTCTGCCCTTGGAGTTGGTGGCCTCGCAAGTGTAACGACCCGAGTCCAGTTCGCTCACAGTGGCGATGGTAAGGGCGCAAGTGGAACCGATCTGCCTGATCTTGACGCGCTCTGAACTGCTGCTCAGTTGAATGCCATCCTTGGACCAGGTGACCTGTGGCCGCGGAGCTCCACGCATGTTGCACTGCAGGGTGAAGGAGGAGCCCAGCAGAGCCTTGGCCTGGCCCGGCAGGATCTTGACGAACTCGGGCAGACACTCAACGCCGCCCACTTGGAGGGGTGAACTGGTCTGCACGGTGGGACCCCAGCCATACCGGTTCTTGGGCGTCACCCGGAAGTGGTACTCGAGGTTGGGTTTCAGGTTGAAGGCGTCGAAGGAGTTAATGGGCGTGAGGCCCAGTTCCCGCCAGTATGCGCCGCCCTCGTGACCCACAACCCAGGCCTCCACTTTGTATGCCATCACCGGAGCCGAGTTGGCGCTAACCGGCTTGCCCCACGACAAAGAGATGTGGGTGGGTCCGGAATCAACGACCAGTGGTTCGGTGGAAATGCAACCCGGTGGATCTGAGGGATGGCAGAGAAAACTCGTAAATGAATGAGACTCAAATGGGAATGGTGTATCTCAAGATGACCTCAATTAAAACTCTTTACGCCCCGGAGAAATATTTTTTATTTTCTTGTTTCCACTACGTAAATGTATAAGCTGGATTGCTGTGCTTTATATAATACATTATTAATAAAAGTAATTAAGTCAATCGTTCAGAAATACTAACAAAAGATAAATACAGGAATAGTTTCTGTGGGCTGGGTTTCTACGATCTCACAGGAAATTTCTTTTGTCGTTTGTGGTGTGTTGTGGCGGTTGAACCGATCTGCAAGAGATGCGTATGAGGTTTGGCATTGTTCTACGACACAAACGCACACTCCAACGGACAACGGACAACAGTCAACACGGAACATAACGGACAAGGAGGGACATATGACATATGAGGGTACCAGGACCCACAGGACTCACCTCTGAAGTACGAAGTATCGCTGTAACTGTCCAGGGGAAGGCCCCAGCGTGTTTGCGTTGGCGTGGCGGAGCGAGCGCGCGGGTTTACCTATAAGTTTTGTAGTCAGAACGATATATTTATTGCTTTGAATGAACACATAGAGTCAGGAAAGTAGTAGACTGAGGGCTAAGTATGATATAATTGTAATTGTATTTGGTGCTTGTTGAGGGAGGCGTTCGAAATTTGCAAAATAAATTGTATTAATAAGCTTTATTCTTCTTTCTTTTTGGGTATTTTAATCTGGAATAAGAGAAGAGAAGCAGAGAAGAGAATTGCAGTGGTTAGTTAGCGAAGCGATAGAGGGACAGCTACAAGCAACAGAGCAATGGGGACATACAGATCCCGAAGGACTCGGATATAGACACTTGGCCTACCGTCACAGTAACGAATATCCTGTCAGTGCCAAAGTTGTTGCGGGCCACCACGAAGTAGGTGCCAGAGTCGGAGATCTGGGCCTGCTGCACTGAGAATCTTGTGTAGTCGTCGGACACCTCTTTGCTGACCCGATCCGACTGGGTGATGTCCTTCGTGCCCTTCATGAAGGTGACTGTGGGGGAGAGTTATACATTAGGAGTAACCTCATTTGAGAGATAAACTTCCCCACTTACGCTTTGGTTTCGGTTCGCCGGCAATGCGGAAGGACAGGGAGAAGGGATCACCCACGGCGATCTTCATTTCGGTGTCTGGCCGGGACAGGAACAGTGGAGGACGCTCGTCCTTCTCAGCTCCCACGGCGACATCGATGTTGGCATGGGATTCGATGCGTCCGAAAGCGTTGGAGGCCCGGCAGGTGTAGGTGCCCTCGACCTCGGGACCGGCATTCATGATGGTCAACGTGTAAACGCCGCGATCGGCCAAGGCCTTGACATTGGGTCCGTCCACCACGCGGCGATCGCGGTACCACTTTACTTCGATGGGTGTGCTGGTCTGCATGAACTCGGCCGAAATGGCCACCGTGCCGCCGTTGCACACCGTCTGGTTGCCCAGGGGCAGCAGGAAGTGCGGCTTGTTGGGGTCGCGGTGGAAGAAGCCGTGCGTCTTCTGGAGCGAGTAGTTCTGGCGACCCTTGAAGTCCACCTGGTGGGAGATCTTGTTCTCGGCTCCCTCGTTGCGGGCCACACACCAATAGACGCCCGAATCCTTCTCCGTGGGATTCAGGATGACCAGCTTGGCGTAGCCGTCGGCCTGGTCACTCAGCTTGTACTTCTCGCCATTTTCGATGGGCTCGGTGCCCTTTATCCACTGGATCTCAGGACGCGGTTGGCCACGTACGCGGCAATCCAGAACCAACTCATTCTCGTTAAGAGAATATGTGTCTGAAAAGGGAAAAAATTAGTGGGCTGCTTTTCCTAAATATGGGTTTACAAAAGCGGTTAGAACATTGAAGATGTGCAATAGCGAGGGTGAAATTCATAGCTCTTTTTAGACGGGTAATACCTCGGATGGGCTGCGTAAAAGTACTTGGCAATGGTGATTCCCTGAAGTGCTTGTACACACGCAACTGGGCATGCGTCAAACTTTCACCAAAATCGTTAGTGGCACAGCAGGTGTAGTTGCCACTATCATCGGCCACTGCCGCAAAGATCTCCAACGAAGCCTCTCCATTGAGGAAGAGGGTCTGATAGCGATTGTCTCCCCGGGGCAGGGGCTTGTGATTCTTCAGCCACTCGATGTGGGTGTTCTCGTCTCCGGATACGGCGCAAAGCAGTCGGAGATTGGCTCCCTCCGAAACAGTGCGATCGTGCAGAAGGGTGTGGAAAAGCGGCTTAGCCTTGCCCACGCTGCGCATGACACGATCTCCGGCTCGGTGAAGCTCTCCATTGCCGTTCACCTGACTACCGGAGCTCAAGTGCGATTGACTGCGGGTCCAGTCGCGTTCGGTTACTGCGGGAATCTCCTCCTGGCTAACGTTGATTAGGCGCTTGAGATCGGCCGCCCTAATGGTGGTACTGGTCGAGTCAATCCGATCCTCGTGCTCTGCATAGCAGGCAAAGATGCCGCAGTCGGAGGATATGGGGTTGCGTATAATCAGTTTCCTTATGCCGCCGGGTTCTTCGACTGTTCTATAGCGATTATTGCATATGGAGTGGTCATCGCGCATCCAACTGACATTCGGTCGTCCGTTCACCAGACAACTCAGCACAATCTCGTTTCGTTGGGCATCGTAGGACTCTGTAGGAAATACAATTAAATGTTTACCTGATACTATTAATAAGTTCATAAAATAATTACCTGTTATACAACTAGAGAAGCTTTCCGGCAGCTTTCCACTCGACTGATCTAGGACACTTAACTGGCCGGCACTCTCCACAGTCTGTCTGCTGTTCTTCACAACGCATCTGTAGTGGCCACTATCCTCCACCCGAGCATCGTAAATCTCCAGGCTAATGGCTCCGTTTATGTTGTAGATCTTGTGGCGAGCATCTTTAGTCACACGCTCCTCGTTCCTCAGCCAGTGAACATCCTCGATGATGCCAGTTACATAGCAAATGAGCTGAGCCTTGTTACCACTTCCAATAGTCATGGTTTTCAGGCTGGTCTCCAGATTCAGGCGTAACTTCGCCTCGCGGGCCTTTGCCTTGGCTGCAGCATTGTCATTCGTCGAGGCAGGTGAGGATTCATCCCGCTTGATCTCTTGTATCACCTTGTCAATCGGTTTCTTCTCAGCAGTTCGCTCTCTTATATAATCGGAGGCCTGGACAAACTTGCTTATCTTCATCTGGCCATTTTCGCTTTCTGCATAGCAGGTATACAAGCCGGAATCATTGCTGTCAAAGTTGCTAATGGTGAGGAGCTTCACTCCGTCGCTCTGCTCTGCATACTGGTATTTGGCGCCTTCAACGGGCAGGAGTGTATTGTCCCTCTGCCAATAAATATGTGGCTTGGGACTGCCCGAAACCTTGCACTCCAAGGTGAGCTGGTTGCCCTGGGAATGATATGCATCTGAAACACGAACGAAGATAAAGAGACAAGCACCAAGACACATAAGACAAAGTACTATAAGAGGTTTTGGGAAGGATGCCTAAGGTTTGTTAGTTTTTCTATGATATTTCTAGGACTACATATAAAGACACACTTAGCTCATAAGCACAAAGACATTCACCTGAACGCACTCAATTAGACGACTCCCACCCCCACATAGAGCATCCTACCTTTGATGCCCACTACAAAGGTGGGCGAGATAACCTCCGGCTTGCCCGTGCTGTACACAAACAAGGTGCAAGTGCTCACGATTTCGTTTTCACTACCCCTGACCCGCAAAGTATATTCTCCAGCCTCCTCTTCGGTGACCCCAACGAGATTCAACCAGGCAATGCCATCCTGCATGGACATCTTGCTCTTCGGTCCAAAGGCGATTGGTTGATCACCGAAGAACCACTTTGCCGTTGGCTCCGGTCCATCGATGTTCACCATCCACTTGACATTGCTGCCCGACTTCACAGTTCGGTTGGAGAGGAAGTTCCTGAAGTACAGGCGCTTCCTTAGATCCGGAGGCGGTGGCACCTCGCGTCTGGAGCTGGTTTGCTCCTCCTCATCCGGCTTTGGCTTCCTGCGACGCTTCTCGCCACCCTCGCCGCCTTCACCTTCGGCGCCCTCTTCTCCAGCTGGTGCCTCCTCATCGCCGGCCGGACGTGGTGGTCTTCCCTCCCTGGGCGGTGAGATGCGTGGCGCTCTCACGCGTGGCTCCACGGTGATCATGTGGACGATCTCCGTCTTGCCCTCGCGATTCTCCGCCTGGCAAACGTACTTGCCGCTGTCCGAGGCCTTCGGATGGCTGATGAACAGCTCGCAGGTGCCGTCGTCGTGGTCCACCTGCTGATACTTCTCGCTGTTCTCCACCTTGACGCCATCCTTCACCCACGTGACCGACGGGGTGGGCAGACCACGCACATGAACGTCCAGCTGCAGCTCATTGATCTTGCCGTGCATCGTGTCCTTAATATTCCTCGTGAAGGTGGGAGGCACGTCACCGGTGCCCGGATCCTCGTACACTTCCAGTCGGCAGGAGGTTGAAGCCTCGCCAGTCTCGTCGCGACCCCAGCACTTGTACTCGCCATTGTCCTCCGCCGTGGCGCTCATGACCTCCAGCAGGCACAGGCCCTCGCTGTACCTGCCCCTGATCTTCGGTGAGTTCTGGATCTGTTCGCCATCCTTGAACCACTTGACCTGCGGTTCCTTGGCCTCCAGGAAGCATGAAATCTTCACCTTGGATCCCTCGGCCACAACGCGATCTCGCATCGAGGTGCTGAAGTGAATCGCAATGTTCTTCTCGCGACGCTTGCTTGACAAGCTGCCGCTATCAGAGGCATAGTCGGATGCGTAGGCCGAGGATGCGCCTTCATCCTCCTCCTTGCGGCCACGTCTCTTCGCCTTGCCGTCCTCAGCCTCGGATTCCGGCTCGGGAGCCGCAGCTGGTGCCGGCTTCTTCTCCACCGGCTTCTCCACCTCCTTGGGGCGCAGCAGACTCTTGTCCGCATGGAACACGCCATGGATGTTGTCCGCGATGTGATGGGCCTGACCCTCGAAGAGCACATAGTGCGAGATCTCCATCTTGCCGGCGCGACTTTCGGCCTTGAGCACATACTTGCCGGAGTCCTTGTTGTCCGGCCGATCGATGATGAGCTCACAGGTGCCGTCCTGGTGCTCGATGAGCTGGTAACGACCGCCGCTCTGGATTTCGATGCTGTCCTTGAACCACTGGACCTCGGGCGTAGGCTGTCCCCTCACGGCCGTCTCCAGGATCAGTTCGTTGGTGTTCAGGTGGTAGGTTTCTGGTAGGGAAACACCGAGACTTGTTACATAAAAACATTGTCAAAGAGAAAGAACCCATTGCATAATGGCTCGTATCAATGGCATTGCACAATAGTGTACACAATGTTTACGGCTAATTATAGATGAATCGATTGATCACTCATCCGACACCGAAGATCTTACCTTTGAGAGACCGAATAAAGACGGGCTGAACATCCGTGTTGACCTTCGGCTGGTAGACATGCAGCATGGCAGAGGTGGTGATCTTGCACGACTCGTTCTGGGCCACGATGGAGTAGGTGCCAGAGTCCTCAGCCTGGGCATTGGTGAATTCCAGAACTGCCAAGCTGTCGCGGTTCATGTTGCGAATGTTGTTCCCGTAAGTGACATTCTGGTCGTCCTTCAGCCACTTGATCATGGGCTGCGGGCCGCCGATGACGGCCTGCAACTTGACCTTGGACCCCTCGGCCACGTAACGGTTGGACAGGTTGACCGTGAAGTACAGCATCTGCTTGGGCGAAGGATCTGGCATCCGGCTGCGTCGCTCGTAACCCCCTTCGCCACCGGCGCCGCCCTCGGCCTCGTCGTCCTTCTTCTTTTTCTTGCCCTTGGCCTTGCCGCCCTCGGCGGGCTCACCTCCTCCTTCCTGCATGGCGATGGCGGACAGGATGCTCGAACGGCGCGACGTGTGGGTGGTGTCGACAACGACCGTGTGGGTGGTCGACTGACTGCCCAGCTTGCTCTTGGCTGTGCAGACGTAGATGCCGTTGTCATTGATCGTCGGCTTGTTGATGATCAGCTCGCAAATGCCGTCCAAGTGCTCGATCTGCACCACCCGATCGTCGACCACCACGGGTATCTGGTCCTTGGTCCACGAGATTTCGGGGCGGGGGTTGCCGCGCACCTTCGTATCGAGAATCAGATCGTTCTGCGAGGCGTGATACACATCTGAGAACAAAGTCAATCAATCAATTTGTCTATTTTCGTACGCGATCGACCTCAATTTGCAAAAACATCGAACGACGGACAAACAAGTACGTGGGACTGTTTGGGGATCGTGTAACCGAGACAACACTTGGCCTAACCACAGAGCACACACAGAGAACTGGGGGACAGGCTGAAATACCTCGCAGGGGCAGGGCGAAAATGGGCTCCGACTCGTCGCCATCCGCCTGGGCAGCATACACCTTGAAGTAGCAGGATGTCTCGATCTCGCTGAGATCGTTTTTGGCCACGCACTTGTAGACACCCGAATCGGCGGATGTGACGTTGCTGATCTCAATAATGGCCTTGCCCTCCTCGGACAAGTTCTTCACGTTGCCGGCCACCACCACCCATTTGTCATCCTTCATCCAGCGCGTGTTGGGTTCGGGTCCGATCACAGTGGCCACAAACTTAACAGTCGATCCCTCGAGCGCCATGCGATCGCGCAGCTGGGTGGCAAATGCCAGTTTCTGCTTGGCGGGCACCAGCTTCTCCGGAGTCGCCCTCACCGGGTGCAGGCGCGCCTGCTCCTCCTCCGCCTCTGCCCTCCTCTGGTCGGAGTCGGCCTTCGACTTGAGGGCCTCCTCCATGGCCTTCTTGGCCTGCTTCAAGCTGTCTAGCTGGATCTTGTCGCGGGCATGGAAGATGCCGGGCACATGGTAGTGCAGATTCCGGGCTACCTCGACCGTGTGGTTGATCTGGACCTCGCCACTGGAGTTGATGGCCTTCAGGGTGTAGATGCCGCTGTCCTTGTTGCCCGGCTTGTAGATGAGCAGCTTGCACACGCCGTGCGCCTCCTCCAGCATGGTGAACTTGTAGCTGGGCTTCACCTGGAAGGCACCGCGCCACCAGGTGATCACCGGTCGCGGTACTCCGTGGACGTGGCACTCGATGGTCAGCTCATCGTCGCGCAGATGGTAGTACTCTGAAAAGGGGCAATTAGAGGACTCTTAGGTTGGCCACGCATTCGCAATCGCCGACGACAAATACCTTTGATATACTGAATGGAAGGGGGTTTGGGTTCGTCCTTGAAAATCTCATAGACGGTCACAATACACGACGAAGACGTCTCGTCGTTCTGGTTCGAGATCACGCACGAGTACTCGCCGGAATCCAGGATGGTGGTGTTGAGCACCTCCAGCACCAGGATGTTGTTGTTGTTGATGATGCGGTGGCATCCGTCGCGCTCCAGCTGCCTGCGGTTGTGGAACCACTTGGCCGACAGCTCGGGGCCGTCCACGGCGCAGGCCAGGCGGACACTCTGACCGGCCTCGACGGCCCGGTCGGACAGGAAGTTGATGAACTTGGGATTGCGAGCCTGCTCCCGGCGACGCTGCCAGTCGGCGTCCCGCTCCTTCTCGCTGATCCGCTTGGCCTGGCTGTATTTGCGCATCTGCTGCATGAACTCCTCGCCCTCGACGGCGGCGATGCGCTGCCAGCGTTCCTCCTCGTGGGGATCCGGGCGGACGAACTCGTCGGAGGAGTCACTGCCTCGGCGTTTCTCCTTTTTCTTTGGCTCGGCCACCACATCTTCCTCCTCTTCGGCCTCGCGCTCATCGCCCTCCTCAGCATAGTCCTGATCCTGGTCCTCGTCTCCGTAACCAGCCTCGGTGGCCTCATCGCCCTCCTCGCCCAGGGCCGATGGATCCTCCTCGTCCTCCTCGGCCTCGGCTTCGGCCTCTTCCAGGGCCCGCTGCTCGGCATCCAGACGGTCCTGCTCCTCCTTCTCGGCCTGGAGACGCTTCTGGCGCTCCTCGAAGGTCTCGCCCTTGGGCTTGGCCCGAGCAGCGGCCTCCTCGGCGGCCTTGGCCGCAGCCTTCGCCTGCTCCTCCATCTGGAGCACCATCTTGCTCTTCTTCGGCGGTGGCTTGGCCTGCTGTTGCTCGAACATCTTCTTGCTGGCCTTCTGGCCACCGCCGATCTCCAGTTTCAAGGTCAATTTCGGACTGGGCGACTTCTCCTTCTTCTCCTTCTTCTTGGGCGGAGCCTTCTTCTTGCCCTTCTTCACGGGCTCATCATCGTCGAGATCGACACTGTCCTCCCGGTCGTCGCCGCCATAGTCACCCAGATCCTCTCCGTCCTCGCCCGCCAAAGGACTCATGTCCTTGTCAATGGACTTGCGCTGGACGCGCGGCTTCCTGGCCTTTTTCTCCTTCTTCTTGGGCTTCACTTCCTCGATGATCTCCTCCTCCTCCACCTCCTCGTACTCCTCCACAACGTAGATAACCTCAACGTTGGACACATCCATTACGGCAGCCCGATCGATAACCGACAAATCGGACGTTATGTAACGCACGGGCTTTTGCACGTCCAACGGCTCGGAAATATCCATGACGAGGGCGCGATCGAAGACGGCGATGTTGCAGGTGGTCTGGCTCTTGATGTCCCTCCCCAGTTCGAAGGGGGTCTTCTCCTTTTCCTCGCGTTTCAGGAAGGGCGTAATGCTGCGCCATGTCGAGGGCGTGGCACTGCGTCGCACCATGTACAGGGTGAACGGGGTCTGACTGCGGCCGTGAATGGGCGTGGCACTGCGTCCGCGGAGGCTTCCAGGAGTCGGTGACTTAAGCTTGCGCTTCTTTTGCGTTGGCACCTGCAGGGTATCCTGGGCCGGTGCCGCCTCCGGTTCGGCCGAACCCCTCGGCTCCAAATCTCCGTTCTCCGTTTCTCCCATTTCGGTTCGTTTTCGTACGGCCTCTTTCGGTTTTGGAAGGATAAAACTCGTAAATGAAAACCGAAATAATTGCTATCCGTCCGAGTCGTATATGTATGACTTTCTAAATCAATATATATAGCCCGCAACGGTTCGATCGAGTTTTTTAGGACGTGAGACGTCCGTTCGATTCAAAAGAAGATTCACGACTGTCACCGAACGTGGTGAAAATTGCGAAAATACATTCCTTGTCGAATCGAATCGAGTCGATCTTAGTCCCCAATCGATTGTTATGCTAAAAACAATTTTACGAATTCTGTTTTGTTCGCTGCCGACGTCGCACAAACACACGCATGCAACATTGATTGCCAAAATGCAATTCTATTTAAATACTGGCCACTTTTATTGAAGATGCAGATGCAGATGCAGGCAGTAAATTTAAGTAAACGCAATTATATAAGTGAGAGCACGGCTGCCATTTGAATGAAATTGGCTATTTAAAGAGGAATCTATTTAAATGCGATGATAAAGTGCATCGTTTACCTTTAAATCACGGCACTTGCCATATTCGCGAACCGAAAGTGCGAATCGATTGGTTAGTCAAGAAGTAAATACGCACGACATATCATAAAATTCGCGATTTATTCTAGCCTTACGAACTAGCTTCCTATATACTAAGTCTATACTACATACATACATGTGCAAGCGAATGCAAGGTGCATAATGCGAAATAAAAGAAATATTTTCATTCGCAATTAAGCACTAATTAAGTTTGAAATTCGGGCATTGGATCACTAGGTAGAGAGGGCAAAATCGGCACTTACCTCGAATGTTGCGTGTAAATATTGGCGGGGTGCCAAATTTGCTCGAAGGTGCTTCGTATATAGTCACAAGACAGCTAGTTTCGACTTCTCCATTTTGATTGGACGCTATGCAGCGGTAAATGCCAGAGTCACTAAGTTCGGCCGATTTAATTTCAAGGCACGACAGTCCGTCGTTCAGTGTCCTCCTATACTTGGCCCCATTCTCGATTGGACTGTTCTCCTTGAACCATTCCACGTTCATGTCATGACCCGACAGCCCACAAGTCAACTTGAGGTCGCTGCCGGAGGCGGTGTTCCGGTTCGTTAATTGGATGTCAATTGTGGGCTTGCGTTTGGCACTTCGGGATTCCTTCTTATCCTTGTACTCGGAACCCAATGACTTGTACGTTTGCAAGCTAACAGAGTCAGCAGATTCCTCAACTTCAAACACCTTGCGTCTGGCATAAGCTGATTCTTCATCCAGGACCTTGATTTCCTCAGCATCTTTCTTCTTAGCTTCAACTTGCACCTTCTCAGCCTGCGCTTTTAATATCTTTTCATTAATAACCTCGGCTTCTTCCTTTCGCGCTTCCTTATCAGCCAGTTTTTGTTTCTTTTCATCTAGTTCTCGACCATCGGCAGATTTTTTCTCCAAGTCCATTGGCTTCTTTGTTTTAACTTCTTTCTTTCTTTCTTCAGCAATAACCTCGGAGACCTCAGCCTTTTCAGATTTATCATCAGCAACGACCACAGTCGGTTTTTGATTATTTTCATCCAGTTTTTCTTGATTGATTGATGTCTTTTCCAAAACCTTAGCCTTTTTAGACTTAGCTTCAGTGTCCTTGACTTCGGGTTTTTTAATTTCTTGAGCCTTTCCTTCAGATATCTTTTCAGCAAGAACCTCGGAGACCTCAGCCTGCTCAACCTTCTCATCAGCAGGGACTTCAGCCTGTTTTTGTTTGTTTTCATCCAGTTTTTCTTCTTCGATTGATTTCTTTTCCAAGACCTTTGCCTTTTTGGGTTTAGCTTCAGTGTCCTTGACTTCGGTCTTTTTACTTTCTTGAGTCTTTTCTTCGGATATCTTTTCAGCAACAACCTCGGAGACTTCAGCCTGTTGAACCTTCTCATCAGCAGGGATTTCAGCCTGTTTTTGAGTCTTTTCATCCAGTTTTTCTTCTTCGATTGATTTCTTTTCCAAGACCTTTGCCTTTTTAGGTTTAGCTTCAGTGTCCTTGACTTCGGTCTTTTTAATTTCTTGAGTCGTTTCTTCGGATATTTTTTCAGCAACAACCTCGGCGACCTCAGCCTGTTGAACCTTCTCATCAGCAGGGATTTCAGCCTGTTTTTGTTTCTTTTCATCCAGTTTTTCTTCTTCAATTGATTTCTTTTCCAAGACCTTTGCCTTTTTAGGTTTAGCTTCAGTGTCCTTGACTTCGGTCTTTTTAATTTCTTGAGTCTTTTCTTCGGATATTTTTTCAGCAACAACCTCGGAGACCTCAGCCTGTTGAACCTTCTCATCAGCAGGGATTTCAGCCTGTTTTTGTTTCTTTTCATCCAGTTTTTCTTCTTCGATTGATTTCTTTTCCAAGACCTTTGCCTTTTTAGGTTTAGCTTCAGTGTCCTTGACTTCGGTCTTTTTAATTTCTTGAGTCTTTTCTTCGGATATCTTTTCAGCAACAACCTCGGAGACTTCAGCCTGTTGAACCTTCTCATCAGCAGGGATTTCAGCCTGTTTTTGTTTCTTTTCATCCAGTTTTTCTTCTTCGATTGATTTCTTTTCCAAGACCTTTGCCTTTTTAGGTTTAGCTTCAGTGTCCTTGACTTCGGTCTTTTTAATTTCTTGAGTCTTTTCTTCGGATATTTTTTCAGCAACAACCTCGGAGACCTCAGCCTGTTGAACCTTCTCATCAGCAGGGATTTCAGCCTGTTTTTGTTTCTTTTCATCCAGTTTTTCTTCTTCGATTGATTTCTTTTCCAAGACCTTTGCCTTTTTAGGTTTAGCTTCAGTGTCCTTAACTTCGGTCTTTTTACTTTCTTGAGTCTTTTCTTCGGATATTTGTTCAGCAACAACCTCGGAGACTTCAGCTTGTTGAACCTTCTCTTCAACAGGGATCTCAACCTGTTTTTGTTTCTTTTCATTCAGTTTTTCTTCTTCGATTGATTTCTTTTCCAAGACCTTTGCCTTTTTGGACTTAGCCTCAGTATCCTTGACTTCGGGTTTTTTAATTTCTTGAGCCTTCTCTTCGGATATCTTTTCAGAAACAATCTCTGAGATATCATCCGTTTGTGTTTTTTCACCAGCAGCGATCTCAGCCGGTTTTTGTATCTTTTCATCCAGCTTTTCAACTGCAATTGATTTTTTATCCAGGACCTTTGCCTTCTTAGGAGTATCTTCAGTGTCCTTAACTTCAGCCTTTTGGCTTTCATCAGGTTTTACTTCGGATATCCTTTCAGACACAACCTCGGAGACCTCAGCCGATTGAACCTTCCCTTCAGCAGGTATCTCAACCTGTTTTTGTTTTTTCTCAAGCAAGTTTTCTTCTTCAATTGATTTTTTATCCAAGATCTTAGCCTTTTCAGATATAGCTTTAGTGTCCTTGACTTCGGTTTTTTTACTTTCTTGAGCCTTTTCTTCGGATATTTTTTCAGCAACAAGTTCGGAGCCCTCACCCTCTGATACCTCAGCCAAGTGAGCCTGTTTGTCAGTTAATTGTTTCAAGTCTTCAATAATAGCAAGGATATTTTTGGTAATAATTTGAATCTTTCCATTTATTACAGCGGTATGCAGTGGTTCCTGTTTATTTTCAACATAGTCATAGTCGCTAAGCAGGATTGTTTTAATTTGTTCAATATTTGGTTTTAATATATCCGTCTTCTCATCTAAGAGGTCATCAAGAATTACGAAAATATCCATTAAACTCTGTTGCAAACTAATCATTTTTTCCGATGACTTATCAACATATTGTTCCGATTGAACTTTTACTGAAATTCTCTCTAGATTAACCAGTTTTGGGACTAATAAGGATGGCTTAGTGAACATGTTACAGTCGTCAATTAGTTGAATTGCTGCTTTTGTTAAAATCACGTTGGTTTTAATTTCCTTGAGATAATTGTGCATTACTTTTTCAGCAACTTCTGGAGAGGCCTCGATCAGCGATTCAATAAATGCTTCCAAAAGTTTATTATCTTCGGCAGATTTTCCATCGTAGGTGTGAACTATACGCTCTCTTAATTTAAATATTAATTTTGAAACTGCGTCTGCATCCTTAAGGTTATTTATTATGACTTCGCTTTCGGTTAAAATATCTTTCATACCACTGCTTGCTGCCTTCGAAAATTCGATGAATTGTTTATTCAAAATACTTAAGATATCTTCCTGGGATTTGTCCTTCTTTGCCTCAGATACTTGTGGCTTCTCGGATTTCTGTTTCATAAATCCTTCGTCTTGCTTTTTAGCCTCAGCATCTAATTCTTTTTTCTCCACGATTTGTTTCTCAAAAGCTTTGACCTTCTCCGATTTAGTTTCCGAATCCTTTATTTCAGGCTTCTTGGGCTCATTAATTTTTTCTTCAGTAATCTTTTCGGCAACGGCTTCGGATACTTCTGGTTTCTGGGATTTCTGTTCAATATCTTTGTCAGCTGGCTTTTGTGCCCCAGCTTCCAATTGTTTTTCTTCCAGGACTTGTTTCTCCAAAGCCTCTGCCTTCTCCGATTTAGTTTCAGATTCTTTTATCTCAGGCTTCTTGGGCTCATCAATCTTTCCTTCAGTAATCTTCTCTGCAATGACTTCAGATACTTCTGGTTTCTGGGATTTCTGTTCAATATTTTTGTCAGCTGGCTTTTGTGCCCCAGCTTCCAACTGTTTTTCTTCCAGGACTTGTTTCTCCAAAGCCTCTGCCTCCTCTGATTTAATTTCCGAATCCTTTATCTTAGGCTTCTTTGGCTCATCAATCTTTTCTTCAGTAATCTTCTCTGCAATGACTTCGGATACTTCTGGTTTCTGGGATTTCTGTTCAATATCTTTGTCAGCTGACTTTTGTGCCCCAGCTTCCAATTGTTTTTCTTCCAGGACTTGTTTCTCCAAAGCCTCTGCCTTCTCCGATTTAGTTTCAGATTCTTTTATCTCAGGCTTCTTGGGCTCATCAATCTTTTCTTCAGTAATCTTCTCTGCAATGACTTCAGATACTTCTGGTTTCTGGGATTTCTGTTCAATATTTTTGTCAGCTGGCTTTTGTGCCCCAGCTTCCAACTGTTTTTCTTCCAGGACTTGTTTCTCCAAAGCCTCTGCCTTTTCTGATTTAGTTTCCGAATCCTTTATTTCAGGCTTCTTGGGCTCATCAATTTTTTCTTCAGTAATCTTTTCGGCAACGACTTCGGATACTTCTGGTTTCTGGGATTTCTGTTCAATATCTTTGTCAGCTGGCTTTTGTGCTCCAGCTTCCAACTGTTTTTCTTCCAGGACTTGTTTCTCCAAAGCCTCTGCCTTCTCCGATTTAGTTTCAGATTCTTTTATCTCAGGCTTCTTGGGCTCATCAATCTTTCCTTCAGTAATCTTCTCTGCAATGACTTCAGATACTTCTGGTTTCTGGGATTTCTGTTCAATATTTTTGTCAGCTGGCTTTTGTGCCCCAGCTTCCAACTGTTTTTCTTCCAGGACTTGTTTCTCCAAAGCCTCTGCCTCCTCTGATTTAATTTCCGAATCCTTTATCTTAGGCTTCTTTGGCTCATCAATCTTTTCTTCAGTAATCTTCTTTGCAATGACTTCGGATACTTCTGGTTTCTGGGATTTCTGTTCAATATCTTTGTCAGCTGGCTTTTGTGCCCCAGATTCCAACTGTTTTTCGTCTAGGACTTGTTTCTCCAAAGCCTCTGCCTTCTCCGATTTAGTTTCAGATTCTTTTATCTCAGGCTTCTTGGGCTCATCAATCTTTTCTTCAGAAATCTTCTCTGCAACGACTTCAAATACTTCTGGTTTCTGGGATTTTTCTTCAATATCTTTGTCAGCTGGCTTTTGTACCCCAGCTTCCAATTGTTTTTCTTCCAGAACTTGTTTCTCCAAAGCCTCTGCCTTTTCTGATTTAGTTTCCGAATCTTTTATTTCAGGCTTCTTGGACTCATCAATCTTTTCTTCAGTAATCTTCTCTGCAATGACTTCGGATACTTCTGGTTTCTGGGATTTCTGTTCAATATCTTTGTCAGCTGGCTTTTGTGCCCCAGCTTCCAACTGGTTTTCTTCCAGGACTTGTTTCTCCAAAGCCTCTGCCTTCTCTGATTTAGTTTCCGAATCCTTTATCTCAGGCTTCTTTGGCTCATCAATCTTTTCTTCAGTAATCTTCTCTGCAATGACTTCGGATACTTCTGGTTTATGGGATTTCTGTTCAATATCTTTGTCAGCTGGCTTTTGTGCCCCAGCTTCCAATTGTTTTTCTTCCAGGACTTGTTTCTCCAAAGCCTCTGCCTTCTCCGATTTAGTTTCAGATTCTTTTATCTCAGGCTTCTTGGGCTCATCAATCTTTTCGTCAGAAATCTTCTCTGCAATGAATTCGGATACTTCTGGTTTCTGGGATTTCTGTTCAATATCTTTGTCAGCTGGCTTTTGTGCCCCAGTTTCCAACTGTTTTTCTTCCAGGACTTGTTTCTCCAAAGCCTCTGCCTTCTCTGATTTAATTTCCGAATCCTTTATCTCAGGCTTCTTTGGCTCATCAATCTTTTCTTCAGTAATCTTCTCTGCAATGACTTCGGATACTTCTGGTTTCTGGGATTTCTGTTCAATATCTTTGTCAGCTGGCTTTTGTGCCCCAGCTTCCAACTGTTTTTCTTCCAGGACTTGTTTCTCCAAGGCCTCTGCCTTCTCTAAATTAGTTTCCGAATCCTTTATCTCAGGCTTCTTGGGCTCATCAATCTTTTCTTCAGTAATCTTCTCTGCAATGACTTCAGATACTTCTGTTTTCTGGGATTTCTGTTCAATATCTTTGTCAGCTGGCTTTTGTGCCCCAGCTTCCAACAGTTTTTCTTCCAGGACTTGTTTCTCCAAAGCCTCTGCCTTCTCTGATTTAATTTCTGAATCTTTTATCTCAGGCTTCTTGGGCTCATCAATCTTTTCTTCAGTAATCTTGTCTGCAATGACTTCAGATACTTCTGGTTTCTGGGATTTCTGTTCAATATCTTTGTCAACTGGCTTTTGTGCCCCAGCTTCCAATTGTTTTTCTTCCAGGACTTGTTTCTCCAAGGCCTCTGCCTTCTCTAAATTAGTTTCCGAATCCTTTATCTCAGGCTTCTTTGGCTCATCAATCTTTTCTTCAGTAATCTTCTCGGCAATGACTTCGGATACTTCTGGTTTCTGGGATTTCTGTTCAATATCTTTGTCAGCTGGCTTTTGTGCTCCAGCTTCCAACTGTTTTTCTTCCAGGACTTGTTTCTCCATAGCCTCTGCCTTCTCTGATTTAGTTTCCGAATCCTTTATCTCAGGCTTCTTTGGCTCATCAATCTTTTCTTCAGTAATCTTCTCTTCAATGACTTCGGATACTTCTGGTTTCTGGGATTTCTGTTCAATATCTTTGTCAGCTGGCTTTTGTGCCCCAGATTCCAATTGTTTTTTTTCCAGGACTTGTTTCTCCAAAGCCTCTGCCTTTTCTGATTTCGTTTCCGAATCTTTTATTTCAGGCTTCTTGGGCTCATCAATCTTTTCTTCAGTAATCTTCTCTGCAATGACTTCGGATACTTCTGGTTTCTGGGATTTCTGTTCAATATCTTTGTCTGCTAGCTTTTGTACCCCAGCTTCCAACTGTTTTTCTTCCAGGACTTGTTTCTCCAAAGCCTCTGCCTTTTCTGATTTAGTTTCTGAATCTTTTATCTCAGGCTTCTTGGGCTCATCAATCTTTTCTTCAGTAATCTTCTCTGCAACGACTTCGGATACTTCTGGTTTTTGGGATTTCTGTTCAATATCTTTGTCAGCTGGCTTTTGTGCCCCAGATTCCAATTGTTTTTCTTCCAGGACTTGTTTCTCCAAAGCCTCTGCCTTTTCTGATTTAGTTTCTGATTCTTTTATCTCAGGCTTCTTGGGCTCATCAATCTTTTCTTCAGAAATCTTCTCTGCAACGACTTCGGATACTTCTGGTTTCTGGGATTTCTGTTCAACATCTTTGTCTGCTGGCTTTTGTGTCTCAGCTTCTGACTGTTTTTCCTCCAAGATTTGTCTCTCCAAAGATTCGGTCTTCTTCAATTTTGTTTCTGTGTCCATTATTTCAGTCTTTTTGGGTTCCTCATTCTTTTCTTGGGATATCTTTTCATTATCGACCTTTGATTTTTCTTGATTGAATGTTATCTGTTCAATACCTTTGTCTACTTGGTCTTGTGTTTCCTTTCCCATATCTCTGTCCTGTTCTACAGTTGCGGAAATTTCAGTAGATTCGAATTCGCTCTTGATTTGCTGGTCAATGAAATCTTTAAAGTCTTCACATATATTAAGGATCTTTTGCGTTATTATTTGTATTTTTCCATTAACTACTGCTGTGTGTAGTAGACCCTGCCTGTTTTCAATGTAATCATATTCACTGAGCAATATTTTTTTGATTTCTTCTATCTTGGGACTTAATTGTTCCGATTTTTCGTTTAAGAGGTCGTCCAGTATAATGAAAATATCCATTAAATTCTGTTGCAGACTAACCATTTTTTCCGATGACTTATCAATATGTGGTTCCGATTGAATTTTTTCAGATATTTTTTCAAGATTAATCAATTTTGGAACTAAAAGGGAAGGCTTAGTGAACATGTTGCTATCGTCGATAAGTTGAATTGCCGCCTTTGTTAAAATGATGTTGGTCTTAATTTCTTTAATATAGGTTTGAATTACTTGTTCAGTGGCTTCTGGGCAGGCTTCGAAGAGTGATTCAATAAATTCTTCAACAAGTTCTTTGTCTTTCTGTTCTTCTGGTGGCTTGCCATCATATGTGTGAACTATATGCTCTCTTAATTTAAAAATAGATTTTGAAACTTTATCAACGTTATTGATATTTTCAAGAATGTCTTGGCTTTCTGCAATAATAGATTTTATTCCATCATTGTCTGTATCATAGTTAGCCACGGATAACTTTTGCGTTAAAGCCTCAAAAATTGTTTCTGGAGATGCCTTTTGAAGCGCAGCATTTATATCTTTTTGTCCCTTTTCATTCTCAATTAGATTTGGTTCATTTATTTCCAAATCAGATACCTTTTCGGGAACGACCTCTGATGCATCCTTTGCCTTCTGGTCACTATCTTGACTCGTCGACTTAATTTTCAGTTCTTTTTCCATAAGTGTCTTGTCGTCGGGTAGAAGTTCAGTTTCCTTCGACTTTTTGGAATCATCAATCGTTTTCTTAGGTATTTCTTCAGTTACAATTGGTTTGGACTCAGGCAGCTTTTTGGAATCCAGTTGTTGCTGAGTTTCCACAATTTTTGGCCTTTTGGCTTCTGGTTCGATGTCTTCCTGGCTTCCAGATCCCTCTTTGACTTCTATGTCAGTATCGAAGGCTGATTCAGGCGAGGAGACGTCCGACTGATTTTGAAGATCGGAAAGGAATACATTTAATTTGTTCAACTTTTCCTGTAGAACATTTATCTGTAGCTGCAGAGTATCGATGAGGCTAAATTGCTTAGCAGTAATCTGTGTAAGTTGTGGTTGAGAAAGGATTTCTTTCTCGATTTGCACAAGTGTTGCTTCTAGTTGAGCGATGTCGTCAGTGTTTTCATCGAGCAAAAGAATGCACTGGGGGTTATTAGCTTGAAGCCCCTCCTCGATTTCCGTCAGGAACGTTTTGCCGGACGAAACATTTTCAATAATTATGCTTATGTCAATTGGCACTGTAGGTTCATTCGGAATTTGAGATAGTGCCTTTAATTCCGCTGTAATGGAATCAATTTCCTGTAAAAGTTCTATGACACGAATAGTATTCTCATTGTTTTCGATAAAGTCGAAAACAGTTACCAAGCTACTTTGAGTCTTTAAGAGTCCACCCAATACCTCATTACTGACCTCATCACTAACTTCATTAAGACTGCGAAAAGCTGCCATCAGACTGGTCTGAAGTTGAACAACGACCGCTGATGATTTGTCGACATCGACAGTTGGTTGAGCGGCCACAGCTCCAATAGATCGCACAAGGTTTTCAATTGGATTCTTGAGAGTTTTGAGCTTTTGATTATCAACAGCATCTAGCCGCTCACAATGGACAACAAAGTTGCTGAAGGCCTTTTCGATTTTGCCAAACATCTCCTCGGCCAACTGAGTCTCTAGAATTGGTAAGGAAAGCAATATGTCTTCAAAGGCACTTTCCACGTTCTCCAACGAGTCCACCAACCCAGATTCATAGGTGTGCACCAAGGACTCCTTCAATCTAAACATGGTGCGGGCTATTTCAGCTTGAGCCAAAACAGTTTCCTGCTGAACACTATCTGTGACCAGAGCAGTCTGTATGTTCTCTAGATCTGATTTAAGCTGCTCCATTATTTTACCAACTTGCTGGAGCTCCTTATTCGCATCTGCGTGGGTGACTTCCAGACAAGCTTCAAGTTGTTTAATGCCACTTGCCACACCTTGTTGTATGTCAAAAACTTCCACTTTTGGCTCTTCTTCAACGAGAGCTACTTCCTGGATGTGATCTGAAACGGTTTGCTGATGACCACTGCTCTTTAAGTCAGAGATATCCCCCTGCGTGGATATATCAACGACATTTTCCAGAAGTTGTACATCAATCTGTTCGCAGTACTGCCTCACATCGCGAAGTGGAGTGGCCAAAGTCTTAAGTTTCGAGAGTTCTAGTTCACTCATATTCTCCACTCCACTGTGTGCCATGCACTCCTCGACTTGGAGCACACATCGCTCCAAGCTGCAAAGGGCTTCGGCAAAGGTGCCCTGTTGACTAGCCTCCGACAAAGAATGGGCTGTTTCCGCCACGTTAGTTTCGTGCACCAGTGCCAAACTATTCTGCAGCTCTTGCATTTTGACTATGGCTGCCTGGACTTGCTGGGCGGTAGTTCCGTGTAGAGAGACTACGTCGGGATCTTCACAATGTGAAAGAACCGAAGTGATACCTTGGTTTAAGTCCGACAGCAGGACAGCTACAGAAGATGGCTTCTCGGCACTCAAGGGTTCCGCCTCCGGTTCGGTGGGCAAAGACTCTGCGGCTGACTTAAGCACTGACACATCATCCAAAGTGGACAAATCTTCCATTGAAGCCATTGGTGGCTTCAGGTTTTCAAGCACATGAATCAGACTGGAGAGAGGACTGGCTATGGAAAGCTTCTCATCCATTGACTGCTTTTGTTGGCCAACAATATCGCCAAACTGATTCAGGGCATGCAGAAGTTCATTGTCGGACAAGGATTCAGGACTTTCCAGGGCTTTAGCCAAGTCAGCAAAACTCTTGCCACACTCGAAAAGGATTCTGGTTGTGTTGGCCTCGTTGACATCGAGCGTTGTCTCCGCCTCGCTAAATGTGGCCAGTCCTTTGGCAATTTGCAAGATCCTCAAAAGGTGGACTTGAGCTTCGTTTGATGATGTTTTCACTCGCTCCGAAGCTTTTAAGCTCTCGCTAATTTTGTTCAATGCTTCCTGCAGTGTTTCAATGTTGCCTACTGCCTCCTCCAGGGACACCTTTGTTTCCAGGACCTTGCGCAAGGCACTGAAAGATTTGTCCTGCTGCTGCGAGGCTTGCTCCTCATCCTGTTGAATCTCCTGCTGCAGAATCTTAAACTCGTGTTCTTCAATATCAATGACCACGTTGCGAATGATGCTGCGGATGTTGTCCAGGGTCTGCAGAGCTTGTTGATCAGGTTCCCGGGCTGTCAACAAACGCCCGTGACCTTTTTGGGTGTTTTCCTGCAACATGCTCAAGGGTTCAATCAGGTCGGCCAAGGAACCAGTCATATTCTTGACCTCCGTCTGCCGAATGCAATAGTTCAACTCGTCGACGGGTCGCTTCAGTCTGTCCAGCAGCTCCACATGATGTCCGGTAATGTCTCTTTCCAAAATGGAGCTTATCAAAGCTGACAGTTCATCCTTGAGGTTTAGTAATCGTATTTTTACGTTCGAGGAGAGTCTGGGAGAGATCCTTTCTATGTTCGTCTCAAAATGCAAAACAGCCTGGGCGAAGGACTGCAAAAGTTTCTGGGTGTCAGCCACATCCAGTGCTGGCTCAGATCGGAGTTCCTCCTGGTGCATGGAGGCCTGACCGCTCTCCAGATCTTGACCCAGTTGTGCCAGCCCATTTTGGATCTCCTGCAGCGGTGGCACCATCGATTCTACAGTACTAACGGTCAGCATGCCTCCATCCACACTGTCTGACTTTTCGTTTAGAATGACTTCCAGACCCTTGTTGAGCTCGAAAAGTGGTGGGGTGACAATATCAAGAATGGCCATGTTGATTTTCTGCTCCATTGACTCGGAACCAACTAGGGACTCCGTTTTATCCTCGATGGACTGGAGGGTACTTTGTAGCTGCTTAATCGGCTCCACAATGCTCTCGAGCACTTTCTGGTGCACCTTCTTGTAGATCTGCTCCTCCGACTCTTCCAATGAAAGCTCCATCTCAACGCGCTCTAGCGCTTCCTGAATCTTGGCAACAGGTTTACAAATTTCCTTTAGAGCGCTCGCTTCACTGGGCAGATTCGCCTCCGAAATGGTGGCGAAGGATATGGAGTCGGGAACTTCTTGCATTTTTTCAACAGTCTCTGAGAAATGCTTGGCTGCCTCCAGCTCCTGAGCCTCCTGCAGAAGGGCCTGTGATTTAATTGTGCCCTGCGTGATCTCCAATCCCTGCTGAATGTCATCGGCAGTCAGCTCGATTTGGGAACGTAGGCACTCCGACTCGAACTTCCTGCTCACGATCTTCAGTTCTTCGAGGGCTCGTTTCATTTGGTCGGCCACGCTGTCAATAATGCAGACACTGGTGCGCTGGATGAGCGTGGCTCCAGTTTCGTCAATCTCCACACACTTTTCGATCACCTGCAAACCCATGTGCAGCCGGCGAATGTCCTCGTCCATGGATTGAATGAGAGCGTCGATTTGGGTTTCGCCAGAGTAGACCCTCAGTTTAGATTCGATTTGCTTAATAGGATCAATGATGTTGCGAATGATGGCAATGCTCTGATCTGCAGCCGACGGGGTCATCATCATGGTGGACTGTTCCATCACCTCATTCTCGACTGCTGTCAAATGATTCTCAATTACCTTGAGCAACTTTGCCAGTGGAACGAGGGCCATTAGATTTTTATTGATCTCATTCTCGTCGGTAATTGCTTTGGCGTGGGAGGATGGTCTGACCATGAGTCCATCACCCACAGCACCCGAAATGTCCTGCAAACGAGCTTCATCCTCAGTGGTCTTGGAGGAATCACTGTCTGTGGGTTTCTTAGACTTCTTTCGTTTCGGCGGGGCCATTGCGTCCTTGTCCTTTTCCGGACTGGTTTGCGCTTCAGAGGCCGCCTTTTCCGGACTGGTTTGCGCTTCAGAGGCCGCCTTTTGGGATGCGGACATCTGGGCACTGGCAAAGGTTTGCAAGTCGGATGTCTCCTCCTCACCTTGACTACCGGAGGCCGAGGCTTTCGACAAGCTGAAGAACTCATCTGTCTCTGTGGGCTTGGACTTCTTCCGCTTTCGAATTGGCGCTGATAGCGAAAGCTCCTCCTCCATTTTGTTAAAGGAATCCTGAACAAATTGCTCCGTTTCCCTGTCGACTCTTTCTTCCCTTCCCGAAGAGCCGTGCACCGTGATCTCGTTTATGGATATGTCATCCATATCGGCCTCAGTACGCATATCGTCTTCCACTGTGAAATATTCGGGGGATATATCAATAACCACGGCTTCCATCAGAAGTTTTCCCGACTGTGAAGTCTCCTTCACAAAACGCAGCGGAGGCAGTTCTACGATATTGTGCTCAGTCACATGCTCCGAGATTTGGTCAGCATACATTTCCACAATTTTGAGGGCCTCCTCCTCCGTGAGATCGGGAGTCTCGTAGAGTGAAACCGAGACCTCCTTGCCGTCGAAGGAGAAGGACACGTCGCCCTTCTCATCGATGGTTATATCGCCGACAGGAGTCTCGTACATCTGGGAGGTGCGTTCTTCCTGGATGGTGGACAAGGAGAAGTTCCTCTGCAACTCGTTCTCGTGCGACTGCTCGCTCTTCTGCTGCTGCTGCTGACTCCTCTGGGCATCCTCGAAGCCCAGGAGCGAGGCCGAACTGGCCACGACACCCATGCAGTTCCTGGCCTCGCAGGTGTAGGTGCCCAGGCAGCAGGTGCCATCCTGGCCAGAAATGATGCGGTGAATGTCGCCCGGCTTGAGCTCTACGCCATCCTTGTACCACTTGAGGGCGGGCTGAGGAACGCCGATGACCTTGCACTCCAGATTCACGGCTCCCTCCTCGGTAAGCACCGCTCGCAGGCATTCCAGGAAGCGGGGCTTCTTGTAGTGCCGTGGTATCTGCAGCTTCAGGAAGCAGGAGGTGATGCTCGTTCCGAAGTCGTTTACGGCCACACACTTCCACTCCGCTTGGTCCACAAACTCCACGGACTTAATGTCCAGTAGCCAGTCCTCGTTTTCTCCCCGGTAATGGTTATATCGTTCGTTCGGATCAATGGGCAGCTCGTCACGGAACCAAGAAAGAATGGGATCCGGGGTGGCCCTCACCACCACCTTGATCTGGAAGGGTTCGTTGATCTTGGCATCCGTGCTCTTGAGGCCAGTTAGAAACTTTGGCGCTTGGTTTTGGTTTTGTTGGGTGAAGACCATTCGCTCTTCGTCGGTGAGTTGGTTTTGGATGTCCTCCACGGTGAGAACGGCAGTGCTACTAGTTTCTCCCATGCAATTACGGGCGATGCAGCAGTAGGTGCCCAAGGAGTTGGTTCCTGTCAACTGATAAACATCGCCCGGCTTGAGTTCGTGGCCATCCTTAAACCACTTGAGCAGGGGCGTGGGAAAGCCCACTACCTTGCACTCGAAAGACACAAGTCCCTCCTCGGTGAGCACGGCGCGTAGACTCTCCATGAACCGGGGCTTGCGATAGTTCCTGGGAACTAAGAATAACTTGGGTTAATAATGGTCTACTAAGGATTTCTATTCCACTCACTATCCATGGCAACGGAACACGATGAGACGCCCACGCTGCCGTCGAAACTGGTCACCACGCACTTCCATTCTCCAGCATCGCAGCACTCCGAGGGCTTCACCTCGATCATATAGACGCCCAGGCCGTCCTCGATCAGTTTGTACCGCTCGCCGGTCTCGACGCGTCCATTCGCATTGTACCAGCAGACGCTTTTGGGCCACGGCGGTACCACCACTGCGGGAATGGGAATTGGGGGACAGAGCGGTGAGATCATGTAAACAATTTACTCAAGCGCTGATATCTGCCTTCGCATTCTTTGTTTTTTCCTCTCTCTGGCGCGCAATTAGCGGTTTTGTTTTGCTCGCCACTTGCCGCAAATGTTGATGACCCACCTCAACATCCGAGGCATTTCCCAACCGTGCGATCGAGTTCAAGTTTCTAGAGCACGATCTAAAAACAACAAGCGCCGCCGGCGAGAATTGGACCAAATGTCGCAATCGCGTCCGAGTGCCCGAGAGAAGATAAACAAAAATACGTTGGCCCGGTGCCAGCAGGAGATCTCTTCTCTTTGGGATTCCGAGTGCTCACCTTGACAGCCGAGAATGATGGTCTCCCCGATGAGCAGGCTCATGTCCCGCAGTTCGTTCGTGAATATCGGAGGCGGCGCATTGCTCGCCACGCTGCGGAAAGATAAGAACATACGTAAGATACGAGATCCCAGACTGTGACACCTTGCGGGGATTTCCCACAAAAATACGTTATTGTCATAAAATTAATTGTAATATCTGCTCTAGCTTTAGGCCAATAAAGCTTCTAATATTCAAATGCATTAGAGAAAAATTAGGTAATTGTGTTTTCTTTGTAATACATTAAAACAAAATAAATCGATTTTTGATTTTTAATGTTAGATGTTAAAAACGTTTTTTCACGTTTATTATTATAGACGGTAGCATCATGTCTTATACACAACAAAAAAGGTTGATAAGATATGAAGACCTTTCTTGTCATTCCTTATCAATTCATTAAGTTTATATCAGTAATAGTGTAATTTGGATTATTTTTAAATACGCCCGATAAACACCATAAGAGAGACTCACCTGTCCGCCGGTTTAAGAGATCCCTCGCGACTCCCGCGTCCCACCACATGCACCTTGGAGCTGGAGTAAGTGACGCCCATGCAGTTGCGCGCCTCGCAGGTGTACGTTCCCAGCGAAGTGGGGTCGTCTGCGTTGGCAGTGAGGGCGAACATGTCGCCGGCCTTGATCTCCTTGGAGTCCTTGAACCAGCGCAGATGGGGCGTGGGCACGCCCACCACCTTGCACTCCAGAGAGACTGTGCCCTGCTCCGTGAGCACCGCCCGCAGCTCCTCCACAAACTCCGGGGTCTTGTAGGCCTTCGGCACCAGCACATTGAGCGTTCCCAGGCAGGAGTTGCGTCCACCAAAGTTCTCCGCCATAAGCATCCACTGGCCGCCGTCATCCAGGGTCACAGGACTCACCTCCAGATAGTGGAAGGTGCCCTCATTGACTTCTGTGATGCGGTCGCTCGCACACACCCTTCGGTCGTTTCTGTACCAGGTGAGCTAGATAAGAGAGAGATTAATTTGTAATTACAAATATTAATTTTATATTATAGATAGATAGATCGATACCAATATCTCTCAGAGCTTTACAAAGTTGATAGAAAAAAAAAGCCATGAACACGTACCATATAACACAGGCATAAACTATATCTTCAAACAAATTCCAACAAACTAAATAATTTAGTTTTTACCCAAATAAATTAAATAGATTGTCTTATTTAATGGCCAACAAATATTGTTGCTAAAAACCATTTAACAATATTTATATAACTTGAATATTTATTTTAAATTTTAAGACGTAACTAAAGATTTCTAAATAAAACTAAAGATAAGTGAATTAGTTCTTCTTTTTTTTTAATATTTTTGAATAAATGTAGACTCTTTTTTGAGCTGTTTGATAAATTATTAGTTAAAAAGGGAATTAATTTTTTAAAAATGAACTTATAATCACCTTAAGATCTGTGGAACTACGAATTTCGGTTAGAAGGCGTGTCCGGGTGCCCACTTTGACGGAGAGGTCGAGCAGGCGGCGCAGGAACACAGGCGGATCGTCGCCCGTGGATCTGTCCTCCACGATGAGCTCCACGTGCCTGCGCACCACATCCTGGCTCTTCGTCCTGGCGAACAGAGTGTAGTGGCCGGCGTCCTCCCGCTGCACATGCTCCACGGCCAGCTGAACGGCATTGCTGGTGGCCGTGATGCGGAAGCGGTCGGAGTTCTCGATGGGAATCTCATTTCGGGACCTGGAACCAAAATGGGATTAGGAGCCACCCAAAAGAGTGGAATAGGGCATATAGTGAGTTTTAAAGGAGGCACTTTATACGAGATCACAATTATTGGGGACAATAGATCACCTTTTCCTGTAGACCGATGAGGCCGAGGAGAGTGTGCCGTTGATTTTCTTGTGCTCGTTGCACTGGCAGCATTTGGAACATCCGTTGCCCATGGCGTAGACTATGATTTAAAACCGGAACTACGATCGGTTGCAGTTAAAAGCAAAAATACGTTTCGGTTACTGGATTTTTACCGTATATACTATAATTTCCAATTTAAGCCCCACGGAATGTTAAACTCATTTCATTATCGATGTTTCCAATTGTTTGAATAGTGTTAGCCTGTGCAATATATTATATTAAAGGGAAAGATGGTTTAATGTTGCAACCAGATTTTTATATACGCTATTCGATCAATTATCTGACAGCTATAAGATATTTTCCCAAAATGTTGTAATATAGCCATCCAAAGACAAACTGAGTTTGACTTTTGCATTACTTTTAGAAACATTGAAGATATGAAACAAGTCGTAGTTTCTAAGATATAAAGTCATTCGAAATGTAATACGTTAAAATAGTCCATCTGAGGTCGTATAATGAAATATTTTTTCATTTATAAAAGGAAATGCAATGACAACTAATGACTTTCCTGGTGAAACTGATCAAAGATATATAAACTTTTCATTGTAAAGTTAACTTCTAGTGTATAGAAATCCAAAATATCGGCACTTAATTTGGAGTTAATAAAACGTTTAACTCAAATGCACGTGCAAACATTTACCAAAACATTTAAGGCAAAATAGTCATATATTTATGTGGCATAATTATTGCTTAATAAACAGACGCAAACAAACACCTCAAACACGACCGCACGAAAACAATAATAAAAATTTTCTGAAAGCGAAAATGTACTAAAATATTTTTGAATCGAAGCAAGTGTTTATAAATAAATGGTTGAACTTGCTTTGCTATTAATTGTATTTCGCATTCGGACACTTCACTAGGCACAAACCGCGGACTGCAATAATTTAAACGCTAGCTAGACAAGAACGCGTTTGCCAATTTATTTTTGGGCTGCGTGTTTTTTCTTTTTTTTTATGTTCAGCGCTAATAACTTGTTGTTTCGCTGTCGTTTTTCCGAGACCGAGAATTTTCGAATTGTTTCTTGTTTCCTTTGTGTATCAGTTGTTGTTTTATTGGGGCCCAGCATCGGTTTATTTATTTATCTGTTGCTCTCGCGGATATTGCCAAACATCTGACCGAACCGATCGCACTCTCTACCTAGATTCCTCTTTGTTTTTCCGCCAGGCGCATTATGTAATTTTCGATTTCGTTTGAGAAAAACTATTTTCAACACTTTTAGGGCATTAAATGGAAACGTTTTTGACGCACACCGCCGAAATTCCGTTGGCTGCCCCAAGACAACCCCCAAAAGTTCGAAAGTTCCGCGGACGCGATGCCCAGCGATTTGTTAATGTGGCTATAATTAGACTTTCGTTACAGATCTCGGCCAGCAATCCCACTGTCAGGTGCTGTTCCCTGTTTTTGAACCATGTCCCGAAGGAATTCCACAGGCAAACTGATTGATTTCGATATGGAGGTGATTTATTAAGTATCCGCCGCGTGCACCCCCAAATTCCACGCACCAGTACGTATACGCAGTGGTGTGTATATATAGAACTCTCGTATAGCACTGCTATTCTTTATGTCCGCCCGCTGGGCAACGGATATGTTAATGCGCCGATCGTCAAAGTGGAACTGGCCGCTCAAGAGCCTCGGGCCCACAGCGAAAGATCAGAGAAAATCAGAGGAACCTAGAGATGTACACCCGTACTCTTTGGCGGCGCAGTCGCCGGTGGATGTGACGGTGTCCGCTCTCGGTCCGCTCAATTGAGCAAATCCGTCGCCGTGAAGGAGAAGTCATATGCTAATGCGCAAATTTTAGCATTATGCACAGCAGACCGGGCGGAGCAAGGACGGTGATTCACACGCCGAGTGCACAGGTAAGCGAAGGAAAATAGATTTTTCGTCGACAGATTTATGACTTACCACTCGAATTTGAAGGGCAGCAGTTCCGGCTCATCCTCCTCGGCGCAGTCGATCTTCACGAATAACGTGGCGCGTTCGTTTGGGATGCAGCGGATCAAGGAACTGGAGTTCTCGCTGAACGTGATGCGGGGCGGTTGGCGCTGGCCCGCTTCGAATCCTCCGTCCCGACCAGGAGGCTCTGCAAAGTGGGTATAGCAGTGCGTCAATTATAAGCATGACTAATCGCTATCTAAGTTTCGATGGCTGAGGAAGCCGCCCGCCGAACAAATTATCATAAATATTTGCGAAATGTCAAGAATTGCCCCGTAGCCACGGGCAGACATAAACACACATAGTTATGCCGGCAACAAAGGAAGAGTCGCAAATTTAAAGTGAATTCGCCTTTAGGATACCCTAAACCAAGTGCACTTCATAAATATAAACACAAAACATTTCCGATTAAAAATTTCTCCAAAAAAAAATTGGTAGACGAAAAAGTACTAAAATTATGTTTAAAGTTAAATAATAAAATGTCTTTAAATGAATACACCTTTATTGGTGTTTTGAATTTTTTAAATTTTAAAGATAATTAATTTATTTGTTGAATTTATGGGCTTATAAAGTTACGGCATTTTCAAATTTTTAGTACGAAATGTTGCAAAGTTTCTAGAGAATATTTATTAGAACTTAAAAACTTTCAAAAATAGTTAGTTTAATCAGAAAAGAAAGAAAAAAATGTTTCTACATATAACAAATAAAGTCTAGATAAGAAAATTATAGTTTTAATAAAGCCGATTTTTATTTACTGTAAACAATAGTCTCTTATTACGCGCAGTTATAAAAAGTTTCTCTTAAAAGATTAATTATTATGTTTAACGTGTGAATACAAAAACACAAATCAATTCTTTGAATAATAAGGCTTGTGTTTACACTATAAAAGTCGTTTGTCCCGTGCACATCGCCATACCCTGCCCAAACATCGAGTATTCGGAATATTCACTAAAAATAGTTCCAAATATTATTCATACGCGCCGACGAGCACTATTTGTGAGCATGTCGAATCTTTCTGCATGGGGAGCCGTAATCAAATGTGATTCGTAAATAGTATTTCGGCAGTTGGGAACGACTCGGTCCTCGCCGGGATGCGGACACAATAATGACACTCGACCAGCGCATATTCCAACGTAAAATTATGAAAATTTCCCATACTCGATTCAAAATTACGTAACCGCACTGTGGCCGTGCAATGGCAAAGAAGAGGAAAACGGAGACGGAGCCCGTGGCAGGCCATAAAAATACACACAAATAGCCACGAAGTACTCTGTTCGGGACCGGGAACGGGAACACTGGCAAGAAAAGGGGAGAAATTCTTTCCCGGCGCCGGGGCACTTAAGATGCTTACCCGCGGCATTGTCTGCTGGCGATCTTTCCATGCTCAGGTCTCACTATATAATTAGCCGAAACAGGGCCACTTTGGCATGGGACTTTCAGGACTTGCTGGCTAGGATTAGGGCGCAGTATTGTCGGGTGGGTATTAACCGAAAGCGATTTCTTTTTATTTATATTTAGAACGCGCCGCACACAAACGACGGTAAAAATTTGAATTTTTCCGTTTCCGATTCACTGAAATGAAATTTTCCGCTGGTAATTACGCGTATTCGTCGGGCACAATGGATCGGAAAATGTGTAATTAGGATATATTCACATTTTTGGCCTGTGGCATTATTTGAAACTGTGCTGGTGCAGCTGATATACACGTATTCCTCTTCCAATTCCAATTTGAAATCCACCAGACACTCGCACACACTCACACTCACGTTTGGGAACACAGAGATGTTCTATCTTTCTATATATAAACAATATGTACAACACAGCATCGACGTTCGAATGGCGCACACCACGTCCAGCAGACACCTCCTGGATCTCCGATCGTTTTTCTCAGACTGAACTCAACTAAACAGAACTGAGCAGACAGATCAGCAGCAGCCTCGCCTGTCCATGTCGGATGTCGGATAATTTTGGCTGCCCCGAGAACGAGCAAGCTCTCCTGAAGATGATCAGAGGTGCCGCGCATGTCTTCTGGTTCGGAGACTCTCAATCGAGGGAAAATAGAAAAATGTACACAAGGCATTTAGTAGGGCTCTCAGGTAAGTACACATATCCACCTAGCTAAGGCAATGAATGTTTAATCCCTTTGCTTAGGCCTAAACACACACATACAATTTATAGTAAATATAGTTGACAATTGATCGAAAAATAGCAATTGCCAAATAAAAAATTGCACTCAGCGGTGCAACAAGTGGCGGCTACTTGTTGCCCTTGTACGTTAGTCGGTTAGTATTGTTCGATTAAGCTAGTCCGTGCTCCAAATTCCTCTCTCAGACCGAGTAGAAGTGCGAGTTGAACCTTGTGCGGCACGAGGGTTCCGTGAACGGCGAAAACCAGGCCAGCGAGAAGCGTCCGAAAACCGACTGGATGCTCTTGAGGCGTGATTTCTTGGCCCAGCGGGCTTCCTCCTTCTTCAGCTGCTCAATGCCCTGTTGGAGAGAGAGATGGGAGAAAGTTATCCGGATAATCCCAAACAGAGAAAGAGAAAGGCACCCACCGTCTGATCGTTGAGAATAGCCGTCAGCTGAGTTGCCAGCATGATGATGGTGAATATGCCGAACATAAGGCCCTCGAAGGTGAGAAAGAGCAGCAGGAAAATAGTGGCCGGCGGTGAGTACGGCGAGCAGGTGCGCCAGTCGTTTTTCACGCACTCCGCGAACTGGGTGAGCACTAAGAAGAGTGTGTGCACGGAGATCGAAGCTATATAGAACTGCGAAAAGGAAGAAAGAGCAGTTAACTGGCAGGTCGACATGGTAAGAGTGCTGCACTTACGGTGAAGAGCACAAAGTACTTCTGGTTGCTTTCGCCCACGCAGTTGTTGACCCACGGACAGTGGTGGTCCATCTTGCGGATGCACCGCTGGCAAACGGAGCAGTGATGGGCTCTCTCCGGTTTAATACTGCAGCACTTTGGGCACTTGTAGAACATTTGACCCTCGCGGTAGCCCATCTGTTCGATCATCTCCTTGGTGGCGTTTCCCCGTGGTACAGCGCCCTATTTACAAATGAAAAGATTATATTCAGAATAAGCTCTATTCACTAATAAGGAAGTTAACAAATTAACTGTCGTTTAATCATTAATCATTAATATTAGTCAATAAAATACTACAAGTTCAAAATATACATAGTTAATCTGGCTGACATATGTATGTTTGTTACTAATACTGTGTGTTTTTTTGGATCATTGTTTTCCAATATTCATAATAAGTCATTTTTACCTCCTACATAAATAAGGTAAAATAAAAGTACGGGGACCTAGATACCCCACAAGCTGTGCCCGTAACCCACTCACCGGATCCGAGAGCATTGTACGAATGTGCGAGGCAAAGGCGAGAAAGGCTAGCGCCTGGAATATAATCATGTTGATGGTGCTAAAGACCGTGTAGTTGCTGGGCAGGAGGATCAGCCGCATAACCACGAACTCGGCGAAGAGGATAAGCAGCCACGTCATGACCACGCAGACGATTCCACAGATGTCCTTGACGCACCAAGCCTTGTTCCCGCAACATCGGTTGTGCTGGTCGACGCCGCCGAATCCTCCGCCTCCGCCATTGTGCGACAGCGCTGAGTAGGAGTAGTTCATAGTGTCCGGAGCCCACGCACTGGTGACGCATCGGCCTTGTCAATTCGGTGATAATGCGCTCGGACTGCGGACCATTGGCCAAAATGCGTTTGATAAAAGACAAGCGAAACAAAATACAGAGCCGCGGTAATGCGCCATTCACAGCGCGCCTGGTGGCGTCAGCTGTTAGTCATTCGCCCCGTGGCGCCATCATGGGGGAGGATTAGTAAGGCGGTGTTTCATAAAATCGTTCGTTTATCTTTCAACTTAATCCGACCACAACTACTAATACAATACAACAATTAAAATACAAGGAATAGGAGCCCCTATCTACGAGGTTTCCAATATCAGGTGTTATGCGGGCGTTAGCTTGGCCTTGGGTTCTAGTAGAGCCCACAGACCGGCCAGCGATGAAATTGCCCCCAGGAGTCCTATTGTCCGGGGCGTGAGACTTGTATAGCCCAGAGCCGTGAGGGGTATGAAGAAGTCGCACACATTCTTCACCGTGTCCACAACAATGTCCTTGTGTCCCTGCATCAGGACGTAGGACTGGAGAGCGAGGCGTTTGAAGTCCTCCGGCGAGTTGATGCTCGTTGGGATGCGGCATCGCGAGATTCCGCCCTTGGAGCCAGATCGATGCAGGTCCAGTACCCTTAGGATCTCGTAGAAATCGCGGCAGAGGTTCATGATGATCGAAAAGAGCCAGTATTTGTTGGCGATGCTGGACCAGCGCTTAGCGTTTACCGCCGTTAGTCCTGTCCTGGCGAGCCAAAGAAAATGGTCGGCAAAGAGAAACAACGACTGCGACAGCTTGCTCAGGGTGAGCGTAACCCGAATGGTAAGATCCGGATAGTGGATGGTCTTCAGGGTGCCGTAGAACACATCGACACATTTGCCAAAACGGAGCACTGGAATTAGGAGGGATAAGCTGTGAAGTTAATCACTGAAGAAGGTTAATTACGCTTCCGGAAGGTGCTCAGGATGTATTCGATCGTCTTGAAGTTATCCACCAGCGCAGGACTGGAGTTGGCGGACTCCAAGGAGTCCCACATCGCCCGCGAGGCATACTGAATAAGCCGGGCGATCTTGTCCCGGCCGCCAGCCTGATTGTTCAACTGCACCAGACGATCCATATTCATGTTGTGACCACAGAGCAGCAATATCAAAATTAAGCAAGATCCAAAATCCAAAGGTCGAAAGTTTGGCTGGGGGTATCAGCTGTTGGGCGTTTCGCTGTGATTGGCAGCGCTTTCCTTTCTGAAAATGCGGGCTGCATGGGCGTGGGTGGAAACATGGTTGTGGGATTCTATGTATTTTAAATTACATTTCTTTTAAGAACGAAAGACATTCTGCGAATGTAAAGTGCATACAAGTTTATAAATAAAGCAATTTTACAAAAATTATTAACATTTTCATTTATGAAAGCTACAAGAACCAATATTAATTCCCTTCTTTCTCTACTCCCCTGCCAAAAAACGACAAGTTCGCGTTTTCCAATACTATACGCCTACCAGAAATCAGTTCTTCAACACTATTGTCTTATTGAAAATTTGTCGCCACGTAAAAAGTGGTCTGATATTACTTTTTAAATTCCTGACACACATTTAGCAATTTCACCATGGCAGTAAGAAAACCTAGTACAAGGACTAAGCTTTCCAGGATTTCATTAAATTATTTCTCTACTTGCAGCCCCAACAAAAGGGCAAACAGGGCACGAAAGGCGCCAAGCAAATCGTGGAGGAAAACAAGACGACACTGGCCTTCTACCGGAACATGGCTATTGGATGCGCTGCGCCCGCTCTGCTTCTCAGTTTCCTGGTCTTTGAAGTTACAAAAACCTCGGTGGTAAGGTAACGGCAGAGTACTCATTCGGTTCATTTTCTTACGAACTTATTTTTCTCCTGTAGTTTATGCACATCCTGGCAGTGCTGATTCTTGGCAGCTCCTACCAGTTTATGGCCTTCATGTCACGGGCGAAATACTCGGAGAGCGGGGCTCTTGTGGACTCCGGCAACGATCTTAACATGGAGGGCGGAATTGCGGAGTAAGAACCCCCAAGAAATTCCCCAGTCACTTTGCTTACACAAGAATTTCCCTATAGAAATGTCAAGGACCTGATTATCCTCACATCTGGCACTTTGCTGCTGGCCCTCATCTCCAACTACTTTTGGCTGGTGCTGCTCCTAGCTCCCGTCCGCGCTGGCTGGATGCTCTGGGGCACAGTCATCCAACCCTGGCTCTCACAGCGAAATGCTCAGGAGGAGAACCCCGAGGTGGACGAGAAAAAGCAGAAAAAGATGGAGCGGAAGATGCGACGCATGAGATAGGAGCCACCTCAAGAGGTGCTCTAGTCGTTAAGGGGTTCCTGGTTCCAATGAGATTCTATGCTTAGTTGTGTGTGCGTTTCCAAATTGTTAAATGTTCAGCAAATTAAACTGCTCGAGACAAAAGACAATCCACGGGTTTAGTTTAGTCAAAGCATTTGTGCGGTTTAATTGCGGTGAATTTTCCAAGACGACAGGCTTTGCGAGGGAAATTGCATTTCCCCAAGGGCGCCGCCGCCGAGTTTTTGTGCATTGTAAATATATTCGTGTAATTGTTTATAAATAAATGTGCTTCAGTGCAGCAGGAACTAGTGCAGTGTCCGTTTCTCTTCGAGATGCTGGCAAAGGGAGAGTGGGAATCAAATCATAAGCAGTAGAAGGGTGATCAAAATAAAATTAAGCTTTTGCAACAATTTATTCTCTTGTTGGCTAGACAATTGTGAGCATCCAAACTAAAGTATAAAAGTATCAAATAGTGTTATGTACTGATGTGTTGTGCGGCCCGGAGCACTAGATTTCACTAGGTCTAGATTCCAAAACCCCAACTGGCTCCGAGACACGCACCACTTACAAAAACAACGAGGGTATGATGGTAACTTAAGAACTTTAAATGCAGGTTAGGTGAGAGGGGAAGGGAACTGGGATGAGGCACATGCGCGGATAGAGACCTCTTTGCCTAACATCATACATCTGTGCTTAACTACAACAACTTCCGAATAATATATGCTTGTGTATACGTAAATATATAACACCGTCGCGGGTCCATCTACCCGCCTAGTTGTACTGCTCGGGAATGACGTAGGAGATGTCATCCCACGGATGGCGGTACAGGCCCTGTTTGAGACGTTTCTGGTCCATGTAGTGGCCAATAAATCCTATGCTGCGTCCCAGCACGAACAGTGAGTTAATGGCACCCACATTGATGTACTCCTGTGCCTCCTCACTGAAAGTAAAAAGTTTAGATTATTTGCCGTTCATTAAATCACTGGCACCTCCATCTGCGAACCTGGTAAATGAGCCGCTGTTGCGCAGCATGTCCACGAAAGCGGTGGCTATCACGCCGTCCACATTGAGGATAAGATTCGGTTTCTTGTTGGTGGTGATCTTTTCAACCTCCAGGGCGTACTTAAGCAGGGGACATGCAGGGAAATTCTCCAGCACAAACTCCTTGATGATCTTTACGCGCACATCCGGGTTGTTGATCGACTTTACTCGATGACCAATGCCCAGGATAAGCTTGCCCTCCTTGCGCATCTTGTTCACGAACTCCATGGGGTGCAGGTTGGTGTCGTAAGCCTCCGAGAACTGTCGGGCTGATCCGTCAAGTGCACCTCCAAAGCGGTCGCCCTGTAAAGAAAATCACAAATATGAGTTTCATCTATGGAGAGATGTTAAATCGAATTAATTTAGTTAACTTACGATGGTCAGCAGACCGCTGACGACTGAGGATACTAGGTCCTTGCCAGCACGTGCGCACACAATGGTGTTGTGAGCGCCAGAAACGGCTGGTCCGTGATCGGCAGTGACCATCAGGCACATCTCAAAGAACTTGCACACGTAGGAGGGCAGGCAGCGCTGGAACCAGAGCAGAGAAATGACACCACCGATGCCGACATCCTTACTCAGAACCTCGCTGATGGGCATGCCTGCGTAGATCAACTCCTGGCCACGTTCGTCACAAATAGAGGTCATGAAGGAGGCGGGCTTGCGGATAAGACCCAGCTCCCGGGCCCACGAGTAATCCATGGGCACGGTTGGTGGGGGCACCTCCTCCTTGGGCACCACGCGACCAGTCTTCACAAGCTCGCCGTAAACGTGATGGATGAGCTCACCTAGCGTATCAAACGAATCTGGAACGTAAGCGCCGGCATCTCGCAGGCCCTTGTTCTTAGCTGTGGCCGTCTCACGATCGGAATTTGCGCAGGATCCGGCGTGGCCAAACTGGACCTCGGAAGTAAACATGCTGGCGCAGGTGCCAATGCACCAGGCCACCAGTGGCTTGGTGATGCGGCCATCCTTCAGAGCGGCGCACACGTCATATTCCTCAGTGCCACCAACTTCTCCTAGCAGCACGATCAGCTTGGTCTCGGGATCGGCCTGGTAGCGCAAAATGTGATCCATGAAGGTGGAGCCTGGATAGCGATCACCTCCGATGGCGATGCCCTCGATTACGCCGTCGGTGGCCTTTGAGATGATGTTGTTGAGCTCGTTGGACATACCTCCGGAGCGGGAAACATAAGCCACACTACCTGGACGGTACAGTTTCGAGTGCAAGATGTTGTCTAGCATACCGCCGGTGTTGCCAATTTTGAAGCAACCAGGCTTGACACCTCCCACGGTGGCGGGTCCAATGATGGCCACTCCCTTCTTGTCCGCTTCGATGATCAGCTTGCGGGTCATGTTCTCCGGAATGCCCTCGGCGATTATGGCCACTGTTCGGATCTGGGGGAACTCGAGAACCTCAAGGGTGGACTCGTAGGCGCTGCGCATTGAAGCAAAGTTGACCATAACGTCGACCTCCTTGTGCTTGTGGATGGCATCGGACATCTTTTTGTATACGGGAATGAGGATCTCCTTGTGGCCCCAGTAGTACTTCTGCTTGTGGTCCCCGGTGAAAGGATACACCATCGCCACCACAGAGGGTTCATCCCGTCTGAAAGTTGAAAATATAAGTATTTGAGTGGAACAAATGGTTTAGAGATAATCCCTTCAATTGCAAAATTTGTGGGGCATTTAGGACTTTAACTAACCTGCAGATAAAATCAAAGTCGAGCATCGACTGCACCGCCCGCTGCTGCATGCCCCACACAATCGCCTTGGTGGTGTTTGAGAAGAACTTTCGGTTCAGACTCGATCCGTTGCGCTGAGCACCGGCGGCGACCACGCTGTCGGCCTCATCTGCTGAGATAGGTGGTAGTTTAATCGGTTTAGCTGCGGTCGGGCTCAGGGCTATCCCAAATGGAACGAGTCGAGAGACGAGAGTCGAGATCGATGTCGGGGATCGATTGGATGATGATGGAGGAGCAGAGAGCGAGATCAGGACGTGTAGAAGATTGACAAACCAGTACGAAACACAAAGACACACAGTACACTAACACGGGGATATGAGGGATCAGATCAGGTGGGATCGGATCGGGTGCAAATCGGTTGGTCAAACGAGCAATTCAAATTGGGTTTGATTTAGGTATTAATTTGGTGGTGGTTAATGTGTTTTGGTTTTTTTAAATTTGTTGGTGAGTGTGGCGACAAGATTTGTTGTCGTTGTAGTCGAGGGCGATCAATGCAAACATACAAAATACAGAGAGAAAAGAGAGAGAGATCAGATAAGTGAGATCGATCGATGCTTTGCAGTCCGTAGCAGGGATACAAACAGTTCATGGGGTTACAGCTAAAATGGATTAGTGATATTCCGGGTTAGCCGCACATAAACTCATCAAACACCCAGCTACATCACATTCCATGGCGCTCCACTTACCGGAACCGGAGCCCAGAGCCTCGGTGGCATCGCTGGCCGCCTTGAGGTCCGCTTGGGCTTGCTGTCCGCCGGGCAACAGGAAGTTAGCCGTGGAAAACTCAACGCTGGCTACCTGGGGAATGGGTCGCTTGCCCAGAGCCATTCCACAAATGGCAGTCATGTGTGTCTCGGGTCCAAAGACGTGCAGTGGGATGCCCAGGGTACTGCCAAAGTCACGCATCCTCCTGAGTCCCTCCTGGTAGTTCGGTCCAGCGCGTCGCACAAAGATCGAAACGTTGTGCTCCGCAAGCTTAGGCTGGAACTCGCGCAGAGCGGTGATGATACCTGCACAGAGAATCACATTTAGTTTGATTACTGATAAGATAATGGAACAGTTTCTCACCTTGGAAGGTTGCCGCTACGTTGGTGAAATTGGCAATGCCACCTCCAGTTATCAGCACTTTTCCATCAGGATGCTTAGGCGAGGAGGTCATCAGGTTGAGGATCGTCTTGGCATACTCGTAAGTCTGCTGCTCTGAAGGAGCTCCACTGTATTCCCCATAGTTGGCCAGCTCGGATGCTCCGCCCAAATCGCAGATGGTGTCCGAGTAAATGACACTGGCGCCACCGCCTGCCACCATCGTCCAGATGCGCCCGTTACGATTAAGAATCGTCAGCTTGAGCGAAGCACCGCTCTTGGCGTCCAGATCTGCGATGTAGGCCTCCTCAGGATAGGCATCCCGTCCGAAGGGTGGTGGGTAGTCAATCTCGCCCCACTTGGGACGGCAAATGAAGTCAGCGGTCGAGTCCAGCTTGGCCGCCAAATCCAAAATGTACAGATTGTCGGCTGTCACCACCAGAGGGTTAATCTCCAGATAGGTAAAATAAAGGTCTACGAAAGTTGTGTACAGAGCACTGATAAACTTGGCAATGCGCTCCTTGGTGCCAGCATCCTTGACCTCCTTCAAAAGCTTGCTCTTGACGTCGGCCAGCGACAGTGTGGAGTTGACAGGCACATCAAGTTTCACGGCCTTGGCATCCACATCGCCAATATCCACGCCACCCTGGTGATAAAACAGGATGGTGTCAGCGGCGCGATGTGAGTAAATGCACACGTACATCTCCTCAGCCTAAGGGATTAAATATAAAAATTAAAGATATATTTTAAGCAGGAAACCCTTGAGAACTTACATCCGTATGCGGTACAAAGGGCTCGATGATAAAGTTACGCAGCTTGCCGACGGCATTGCCGATCTTCTGGTCCTTGTTCAGGCGCTCGCCAATCCACTGCTTCACCTGCTCAAAATTTTTCTTCACGCCAATCAGACCCAGCTTTCCACGGCGCTTGATCAGTTGATCGGGCTTGACCACCAGCGGCTGCAACAAAGAAAAGGACGGTGCTAATTAAATGTGTTTTAAAAATAAAATAAAATAAGCGACAAATCATTGAACTTGAGCCTTCTGAGCTCGGCGTCAGCAAAAAGCCGGTTCCAACAATCAGCATCTGTCGGAAAGATCAGCCGATAGCGCCAGGGGTCGTTCCCGCGTCATTGGCAATGACAATGCCAGCAGTACTCGTACCCTTACCCGAACTTGTACTTGTGCCCACACAAAAACACATCTCGGCTGCTTATTAGATGATCGTACGAGTAAAAATTGAGCAAACAGTCCGAGTACAAAATGTCATCCGAGTCGTCAGGCGATCAACTTTGTATTGTAATTATAGCCCAAAATACACTCTCCATAGCACTGTGGTTACTCGCCATTTTCCTTGGATTACTTTTTTAAATTAAGGAAATGGATTTTAAAAGTTGCATTTATGTTTGTAAATACTATCCCTAAATTTATTATTTTATTCGGCTGACATTAACCATCCACATTACTCAATTAATGTTGCACGAAATTAAAAATCGAGCAATTATTTTTTACTTAACGTTATAAACAAGCCACTGTGTATTGTTTGTCTTGGTTTGAGTTGTATAGCCGTTAAGACCAGAAGTGAGTGTTTACCCTCACCTCAGTAAGTTAAACATTGTTATCAGTGGGGATTCTTTAGCAAATATAGTCACTTAATTAATATAAGTATTTGGGTACCTCCAACGACTGGATTCTCCCAGAAGATTAAGATAAGATTATGCCTTTTTTGAATTTCTATCATACGTAAATTCCCTTAAAAAGAGAAACGCCGTTCATTAAATGGGATTTTTTCAATAGATTTGATTTTTACCTTTTGGATTTTGAGCATACGAATTCGATAGAGAACGATAAGACTAAAAATTGGGACGCTCCCTCTATAATCAACAAATATGATAAGATTTCAACTACTTGCCTTTTCAATGATAAATGTTCTTGTGCAAAAACAAAAAACTCGATAGATAAGAATGCGCCTAACAAAATTTTCCTCAATAATAAAGCGTAACCGACCATGGGTTAGTAACCCCAAAGTGCAACCCCATTTCTATCAGATACGACTTCTTCCTATTAAATTTAAACAATATTTAGATTAGAACAAAAATAAACAAAACATGATTTTTATGATAGAAGTTTATCTGAAAAAACACAACATATTATTTTTCCCGAATTGCCCACTCAACCTCAATAACAAAGCGTCACCCTCAAAATAAGTACTTGTCTCCCGAGAATCCCAATCTATACCCACGCACGCTTATCGTGCTAGTAAATGAGGTGAGTCTGATCCGCCGGCGGATAACCGATCGTGCCAAGACCACGCCATGCCACGCGACCTGCAGCTGAGAGCCGGGCGATCTGATAAAAGCACGGGTGCGCCATCGGGTGAGTTGTCCGCCTACGACCGTCCGTCTACTCTGCAGACTCAAGCGAATCACTCGCCCGACCTGCGCCCAAATCGTGCTTATCAGGAGCGCGCTTAGTCATCCGTCGGCAGCGTGGTGGACGCTCTGCGGGGTCAAGTTCAATGTCAATCCCGCCGAGCGTTTGTTGTCGCTGGCCCAATTGTTGTTCCTGCACATCGACTGATTCGCAATCGGCAAGTTCCGCGGCTATTTTTAACTGGCACTCACCGTGGTCAGCAGCCAGGGCTGGTCGACGGCGAGCTTGGACCAATCTGTTGTGGAGTTCACTGTGGCAAAGCGGCAGGTGGCCGCGCCAGCGCCGTGGCTGTTAAGGTGGCGGTTCAGGATGTCCTTGCCGGAGGCCTCCGTGATTGCTTTCGCCGACATGATGGAGCTGTAAGAAGAGATCGGAGAAGTCTAGTTAAGATTTGAAACCCAGCTTGAAAGACGAATAGAGGAGGTTGTCGGGTGCGCGCGTACCGTTTGACTTTGCCTGTACTTTCAAACTTTGATTTATTTACTTAGAATTGATTAGAGCGAGAATATGTGCAGGTGCAATAGGTTTCGAGTTCGCTTCGAAGTGTGCGTGCCGGGGTTTTAGCTATTGAAATCTGGCAGTTAGTCAAGTCAACCAGCACGTCGTGGGTCTGGGAGTAAACTGAAATCAAATACGCGCCAGCACCAGCCATGAAAATGAAATGAGCCAGCAACAGGCGTATTCTGATTTCGATTTCGTAGCGCGGCTTCGTCTGAGACTTCGGGTCGGGTCTCTAGAATTTCGGGTGATATACTCGTAGCTCTCGCTCTCTTCGAATTACCCAGAGATTAGGGCTACAACGGGATCTGACCCTGGACCATTATGTGGGGGAATCTACGGGTATTTCGGAACCGGTTATCATCACCAGTTAACCAGCAGTCAGTGGGTCACTTGAGCAAAGGGCTGAAACTTTCTCCGAAATACCAAGTGGTAGAGCTTTGCTATTGCTCGCAAATCTAATTCGAAAAAGAGCACATTTTAAGGGGGTGATGACTTTGCAAGTACACATGGGTCTAATTTACATCTGGAAACGAAGTTCACGCCTTGCTGATGCGTATGGAAATTGGAATCGGCGTGCTGGTGAAACTAAAACCGAAACTAAAATCGAAAACTGGCGCGGCGGCTTTGGGCGAATGTTGTAAGCGGTGAAAGTGGGCAAAATCAATAAGGCCGTTGCATCACCATTCGTGGGTAAAATAGCCGTTAGTCTTCGCCACTATTTATTGCAAAACGTTTGCAGATTTTCGCATTAATATTTTTGCAATATTGTGCGGATATGTGTGTGTGTGTGTGTGTGTTTGTATAGCAGGCCGAACGATCATGTTTTCTGCTGTTTTCCACTAATAAAGGTCCGATAAAGGGGTGGATATATATATGAAGGATTACCGAGGTAATAACTGATATGATATAAACTCACTTTATTTATATCAGCACACGACCTGCGATTTACTTTAACACGTAAACTAAACTGCAACTTTCTTTTGGTTGTCGTTTTTTTATAAACTAGTGATGGCAATTCGTGGCGATGGACGAGATGCGATAACTCTTTCGGATACACGGCGATATATTTGGATTGCCTTGGTTAAATCTTAGAATTTCGATCATTCTTTTCGGCGCATTTACAGAAAGCCTGATAGTATGTTATATAAATTATTAATATCAATAATGAAGTCAGTTCCGTAACGAGTGTACTAATAAAAACCAAGGTATTGTAGAGAATTCATTCAAAAACATTAATATTTTGAAGATAATAAACTTTCCAAAACATTACCAATTAATTTAAAAAAAAGAGTTTAATGCCATATGATACCATTTTTCATCATACATGTTTTTTATTTTGTCAATTGCACTAAAAAAAACTTGTTACAAAAATGTGCCATTCATTGTCATACAATATCCAAAATATTTTATTAGAATTTATCAAAAACGAAATTTTAATTTTGTTTCAATATGTGAGACTAAACTATATTCGAATTCTTTGTATATGTGTATGTACTGTCAATTACTGATGAGTCAAAGATCTAAAATTTAAAAACATTTTAAAGTGTGAAGTTATATGAACGCAATTGTTATGTATATAAAGCAACGATAATATTTGAGACACCTGCTGCTCTTTGATCAATTAAATAAAAATTCCTTATTTGTTTTATTTATTTATTTTTTGCCATATGGCAAACCCTCTTCTCTTCATATGTTGGTATGTACTACAGATCTTTGAGTCATATTTAATTATGAGTCAAAGATCTGCCATTTAAAAAAAAGTAAGATAAGAAGTAATAATAAAGTAAAATAAGAAGTAATATTAACGCAATTGTTAAATATATAAACTGGCTATAATAATTAAGACACCTGCTGCTCCTTGATCAATGAAATAAAAATCCCTTAATTTAACGGTATTTTTGTGGTATTTCGAAATAAATTCTTCAATGCAAATACTCATTGCCGGATGGTATATTTTATCTTTTACACCGCGGTCACACCGAGAAGCGATAATAATTTTTGGCCGATATTGGATAATATAAATAAAGCGCAGCGCCAAGGAAACCCCGATCGAGACTAGCAGCTGGACAGGAAGTGAGCCAGCCGGAGCAGCGCAACCGCCGCCCACACACACACACAGGAACACTCGCCATGTCCACACAAACGCAGATGAGGCCCCTCCTGCGGCTATTCGCAGAGCCTTTCCTGCTCATCCTGATCTTCCTGCTCACCCTGGGCGCCCACGGCGAAAAGGTGCTGCAGCTGCAGGAGGGCTTCCTGGGGCGCCAGGAGCCGCATGTCCAAGACCTGGGCCAACTGCTGCGCGACCTTCGGCTCGTGCCATCCCGCCTAGACTTTGGAACGTGGTCCGTTGGTCAGGCGCGCTCCCAGACGGTGACGCTCTTCAATCAGCACGCCAACCGAACGCTCCAGCTAAATGCGGTGGCCGGGCCAAGTCCGGCGTTCTACAGCAGCTTCCTGGGCACCAGGGAAGTGCCGCCCCAGGGGAATACCACTTTCAGCGTGGTATTTCTGCCGCGGCAACTAGGCGCCATTGCCGGCGACCTGCTCATCCACACCTCCTTCGGCCAGGCCGAGTTGGCGGTGCGGGGCGAGGGTAGTGAGTGTCCGTACCGGCTTAAGCCTTTGGTGGGGATAAAGGCGCCCATGAATGCGACGCTAACGCCAGAGATCCACATGTATAATCCGCACGAGCGACCGCTGCAAATACTCGAGGTAGGGTACTTTAACACTATTTACATCCAATACTTATGACTTTCTCTTCGCAGATATACAGTAGTGGCGGCGAGTTTCAGCTGGAGCTACCCAGCGGTGGTTCGGAAGGCCCTCAAAATCTGTGGGAGATTCCACCACACACTTTGAAGCCGGTCATTAGGATCTCCTTCCACGGCCGCACCGCCGGAAACCACAGCGCCTACATACGCATAAAGATCGCTGAGCAGGAGCTGGATCTCGGACAGGAGAACGTTTTGGTTATTCCGGTTGAGTTCGAGATCCTTCCACGGCACTCACCCTACGCCCGCAATCCGCTGGCGGACTTTGGCCGTGTGGCCACGTTAAATGCTCCGGATGCCCTGCAGTTCAAGCTGGATGTTCGGAACGATCAGAGCCGCCTACTCTTCGGCAGCTACCTGCGCCAGATTCCTGGCCTCTCGTTCGATGCTAACAACACGAGCATAGTGTTGGATACCAGACTGTTCGAGGGAAGCGAAACCATTAATGATCTGCTGGTGATCAGCAGTAACCAGTCCAGTTCCAGTCTGGAGGCGGATCAGCCATTCACGGTGCTGGTGCGGGCAGAAATTTTCCATGGAGGGCTTTTCCTCGACGGAAACGTGACAAAGTTTGTAACAACTTCGCCGGAAGGCGGAGAGGGTCCGCCGCTGGAAAAGAAGCGATCGCTGGTGGTGCGCAACAACTTCGCCATGCCGCTTATCCTGTTCAACGTGAGTCTCAGCGAGCCAGTGGACGAATCCATTTTAGAAGTAACCCTAGTGGGCGATCTCAGGATACTGCTGCAGCCAGGAGAATCCGTAGAGCTTCTGCGCCTAAATCTGCTTAATGACCAGGTGCCGTTTAAGTCCTACCTGAGGATTGAAACAAACGTCACAGTCTTTAAGCTTCCCCTGGTCTCATGCAGTGGGCGCCTACACGTGTCCACGCAGCCATTTGTGCTTAACATTTCCCAGGAACCTCCGGAGGAGGAGGCATACAACCTGGAGCTAGATCTGGGTACTGTGCCATTCGCCGAGATGTCGCGCGACGGATTCGTGATTCTGCGAAACGAAAATCCTGTGCCCGTGAAGATAACCAACTGGTTTTTCAAACACCCAAAGACCGTCTACTCGCAGAGCACCTTCCTAGGCTGTCGGTCTACGGAGAATGAAGAGCTGCTAAGCGGCGAGAACGAGAGCAAGCGTTGGCATTTATGCTCGGAACTTCGCGCCGGTGACAGTGCCGTATTCAAGGTAGCCATCCAGACGTATGAGGCGGAAGCAACGTTTGGAACCCTTAAGGTGTGGACGCCGCACGAAGTTATTCGCGTGCGGGTCAAGTTCGAGGCCTCGGTGGGCCAGTTGGAGATTGAGCAGGAGCAGCTCAACTTCAAGAACTGCTTTCCCGGTAAAATGTGCACCGCAGTGCTAAGTATCCGCTCCAGCTTCACACATCCTGTGCACGTGAAAAGCATATCCTTTGCCCTTCCGGTGGGACTGCGTTTTAAGGACTTCAATGCCAAGGGCACTACGATTGCGCCGCAGACGCTGACTAAAGTGGGACGCATCTACTTCGAGCCAGCGGCTGTGTGTCGGAATCAGTGTTACATCAAGGAGTCTACGAATGACCTAGCCATTTTCCCCAGCGTTCCAGGAGGAGGCGATGGAAGCGGGGGCGTTACCAACAATAATCTCCTCTATGACGGAGTGGAGTTGCGGCAACGCACTGAACTCTTTAGGCAGTTGCGACGCCAAATGTCATCCGTGTCTCTGACATTGCATAGCGAGGAGCTGCCGCCGTTAGAGCTGGACTTTTCCATCGCCATCGAGTGGCCGAAACTGGTGCAGTTCCAGCCAATCCCGCCCACGCCGGCTATAGAAGTTGGCCAGGTGCAGCGCCAATGGATCACGCTGACGAATCCCTCTCAGAATCCGTTGCTGCTCGATTACTTCCTGTCGGATCCGGCGTTTGCTCGCCGTACCCAGCTTTCCCTACCGCACGAGGTGATCGACGTGAGCTCCACGAGTTGCTATCTGACGGATAGGGAGGTTTTCTCACTGCCAGAGGCCGGGGATCCCATCCTTCTGCCAGGAGGCGGCAGTCTTAACATCCCTATTACCTTCAGCGCCCAGTCGCCGGAGAAGTACTGCACCCTTCTGCACGTGAGAAGCAATCTTACACTTTATGAGGCCGTGTGGCTGCAGGCCCGAGCCGTTCAATCGCAGTTCCGTTTTGGAAACCGTCGGCCGGGATCGGCGTCGCCGTTGCTCTTTGAGATGGCCACCGACCAGTTTCAGGGCTGTCAGTCCGGCAATGGAGCAGTGGTGGCCACTCGGAGCTTTACGGCCCGCAACTCAGGCGTAATCCCCATGAGGATCGAAGGCTTTCTCATTGGCTCGCTGCCATGTGAGGACTTTGGCTTCAAGGTGATGGACTGCGAGGGTTTTGATCTTGCCGAGAACGAAACCAGAAAAGTGGAGATTGCCTTCAGCGCGGACTTTACTTCCTCGAGGGTCAAACGCTCCCTGACGCTGCTTACGAACCTTACCTACGACATCAGCTATCTTCTCCTAGCACAAATGCCAGCGGAAAGCGTGGAACTGTGCTCCTCTCTTTTGGCGAGACCTGGTTGGGAGTCCTCCCTAAAGAACGCCGCTCTAGCAGTGCTCCTGGCTAGCTTTGGTCTGGTTTTGGTGGCGGCTGTCTTTGACGCAAAAGCCATCATGGCACAGCAGAGTGCCTACGATGCGGCCAGGAACAAGGGACCGCTGCAGCCTACGTTTAATCTAAGGAATATAGTGAAGCTGCAGGCAGAGGAGGCGGCGGCCAAAGCGGAGGCAGTGCAGCAGCAGCAGAAGGCCAGAAATGTCCAACTTAAGGAACTACGCAAACGGAGTGCCCAAAATGCCACAACTAAGTCAAAGTCCAAGACCTCCTGGTCACCATGGAGCATGGACATAAATGCGCTGAGTAAGCACCTGCAAAAACCCAAACCAAAGACAGTGGTAAGCACTCCAGTCACACCTCCCGCAGCTGTTGCTCCATTACCGGAACCAAAGCCCCTAAAGAAGTCTTCGACGCCATCGCCACAGGCAGTTCCCGTCTCAGTTCAAGCTCGGCCCCAGAAGAAGGTGAAACCAACTGCTGCAGTCGTTCTTGGGGCATCTAAGCCGAAACCGGAACCCTCGACACCCGTTGTAGAGCTATACGAAAAGCCGTTGGTCAAATCGAGTCCACCTCAACAGGAGAACATATCGCCAAAGCCCAATAAAGCACCTGAGCCGCGAGTCCTCAAGGAGCAGAACGGATCGGCTAAGAAGCCGATAGGGAAGACACCAGGAAGGGAACGGGAAAGGGAGCGCCGCAAGGATCAAAAGTTGACAAATGGCTCAGGACCTGGATTGGGATTAAAAAAGCCGGAGCGGAAGCAGCGCCAGAAACTTAACTTTGGGCAGACTACAAACAGTGCCTCGCCACCAGCTTCTCCAGAAGGACTTAAATTCATAAGCTCAGCGTGGGAGATGAACAGTGGAGCCACGTTTCGGGATGTGGTGCACACCAATAAACTTCCACCAGTTGACAACGGCTTTGATAGGAGTCAGGGGTCGTCTTCGAGTGACCTCGGACCAATCGGCGACAGCCGCAAAACTCCACGCCACCGGCTGTGACTTCGCTGTGGAAGCCTCTGTCAGCTACGGCCAGTAACTCCTTGTTTGCCAACGGAGAGGTGGATTATTCAACAGCAGATAGTGAGTAAAAGCTGAGATCATGAATTTACTAGTTCTTAATTTATTTCTCCCTCTCCTCCAACAGCTATCTTTGACCAACGGGAACTGGAAAGGCAGCAGTGGGAGCGCAGCGAGTTGATCATGCAGCATCAGCTACTTCTCCAGCAGGCTCAGAAGTTGGAGATACAGCAGAGGCAGCAGGAGAAACTCCTGCTGTGTGCGAATATGGAGCCTAGCAACTGGGCTAACAACTGGTCGCCACTGGGATACTCCACCTGGCCGGACGCAACTTCCAATTTGGGAGTGATGCGTCCTCCACCAGGCTTAGAGCAGAACGCACGCCAGACGCACAACCTTGCACAAGAAACGGGCTTAGCGGGAGCGGCATCTGGAAATGGGACTGGAGCTGCACTCCCCGGCGACGGTCTGCCCACGCAGTACGATCCCTTCACCTCGCCAAGCTCAATTTGGTCCGACACATGGCGCCAGTCCTCGCAACGCAACAACAACAACAACCACAATCACATGAACTAAGGGAATGACGAGGAGCAAGCTCACTGATCAAACCGAATCAACCAAATGAAATTCTTACCATATAGACAACTAGGATACGCGACGAAGGAGGAACGCAGAATGATCTTTTCCAATTTGACTTTTGACTAATAAACGCAATGATAAATGACTTTCATATCAAACTTTGTTCATTGTTTTGTTGCCAGTAATTTTATCTAGTTTAGTTAGCTACTTTTCCTTGTACGTGATAATGCCCTTCTCAATTAGGTCCGGAATCTCAACGGCCAGCCAAGGAGCGAGCTGTGGGGGAAGAGTTATCAGATATCTATGCAGCAAGAATCTCGACGGAAATACTTACACCAAGTGCCATGGCATGGGCGATTCCGAACTTGGGCACATTGCGTGCCCACAGGGGCTTGAAGTGATCCGTCAGGCAAATCTTGCCTCCTCGGTACATCTTCGCGGTTTTGCCATCGAGCTCCGGCAGAGCAATCTCCGGCGCGGTGGTGGGGTACGTCACTGGAATGTCGAACTCCACGTCGAATTCGTACTTGAGCAGATTGTGCATGTACCAGCACTTGCCGAACCACTTGGTGCCCTCCTTGTTGGACTCCAGTCGGAACCAATCGCTGCCGGACTGCTTGTTGTTCTCCACGTACTGTAAGTAAGTAAAGTGATGGAGAGGTAGTAAAATCTTTAAAGTATCACTAATTTATCTGGGTACCTTGATCAGTGCCTGGTACTCCTCCTTCAGCCGCTGCACCCACACATCCTTTTCCCGTGGCCCAGCGCGAATCTGCAGCAGGGGAATGTTGCTCAGCGTTTTCCGGGTGCTATCGTCTACCATCTCGTCCGGATTATGGCCAAAATTAAGGAAAACTCAGGGGAAAACAAAAGCGTTGAGTTGACACGTTCACGTTTGGGCGTGCGAAAGAGACAACTGCAACAGCTGAGCGAGGTGGGTGCAAGCAGGCACGTAGTTCAAAGCTTTTTCAGGGGGCTAATTTAAATCAATCCAGGGGGAAAACTTAACGTAGTAAGAATAAATTCAAATTAATAAATTAAAAAACCTTTCTTCCAATTGCCTATAGCCCATGATTTTCAAAGGGTTATTATTTACATTAATGCACTGCTATTCAAACATGTTATTTTCGTGTAATAAAAAGAAAAGTAATTAAGGCGGGAAATTGTAAACAAGAAAATATAACATTTCCAGATAATTGAGACGTAATCGATAGTCATCGATTTGTTGGCGCCAAGCCGTGTTGCGAAATTTGAATCCCGCCATATAAACAGGAAATAGCCCGCCTCTTGTTATTCCTTAGATCCCGTTCTCGAATATAAAGGCGGCCTGGACTGGCATTCTTGTCAAAGAATATTTGCTCGTCGCGCGATAAGCATCAAATCTAGAAGAGCCCGAGCGGCACAGTGATAGTGTGAAATTAAACAAATAAAGTCTTGAAAAGTAAACAGATTTGGCTCCAGTCACTCTGTGAATATTTTGATTGCCTTATTACAGTAAGTGTCAATTCTGAGTTATCTTTCTTAGTTGAGATTTTAATGAGTTGTACAATAGTGAATTGCAAAAAAATAATAAAAGAAAAAAATATTTTATTTTAGTGGATTTTAAAAAAAAAGTTATTAAATGTTAAACGGTTACAAATAACGAATAAACTACGTTGATGTACCTTTAACACTTTATACATTTTCCGTTTTCGATTAGTTGTGCAAACAAAAATTATAAATGACATAGGTCTATTATATAAAAAGAAAGGACTTCATGTAAGATTAGGCAGGGAATCTCTTACATTTTTTTCGATTTCTCCCAGATTACAATTAAAAGCTTTCTTATAAAAATAAATAATCGTTAAATAGTAGCCTGGGAATCACTTAATCCCATGGGAACCACCATTGACGTAGGGGAGGTACAAAAAAAGGTCAGAGATCCTGGCAGATGTACCTCGATAACATGAGTGGCTTGCAAAATATTCCATTGGTAAATAGATGTTACCACAGAATGAAAAACAAACCAATAGAATTTGTCTTGTCATTTCTATGGCACAGATTGAGGATCCCGCAGAAGACTAAATGTGTACAAACACACGACGATTGGTGGTACCTTTGAACTGAGAATGATAATGCCAATCCGATGATAAGGAGTAAATCCACTTTTCCAACCGACTCGAACCGGTTTGTCCGTCTGCCTGGCATCGGCTTGGTCGTCGTCAAAATAAGAGTATTAAAACTGAACCATGTGCTATATGCGTCTATATAAATTACCAGATTCGACCTTAATCGCTGATAACGTCGGCTTCGATGTCCGTTACCAGTTCGAGATGATCAGGGTGCAGATGGACAAACCGGTTACAGCCGGTTGATCCCATCGAAGCAGGGTTTCAATTATAGATCTTACAAATTGTTTACCCCGCTCGTCGCTCCGATCACAACAAAAGCCGTACAGTGTCTCATTTGGTTTTTATTGGGTCAAAGGGTCATCTAGGGCTAGCACTCTGCTCCGGGGCTATTGGGCGTTGCAATCACATCTGTAGCTCCTGTCCCTCCATCCTGCCTGGCCTCCGTGGTCTTGCGCACGCTCACGGCAATTATCGTGTCGGACTTCCGAGGTCGATGCAGCCGCTGGTGGCGGTTCTCCTCCCACTCTTTGCGGTGCACCTTCTTCCGGTGGGCATGCATGTTGGCATTTGAATTAAAGGTCTGCGGGCAGTGAGGGCAGGTGTACAGAACTTCTCCCGTGTGGGTGGTCATGTGTTCCTGCGTATACATATTGTTAATTACTGATCAAAAAGGTAACCAATTCTGCAAAGATTACCCTCAGCTCGTTGGGCCGCTTAAAGGCCTTCTCGCACATAGGACACTGATGACTTCGAGCCGTATTGTGGGTGTACTTGATATGGTGCTGATGTGCCTGCAGGCTGGGCGATATTTTTAGACAGAGCTCACACTGCATGGGCTGCAGGTTCTCGGCTGTGTGCATCATTTTAATGTGGCGCGCCAGTCCATACTTTGTGGTCAGCATGGAGTCACACAGGTGGCACTTAATGGCTGTCTGCGGTGTGCCTGTGTGCTCCTCCATGTGGCGGGCCAAGGCTTCGCGACCTCTGATGGATTTTCCACAGACATCACAGATCTTGGCATATAAATTCAAATGGACCAGCTTCACATGCTGTTGCATGGAATACTGGGTGGTAAAACTGCCGAATATAACTTTAATTATCAGAGAATACAAATATATTTTGACTACTCACGTCTTCTCACAGTTTGTGCACTTCACCTGCCACTGCTCCCGTGGAATGTGCGTCAGCTTGTGGCGCTCGCAGACTACGGAGCTGTAGAAGCTCTTGGTGCAGTGTTCGCATTGGTAGAGTCGTCCACGCGACTTGATCTCGTGCATGCGCATGTGCAGCTCCAGACTGCGGCGGTGGCCCATAACGCGTGAGCAAATGGAACACTTGAAGAACTCAGGGTCCTGGTGGCGGCGCAGGTGGTCCACAAGGACGCCCCGCTTCCAGAACTTGCGGTTGCAGCACATCGAGTAGCCGCGTTGTTTGTGCTCACGCCGTACATGTACCAGCATCTCGGAAAAGCCCTCCATGGGCTTGTTGCATATGTGGCAAAGGACCTTATAGTGCTCCTGGATAAAGTCGTTGAACTCCTGCGACTTTTGGATGTTAGGGAGACCGGTTGCCTTGGGGCGTTCCGCCACTCGCACCCTACCACGTCCCCTTGGGCGTCCGCGAACCTTTCGCTTAATCTTTGGCTGGGGTTCTTCCTCTTGGTCTTCTTCCCCTTCGTCCCCGCTAGCGCACTCATCCGGAAGAAAATTGTCCTGATCCTCTAACACATCGGCAATGGTTAGATCGGCCTCTGGGAACTCGATTTTTATCTCATTTAGGTTTATCTGCTCCAACACACTCTTAAATTCTTCGCTGGCATCCTTTGACGTCCACGTCGTTCTGGGACGTCCACGTCGACGCTTAACGGCAGCGGCCACACTATCAACCTGTTCACTCTTCACCGTGTGTCCGGGGGAAGCTACTTCTGGCGGAGATGTCTTCTCCAGAACCGTTTGCTCCAACGCCTTGTGGGCCTGCTCAACACTCAAGTAGAAGTTGTGGAAGAGCAGCAGCTGCTCCCAGCAGGCGCCGCAGACATAGCCACTGCCCAAATCAAGGATCTGAAAGTGGGGAATCCTCCGCAATAAGAAACTAGAGCCGGAAATAGGGAGCATTCTTTTGTTTACCTTTAGCCAGAAGTGCTTCTCGATGATGCATCGCAGGCCCAGTGATTCAGCTTCCTCCGAAGCGAACTCTATGTTTCCAACTGCGTTATCCGCACGCTGCGTACACAGAAAACAAGGCATTTGTATCAAAAGAATGCCAGAAATGGGCGAAAATGCTTTAAAATGCGTTTTATTTTACGAATTAAAACTGGCCGATGCCCAGCTGATCGGTACCATCACTAGAGGTTATCGATATGCCAGCCGCGAATAGTAAGCCCAAAATTTAGTGGTTCAAATATAGCACAGCACTGTTAGTAGTTTTGCTTTGTTTGTTTCATTGTTTTTATTAACATTTCAATCAGCATTAAACGCGTTATAAAACAGTGTAAGTATAGTAAAACATATAATTAATCCCTTAAGAACATGAAGTCTTTAATCACTATAATTGCGCAGTTTTGGGAGTGGTGTATTTTATGGCATTTACAATCAGGTCATACTGTCTCAAAGTTTTGCGACTTTGGGATTAATTTATTTTAATTTAGGCTTTAATTCAGCTTAATTTGTTAATACGTGGCTTGCGAAATGGCCACGCAGTTTGGGGGAATCGCCGAGACGAGCCGTTCACGTCGTCATAGATGTGTAAGTGCGATTTAACTGGCTTATCTGGACGCATATTTCCACACCTGAGTTTAGACACCATAAACAAAAGCCGACGCTTTAACAGCCCACTTATCTCCGCTATCTATTTCTGTTTTGCAGCCAGCTTAATCTCTTCGAGCAATCCGGAGGGCACGGACATGGATGTGCAGACGAGTCGCGTTGTACCCGATGGCGGCTACGGATGGATTGTGGTGGCCGCCGTGGCCTTGATCAATGTGAGAAGTCATTCGCTTTATATAGAAGCACCATATAAAAACCTTACCCTCCAACCCCCCTCCAGATGACCAACCAGTCCATTTTGTCCGTGTTTGGCCAGCTCTTTGTGGGCGAACTGCAGCAGATGCAGGAGGACTCCTTCACGGCGGCCCTGATCACCAATCTGAACAGCCTGGCCCTCAACTTCTCCGGCCTATTCATTGGACCCGCCATCAAGAGCTTTAAGCCCCGGAATGTGGCCGCCACAGGCTGCGTTCTAGTCTCGTTGGGCCTTGCACTTTGCGCCTTTGGCACCGAGAGCTGGCACTTCATCGTGGGCTACAGCTTCTTTGTGGGCTTCGGTTTGGGCCTGATATCGCCCTCTACGTTCATGGCCATAAATTCTTACTTTAGCAGCAAGCGTGGTCGCGCTGTGGGTGTCTCACTGGCAGGCGCTGGACTTGGACAAGTCCTGATTCCCCACCTGGTGCGCTATCTCTTAGAGAACCAGGGTTTTCGTTATGCGGTACTGGCTATGTCCGCCTTATCACTAACTGGAGTGAGTGTGTTATTTACAAATACATTTTAAACCCATGCTAATCTTATTAACTTACAGCTATTTGGTGCCGCGTTCCTGAAACCTCTAAATCCTCCTACCAAACACAACAACCGCAGACACATTCGCCTCCTAGCCGAGGCGGATGGAGAAAAGACTCAGTCCACTCCACTCCAAGTGGTGATTGTTCCATCTAACCAAAGCAAATTCGAGACGATCCCACCCCAGACTGATACCCTTTGCAGCCGGATGGGCCACCGTTTGGTGCAGGCCATGGACCTGGAGCTGCTTAAAGATCTGGTTTTCTGGAGCATCATTGTGGGAATGGCCCTAGTATACACGGCCACCATTAACTTTACAATGATCTTTCCGGGCTTCCTGGGACAAACGGCGGGTCTGAACAGCCAGATGGTGGCCTTCTGCATGTCAATGGTGGCAGGAGCCGATATTGTATGCCGCCTACTGTTGCCCATCATCACAGACCACCTGAGAATTCCCTATCGAGTGGTTTTTCTGGTAGGCATCGCTGGACTATTCGTCGCCCGTTGTGTGCTGGCCGAGAATCAGGCGCTGCCCGTGATTATCTCCATGTCTATCCTGACGGGCATGATGAAATCGGCCACTGTCATTAACAACAATCTCACCATATCGGCGCACTGTCGCTCGGAGAAGCTTGCCGGCGGATTGGGACTGAGCATGATGTCCAAGGGAGTGATCGTGATCACAGTGGGTCAGCTGTTGGGCTGGGTGCGTGACTATGCCGATTCCTACATCATCTGCCTATACGTCCAGGGAGCAATTCTGCTGGTGGTGGTTCTAGTTTGGACACCGGAGATCTTCTATCGCCACCGCAAACAGCGACGTACCACCACCAAGTCCATGGAGACGCAGTCTGTGGACGCAGCCGAAGAGGTTGCCAAGCTCAATAAGTGAATCAATGGTCTGGATTAGCGTTTAAGTGAGAGTGTTCGGTATTGAATGTCATGTGATAGGCGGCGGAATGGCTTCCCTGGAGGGAACCTTTTGGACTCGCCGCAGTAGTTATCTGGGTTGTGAGCAAGGACCAGTGTAAGGAAGAGCACTATTTGTATGACTACGCATCCTAGGTTTAGGTTTTCGATTATTTATTACCATTTAGCCCGTAGAGACTTAACTTTTGTACTGCCACAAGAGCCAAAATACAAATTAATCAAGTATCCATATTACAAAAACCATGTTTATTAGCATGAGAGGAGTTTGCAACTCAACCTCAGATCGATCTTATTTGGGGAACTACACTATCTATTCCGAGGACAAAAAGCTGGGAGTGCTGGAGACTTCGGAGGCGCCCGAGTCTGTGTTGTAGAAAATGCGACGCTCGATGCCATCCTTGTTGATGATGCCAATGCGCACCACTCCGCCGGAGCTGCCGTCGTGGTAAATGGCGTGCTGGACAGCTATTGGGGAAGATTGAAGTGGGATTAATTTGGGTTACTGTTTCTTAAAATAGAAAAATATCTACACTTTGGAAGTGTAAATATCTGCTTAATCAATGTATTTGTAATAGATTTAAACGGAAACGAGAAAACAATTACTTACCCTTCTTGACGAAAGTCACGCAGTCCTCCTTCTGCATGTTTGGGCGGAAGTGCTCCCTCACGAATCCGTAAATAAAGCTGGAACCGGAGCCGCCGATAGTGCAGGACTCGCGGGTAAGCATGCCGCCCAACGGGATGCTGTACACCTGGCCGCCGCGTTGTGCATCCCAGCCAGCCACGATGATGCCGGCGAGCAGGGAGTCGCGGTACCTGTAGCAATAGTTGCGGAATTCGGAGGCGGCCTCAAAGACGAGGGCCTCCTTGCTGGTCTGGTTCTCGTGGTAGTTCAGCGAGTAGGCCACAATGTCGGCGATGGCCTGGGTGTCGGCGGCAGATCCGCTGCGGCAGCAGTATACCTTGTCCGTGATGCGGGTCAGCTTGTCGGTGACTCGGTTGGCCACATAGGCGCCGGAGCTGGTGCGGGAGTCGGCTCCAATTACCACTCCACCATCGAACTCCACGGCCATGATGGTGGTCTGCAATGCAGGAGGATTGGGCTCTTAATAGGTTGTATATGGGTAACATCGGGCATACTCACGCCAGTGCTGACGGGCGTATCGGTAAAGTCAAAGTCGGGACCCATTTTAATCCTTAACTCTGTCACAATTCAATTTACGATTCCTTTTTGTAGAAAAGCCGCTCGAAATGACTGGCTTGTTTTTGACAAGTGTTGCAAGTTAACTTGATTCAAGAGTTGGACAACGCGAGAATTTTTGCATCAATTATCGATAGTTCAATATGCCTTGGAGAAGTATATACCAAAAAATATACTCTTTTGTCCTCTGTTCACACTGGTTCATTGCACATGTTGAATTTGTTTTGATTTTTTAAAACCAATTTTGTTTATTAAATTAAGCTTAAAATGGCCTATGTTGCACTAAGCGAGGCTGAAAAAACCTATATACTGCACGGCGTAGAGGTGAGTGTTTCTTGTTGTTGGTTGTTCATTGAATAACCCGATTTTAGGATGACTTTCGCTGTGATGGACGTTCTCGCCGGGATTACCGCCCCATGGAGCTGGAAACTGGGCTGGTCAGCAATGCCAGTGGATCCGCCCGCCTGCGACTGGCCAACACAGACATCCTGGTGGGCGTAAAAACAGAGATCGACGTGCCCAATCCGTTGACGCCGGAATTCGGCAAATTGGAGTTCTTTGTGGATTGGTAATGGAGCAATTCGATTACAAGACGAATATACGTATATTGACTTCTAAATCTCATTCAGCTCCGCCAACGCCACGCCAGAGTTTGAGGGACGAGGAGGATCGGATCTGGCCCAGGAGCTGGTGCTGTCCCTACAAAACGCCTACGAATCACCACTGGCCTTTGATTATCGCACCTTGTGCCTCATCCCCGGTCAGCAGTGCTGGAAGCTCTACATAGACATTTTGGTAAGACCGTAATATAGGCTTTAGTGTTCCGGTATTATCAACCCTTGACTTGCAGATCCTAGAGTGCGGCGGCAATCTCCATGATGCCGTCTCCCTTGCCGCAAAGGCAGCTCTGTTTAACACCAAGTTGCCACGGGTGACGGCCACCTTGTTGGATGCCGGCATCACAGACCTCATCATATCGGACAACCCGTACGACTGCACCCGCATTGGCATTGAGACTGTTCCGCTTCTGGTCACTGTCTGCAAGATTGGCGACTACTGCCTAGTGGATCCTTCGGCGGAGGAGGAAGTCTGCAGCACTGTCAGCGTGGTGGTGTCCGTATCCATGCGTAATGGCGAGCCATTCCTTTCGGGCACCCACCTGACTGGCGGTGGCGCCATGCACCGGGACACCATGCGCAACTGTCTCCAGCTGGGCCTGTCCATTGGCGAACACCTGGACAAACTGCTCACCAAGATGCTGAAGCTGGAGCAGGAGCGCGTCGGGCCCAAGCGACCGAAGACGGTTGGGTTTCTCAAATAAAGCGGCTTTGGCTTATAATGAAATTTTACTATTTACTCAAACATTGACTTTGAGCTCTGCGGCTCTTTTTAGGCTTAGGGCTAAACGCGATCTGGTGGTCAGCTACTGCTCCTTGCGCTTCTTGGTCTGTCTGGCAGCCGGAGCGGGCTTCTTCTCCTTGGGTTCGGGCTGCTTGCCAGTCAGCAGGGAGGTCAGCATTTCGCTTATCTCGGGCATGTCGTTGCCCATCTGTGGAGCAGGAAATGGCCGTTTATATACAGAAGTCCTGCACAAGGTTCATGGGGTTTACCTTCGGGAACTGCAGATTGTCGATCTCCTTCTTGGTCTCGGGATCGTTGATCATCTTGGGCAGTACCAGCATGAGCAGCAGGGGAAGCACCATCATCAGCACCATGGGGTTGAACAGGAAGTCGGTTATCTACGGGTTACAAACAATGGTTAGCTATAGAATCCTAAAGTCTTGACAACTAGGCTAACCTTCCACTGCTCCCTGGCCTGGAAGTACTTAAAAGGCACCAGTGGCTTCACACGCAGTGGGTAGGGCACCTGCATGATTTGCGCCGGCTGGACAAAGTTCACTTTGCGGGCGCGGAACTTTCCCTTGGGGTTGATCTCGACGCGCACCTGAAAGAGGAGTAGTTGGTGTTAACTGTATAACCTTAGAGAAGATGTTTCCCACTCACCGGTTCATAGAACACATCCGGGTGGTGGACATCCAGGATATAGCTGCCGGAGGGCACACCACTGATCATGAACTGGCCGTCCTCGCGCACGAATCCCTTGAACTCGCCATCGTTGATAGAGAGGGTGATCTCCGTTTGCCACTTGGGCGCATCCTTGTTAACCGGAGCACCTCGTCCGCCTTGAACCGGAGGTAGAATGGAATCGGGCGGGGAAACACGTCCTTCGATTGTGTATAGGCCGGAGACTTCGTCCACCAGTTCGTCTTGGCCAATGACAACCTCACTGGTGGCTAGGGCCAACAGGGCGGCGAAAATAACGAACTTTAAGCACATTTTTCGGCCCAATTTAAGTTTTTTCTCCCAATTTTTCAATTGTCAGCCGATAATGTGACCGTGCACGGGACTGCCATTAATCCTACAGCCCAGGAATGGAAAATTCTGCACAAACGACAGCTAAGCGGTTAATTCAAAACTGCACTTGAAACTAGTTGTGAATTAAAAAAACTTCACAGTTTCAGCCATTTCTAATATTTTATATTATATTTATAAAGATAAAATATAATAAATTCCGTATTTAAAAGTTGTTAGCATAGTAATCTGGGAGATCTGAGGCATTTCTCTTTTGTATAGTGATACTCATTAAAAACCTATTCTAAAGGTGAAACCACAAATAAATTGGGAATAAAAATATTTGTCTATTTATTTTTATTTTTATTAGTCGACTAGAATCAAAAATTCAGCGAGGAACTCGCCAGTGAAATCGGTGTCCCAATATGGAACCCTTAAGACGGAAAGAAGGAAGGGAGAAAGTGGCCCATTCGGAAGAGTCCTGGCATCACTTGGTTTCTGATGTGATAGTATCGCAACCGCCGGACATCTACGACTGTAGCAATCTTAGACAGCACGTTCAGGCTATATTGCAGACCTCCGAAACTCCTGGGATCAAAAATCGCAATAAACGCAAGATGTCGAATTCAAAAGTATTGATCAAGCGTCTGAAGCTCAAGATACGAAAGCTAAATAAGAAGTGCAAAAAGATTACCAGGCAATTGGACACTTTTCGCAATTCTCTCAACGATCCCAATCTTTCAGGCGAAGCTGTTTAAAAATTTTGGATGCTTCGATGGGACCAATTCGGATCAGTTATTCGTTTAAAATTATGATCCCTATTATACACGAGAATAGTTGTTGTATGGAATTGTTGTGGAACCGGAAATTTTAATAAATGTTTTTCTCCAAAATATACTTTTTACTTCGCCATGCCTTGATTGTTCTTATATATTATAGTTTCTTGCTTCCATCTTTCATCAGCTGTAGAACACAAACTTATCAAAACTATTTGTAAATTGTTTTTTTTTCAGTTTTTTAACTGTGCACAATGAATTTTTAAAAAATTTCCCATATTCTGAGTAATTTATAAACGCGTTTCGCAATTAAGATCGTTAAAAAAAATGTAAAAGAGAATGTTTTAATTATTTGTATATGGTCAAATAGTAAATAATAAAAAAAGAGAAAAACTAAAGTTATTTACTAAAGTATTTGCTTTATGAGTTGGTAAAAAGCCACGAACAAATATAAAGAAGTAAAGAACGAGACAAAAAAAAGTTTGTCTCTCATCTAATTGGCACTGAAGGTCTAGAAATTATATTCGACGACCAATCAGCTTCCTTCAGAGATTTAATCTTTCCTTTCGTAATTTTTGGCACGCTCATTTGTCAGAGTATTGAACAAATAGCGCGTGGCGAACGGAATATGTGAAAATATACCAGATAGTGAAATCGAACCGGGGTCCAATGGAGCACCAAGAGGGGCTCCACTTAGAGGGCGCCTTAGCCCACTGAGCCATCTCCATCCTCTTCATTGTTTAATGCTTATTTGGAACACCACCTTACCGACGCACTGCGTTATCGACAGACTACATTGCCAATACACTGTCTTACCGACGGGTTGCACCTGAACTAGATGGCGCTAGTTTCAAGAGGTGCTGGCTACGATGTAGAAAAGTCGAGACCAAAATGTACTAAGTGTTCGACGAAATAGACACCCTTTCAAAGATTTTATTCAAGCAAAGTTTTAGCTTCTTGCTCCCCAACTCCCGCCCCGCAAATCTACCTGCTGACGTGAAAAGCGCGGTAGTTCGCGCTCCAATCTATCGCAGTGTTGACTTTACTATCGATACACGACTGAAACATTATTGTATTATTTTTCTGCTCTTTTCGAGCGCTCTCAGCCGAATTCAGTCGTTGGCGGCTTTTCGTTGTGTTCGGTTTGCTAAACATCCGAGCGGTTGGACGAGAAAAAGAGCTAACGAAGCTCGAGTGATTTTCGAATATTGTTGACAGCGATTTTAGGTTAGTGCGTGCTTTGTCAAACGGGTTTTGAGTTATTCGCAATGAATGGCAATGGAGTTCTACTAGGCGCAGGTGTGCCCACATGAGCAATAAGTGCCACATGCAATATGCAACGTGCAACATGCAACCTGCAACATGCTCACCGAAAGTGAAGTTCAACTTGAACCGCAGCTTTAAGATCTTGTGGTTAATAGGCAATGTCAATGGGATATAAAACTTGATACTGATTCCCTAATCTGTTCGTAAAAATTCCAAAGTTGCTGCTGTGTTTTTGTTTTTTCATCCACTTGAACTGTGTCGCATGTACAGTGAAACCGGTTTCAGTAATTTTAATGATGCTGAGATCACAGGCCCCACCCCTCGTACCCTCCTCTCATCCGGAGCTTGCACAGATTTATTTTTTTCGCACACACATTTCAATGGCAAGACGCAATCGCAATGCAAGTCTTCTAGCACAATGGCAATGGTTAATTAATTAGGCAGCGAACGAATAATAAAACAGTGAGTGATGTCAAGCGTCGCGCCTGCGCGAAACGTTGGTGATGTAAACAATGCGAGGCGGAAAAATATATACATAAACTGAAAAGTAGTGAAAACAAAACGAAGTCTACGAGTTTTCGGGGGTTATCTCAAGACGTGCATTGGTCGCATTATAGAAATTGGCACACTCGCGGCCACGAGTTCAGTGCCTTACGCAATTGTACAGCTGATAAATCAACGGTGACAGTCACTTTCTACGAATGCAGAGTCGTCACTTTGCTGGAATATTTATAACTAACGACGACAATTGGTACAGTTTTTGTTTTGCTCTCACTACGCGTCGATTTCCTCGATCTGCGCCTTGTGATGTCATCTAATGGAGGTTTTATGTGCATACCACGAATCAATAATCGCTTCGTTAAGGCATTTTTTCTCGGCGCAGTTTACGCGTTCTTCGAGGTTTTATTTAGAGAACAGCTGTTTGGATCTCAGTCAATTATTTTGCACTTAGTATGAGCTTATTTTAGAAAAACTCTCGGCCGCCGAAATATTTTATTTAAATTGTTGTTGTACATTTTTAAATATTTAAATATGCGTTAAATGGATATAACATTTTTGAGTTACTGTGACTAATTATAGAAGTGTGCACTAATAGAACACTACCTTTTTGTGGCTTCAAGCTTTATGTAAACACCTTTATCACTGTGTTTCCTTATTATTACCAAGTAGTAGGTTAAAATTAGTTAATAGCTCAGGACCCAGTTGTTTAACTTTCTGACATGTTGTCCATCGCAAGATTAAACATTAATTTAGGAACCCATCGACACATGCCAATCAGGTTTTTTGGACAAATGTTGATCAATCTTTTTCCGTATGCATGGAATCACCCTGGAAATTCGGTACCAACCCCCATTTAATTGCCCCTTTGGCAGGTTTACTTTCTGGGTGGAAGGGTCTAGTACAGGGGGTACCTGGAATTGCCCACAGTAGGCTAGTTGTTAACCCAGTTTACACAGGTTCTGGCACGCGATGTCCGCCCAAGATTGTTACATGCAAGGAAATTGCTTGACCACCTTGACCAGAAGCACCCCTCCCCAAAGCACTCTTCTTCGAACTTTGTTGGGGTCAAATCCAGTAGTTGGCATGTGCTACAAAACGTAGTACACCCAACTCGATTAATGGCTGAAAACAAGCTGATAATGGACTGATTCTTGGTCTGATTGTCCTATAAACTTGGAAAAACCAAAGTCAAGAGGCATCTTATCAATTTACAGGCTTTGGGCAATATTAAGAAATTTACGCAACTTTTGAAGTGAGTGATTCAGCAATCTTCCGAAGTGGTCCGCAGAAGGCAAATTATCAGAGTCGTTTACCCGCCAACTGCGATCTACATACCTTTCGCATTGATCGAAGCAATTAGAGTTGGTCTGTCAAATACGTACGAGTGGATATTTCGTGTAGACACACACCGACAGCATTCAAATTGCGATTATTTTGTGTACGAGTTTCAAAACTGGCTTTTTAACAAGGGCATGACAAGCTCTATGTGTGCATTGCATACATATATACATGTACATATTATATATATTTGCCGATATGTACATACCCCTCACAATGAGCATGTTGGAGTCAAGTGTTCGGGCCCACATAATGCCTCATTGTGTTGTGGAAAAGTCGCTAATCAGTTTTGTCTCACGTTCAAAAACAAAAGCCGAGTCCCAGTCGCATTCGAAGTCGTGGCTTTAAGCAAATGGGGCCAATGGCTATATGGCGCGAAACACTTATTAATGTGCCAAGAATTTAATGGAAAGCATTTATCTTTATTGTTGTGCCACGGCGGCCGGTGAAATTTTCGGTTTTCACTTTGCCTTCTGCAGAGTGCGAACTACCAAATACATATGTAGTAGATATGGGTATGCCTACCTGTACGAAGGTCTGGGTGAATGCTTTTTAGATAAATCACTCACAATCAATAACTTTGACTTTCAAGGTCTAGGCAAATGTGAACACCCATTGTACGGTTCTTGAAAGACCACATTTCCAAAAATCCAACACCAAATCACAATTCCCAATATCAACCAGCTGCCAAAATAAGGTCTAAACAATGACTGTATCGAGCTAAAGCTAAAGCTCAAGCCGCGCTTTAATTAACATTTAGCTGGCATTTCAAAGAAAGGCAAATGAATTAAAAAAACATTTATGGCCGCTGAGATACATACGCTATAAAGCCGCCCAAGGTTAATCGTAAACGCTTTCAATTCAAGTTCAATTCGCATTCTCGACACGGAGCGGGAGAGATAGTGTAATACTCAGGCAGACTGGAGATACAGATGAATCACTGTCGTCTGTATTCCCACATGGGAAATTCCCAAGCACATAATGTATTCTGCCACTCACTTCCTCATTGATCTTGATCTTGGCTGGGATTGGGCGATCATGACGAAAGCAAAAGTCATTTTCTGACTCACGAGGGAACTGACCTCGTTAACGGTTTTGTTAAACCGCGAATATAAAAATAGTGAGTGAAATGTATTGGGCCCTCTTGACTTAACAAGTGCACCGGAAAGTAATTGACCAATTGGCCCCAGTGTAGTAAACATTTAATTTATGACCCCGCTTACGGGTAATTAGTTTAACTAGCCATTTGCTCGATTAATAAGCGAATGCTTAATATATTTGCGGTTATTAGGAAGAATACGCATACGCAGCGATGCCTGACGAGCCGTGATGTTGCCCGTGTGATAAGCGCTGAGTGGCCAGCAAACTGAAAGCTAAACGGTGTTTAGGTGATACATCCGCCTCTAAATATAGCCATATCGGGCAGGCACAATCTGAATCAGTATCGACGCCGACATGACTGCATTGGTAATTAAATGAGAGGAGTCTGATTAAGGTAGAATGTTTAATGGAGTCTGAGTATTCAAATTTATTATGGTGCTGAATTTGATGGGTCAAATATTACTTTAAAGCAATGTAAATCGTACGACGACTTTATTTAATACTTCTTTCGGGAAATAAATAAATATTTATCAGTTTCGTACTTCATAGAACTACCCGACCACTCCAGTAGTTATAGATACGTTGATCGTTATCAAATATGTAGATTCACAGATACATTCGCCACTCATTGTTTGCGGGTTCGCTGGAAACGTGCCCCCGATAAGCGGGGCAATTATTTATGCCATGGTAATTAAACAGACGACAGAAGATGGAAATGACGAATGTCTGACGAGGGGTTCAGATTGTTTGAGGTGGGGGGCAGGTGGTAATCAAAGGGGAACGGAAGCCGGGACACGGTTCGCTTCTGATCATTCAATTCCCATTCGATACCAACTCCAACTTCAACTCCAACCCAACCGTCATTGTCTGCTCCACAGGTGCTCTACGATGACGCGGCCGCTGACAATGCGAAGTTGGCTGGCGCTGGCGACGGCGCTACTGGTGGTGGCCACCTGGCCGGATTCGGGCCAGAGTCTGCCGCAAGGCGCTCCGGAAACCGTGTGCGACACCTTGCTGCCGTACCACTCCGGCGGCAGTGTGCTGCCCCAGAACAGCGTTTCGCCTTTCAAGGTGGAGACCTCCTCCTCGACCCTTGGCCAGGGTCAGACCCTCCGCGTGGACCTCACGGGTGTGCCGGCGGGCCTGAGCTTCGGCGGCTACATGATCCAGGCGCGCAACCGCAATCCGCCGCACCAGATCGTGGGACAATTCGGACCCGCCCGCGATGGAACCATCAAGCTGATGAACTGCGAGAACTCCGTGAACAACTCGGCCACGCACAGTAATGCTGGGCCCAAACAGCAGGTGCTCCTGGAATGGCAGTCCCCGGTGGACTTCCTCGGCCAGGTGGTCTTCAAGTGAGTCTTCAGTTTCTTTAGGATTTTGGGGTTTACTTATCCTTCCAATACTTCCTACCCTCCTACAGCGCCACAATTGCCCAAAGCTACAATGAATTCTGGGTGGGCGTGCCCTCTCAGCCTGTTCAGATAGTACGACGTGATGTTTCGGGTCCGTCACTGCCCACTCTAGCTCCTACTCCCAATTTGGGAACCACCCGTGCTCCCTATGTTCCTCCCTCCTATGTGGCACCCAACAACGTGGCTGCAGTTACCGCAGATCCCATCTACAATGGCTGCGGGCAGAGCAAGAACTGCTTCGGTTTTCCCGATGGTTGCGTGGCCTCCAAGAGCTGCACCTCCATCACCGTGGTTACGGTGAGGGGAGATGTCTACGAGTTCGAGATTCAGTCCGGCAAAGGTGAGTCCTTCGATTTCCCCTATCGAAATCAACACTTAATCTCGTTTGACTTCTTTCGCAGGTACCAATGCCGCCTATGTGGCTGTGGGTCTTTCCGATGACGCCAAGATGGGTGAGGACCTGACCACCGAGTGCGTGCCCGAGAACGGAAGGGTCAACCTGTACTCCTCCTTGACTTCAGCCTCTCCCTACGCGGCTGTCAGATCTGATGTGGTAAATTTGGAGTTCCACAAATGTGGGGCTTATGTAACTTATCAGTATCTTCTATATGCAGAACCAGAACTCCGCCCGCCTGTTGGATGCCTCCATCGTGGACGGCGTGATCTACTGCCGGGTGCAAAGGGATGTGGTGACCAATGTTAAGGGGCGAACCTTTGACCTGCGCAATGGCAAGTACCACCTTTTGGTGGCCTCCGGCAGCAGTCTGAAGGAGAACAGCGTGGGCTACCACGACATCGGACGTCTGCCCTCGGCACAGTCCATTAATCTCGCAGAGGTGCAGGACTTGGGCGGATCCAGCAAGCTGCTGGTGCAGCTCCATGGAGCCTTCATGATTGCCGCTTGGATTGGAACCACCTCGCTGGGCATCATCTTCGCGCGCTATTTCAAGCAGACGTGGGTGGGCAGCCAGAGCTGTGGAAAGGATCAGTGGTTCGCCTGGCATCGCCTGCTCATGGTCACCACCTGGTCGCTCACGGTGGCCGCCTATGTGCTCATCTGGGTGGAGTTGAAGCGGGCGGTATGGCACGCCCACTCGATCATCGGCCTGATCACAGTGATCCTGTGCTTCATCCAGCCCATTGGTGCTCTGTTCCGACCGGGCCCAAATGACAAGAAGCGCCCGTACTTCAATTGGGGACATTGGTTGGGCGGAAACCTGGCCCACATCCTGGGAAGTAAGTTCGGAGATAACGAATCACCATAACCGGTGGCTAATTTACTTGCCCCTTCCAGTTGTGACCATCTTCTTCTCCGTAAAACTGCCCAAGGCCGAGCTGCCCGAGTGGATGGACTGGATCCTGGTCAGCTTCGTGGTGGTGCACGTGCTGGTCCACCTGATATTCTCCGTAAGTGATCCCATCCTTGGTGACTTGGTTTGCCCCTTCTCATGTGACCCCGAAATGTACAAAGAGTAGACCCTGCATCGCCTGCCTGTACAGTGGTTCTAGTTGTGTCCCTAAAAGTTCATTCATTCGATACTAATTCATCCGTCATCCATCATCTCCCGAGAACTGGAGGCTACGTCCCTTAACGCCCAGATCGGCTTGTGTTTAAATCATTGGCAGGTCACGGGCATGGCCTCCGAGCGCCATCTGAGCCAGCGGGCGAACACCTTCCAAATGGGCGACATCTCCCATCACCAGCAGCATGGCATGCGGAATGGCATGAGCATGGAGCGGAAAATGGATGCTCCGGTGAGTGCTGCATACTTTTATTATAGATGTCTTTTTGAGCCAGTGATTCGCCTTTTCCAGTATGCGGCCATGCGCAAGGGATTGCTGGGAGTTTACAGTGTGGTGCTGTTTCTCTTTGTCGTGGTGCTGATCCTCCTGGTGGTGCTGGCGCCCATCGAACAATTCCTGGGCAAGTCCTAGGTGCACAGTCTGGACGTCCTGTAACCTGTCCCCTCCCAATACTCGTATCAGTTTTGTGTGCTCATTGTTTAACCCCTTCCGCCCACGGCTCTGCCCTGCCACCCACCCAATCCCATCCAGCGATGTGCTGTTAAGTGTAAATTAGGCGCAAGTGTAACCTAGGGCGGAGCGTTCAGTACATGTTATATAATTTATTATTAATAAAATAAAACAAGCCAACATAAATGCAGTTATTTTGTTTCTTTGTTTTTCTTTTCCGCCTTCTGCTCTTTTCCTTCTTCTGCGCTACATGCATATTTTTATGTTTACGGGTAGAATCTGGTGCTGGGAGGCGTGCTGCTCGATCGGATTGCCCTGGATCCTATGTTTAGTATGTAGTTGTATAAAACCTGTACTTATAACTGCAGCTAGACATTATCATTATCTTTAGATATAGGTATATATGTATGCTTGTATGTGGTGTGTATGCTTTTGTAAACTTTTTCCTTGCTCCGCTAAATTAAAGTACGTAAATGATAGATAGCTCTACAATTTTCAAATATTAATGCGACAAACTAAACCCAATCGAACGAAACTGACTTAACGTAACGAGCGGAATCATAGCGAAATCATCGCTCCTCCAGGATGACCGTTTCCTGCGGATACAGCTTGAGCGTCTCCAGCGTTTGGCTACTCTCGATGGCCGTGAGATCGCGACGGGGCCAGCTGCGGATTAGTTTATACTCCTCGATGAGAAATCCATTGGCCGTCACAAAGTTGAGCAGATCCTGATGAAACAGAAGCTGATTAGCCGGTAATTTAAAGGGTATTTGGAAGTACATACCTGCAGGTTGTTGCTGGTGAAGAAGCGCCTCTCCAGAAAATCGCCGGTAGGTTTGCGGACGCGAATCTTAGAAGTACCCGCATCCTGCTCGGACGGCTCCTGAGGTAGGGATTGTTGAGCCTGTGAGCGAAGAGTAAGCTCTTTACAAGTTTGTTCTGGCATAGTGAACTCTCTTAACTTACAACTAATCTAATGGACTCGCGTCTAGCATCTTCCTCGGCTCTCTCAGACTCCAAGCGTTTGCGCTCGGCCAACTGGGAGGCCTCTTTCTGCCGCTTTGCCGCGTCCTTGGCCATGTCGGCCTGCAAGGTTTCCTGGTAGGCCATGTCCTGCTCTGCCTTTACTTGATCTCGAGCTGCCCGCTCGTCCTCTTGTCGGATTTCCACCTGCAGCTGCTCCTCAAACATCTCGCAGGTTTCAATGAGCCTCGTAAGCAAGTCATCCAGACCAATGTTTCCTGTTCAACGGTATTACAGGTGTTAAAGAAGCTAGTATTCTGGGATAATTAAGCTGGTATACCATGAATCACAGATAAAACCTCGCAATTGCTGCCCAGCTGGCGACTCTTTCCCACCAACATGATGGCTGGCAGCTTGTCCAATTTAATGTTCCTGGCCGTCAGTGAGGCGTTGCTGCTGATGCAAGCCGTCAGCGACGAGAGAAACCTGGCGATTGCATAAACGAATTCTTAGTAAATAACATATAAAATCTCCTCAAGCTCAGCTCACATGTCCTTGTTGCTCTCGTAGGTCATATCCCAGCCATAGAGGACGAATTTCTCTTTGAAAGTTTGGATAATGCTCTCGTGTTTCATCAGTTGATCACAGAAAACGTTGATGAGAATGCTCTTGCCGTGATGCAAGTAAATGGCCAGCAGCTTGCGCTAAAAGTTTACAAGATAACTTCGAGCAAGTGGCGTTAAAATTTGATTCAGGGAGCCTTACCTCTTTGGCAGGTCTAAGGCAGGCCAGCTGCCTGGCGGCTTCCAGGCTGCCCACGAAAAACTCCGGGTGCGGATCGCCATAGCGCGACTTGTAGTTCTCTACAAACTGCGTGGAGCCACTCGTCTCGTCATCGGTGTTGTTTGGTACTGCAAAATATACAAATTTTACACACTTCTTGAGAAGTATCTTAATAAAAAAACCCACTTAAGTGTCTGTTGAGCGGCTGAGCAGGTGGCGAGTCTGTGAATATGTACTCGGCATTGTTGAAATCCGTGGCATCCTCGAACTCATCCGCCGAGCTCTCGCTGTCCACGTTCACCACCTCGAAAGCGTTGTTGTGCTGAGTGGTATTGTTCTGAGCCAAATGCGCTGTGCTGCGAACCGCAAACCTGTGCGACAACTCAATACCAGATTGCTAAAAAAAAACAGAGAAATTAGCCTTCAGTTTTCAGGGCATTACAATTTGTGACCTACCGCCAAAGTGGTTTCATTGTCACAACCGTTGGGCCAGCCGGTCCACTCCTGGTGGCGCACTGGTATACTCTTGATGTCGTACACGTTCATCTTCAGCTCGCGCATTTTTGTTCGTCCTGACAGGCTGAGTGTAAGTGGGCTGTCCGACTCGAACTGTATGTCGATAGTGAATGTCTTGTCCACCCGCTGCGTCACTTCATCCCTGCAAGAGTCTTTTTAGTATAGGGTTTAAGGAGTATTTCCTGGCGCACTCACTGTTCGGTGTCCATGAAACCGTCGTCGGTGAGGTCCACCAGGATTAGTTCGTTCTCCGGGGCGAGATCCAGGTTGCAGATGCGCGTGCCCAGCTGCTGGGCATCGCTGGCCTTTGATGGCGGCCAGCCGCGAATGGCCTGCCGGCACACCGGTACACTGGTCTCATCAAAGATCTTGCGTTTAAGTTGTTCTGCAAGATATCGTCTTTTAAGAACACTGCTTCATCTCCAGGACAAAGAAACCCTTACCAACGGTGGCCTCCGAGGGCAAACGGATTTGGTAGAGCTGCTGGTTGAAGTGGATGTTGAAGGCGATCACGTTCTGGTTGTTGTTCTGGCTGGATGCGGGGTCCAGGTTGATGCTGGACGTCAGCTGGGCTAGCAATTGTGACGCTATAGTAGATACGTTTCAAGTCAAGGCACGAAAGCTGCGCAATCACGTTCAACTCACTGGGAAATCTTTGTTGGAGTTGCGGCTGATGGGAGTTCTGGCTCTGGTTCTGGTTCTGGTTGTGGATTGAGTGGAAGAATCCTGCAGCAGCATTCGAGGTTCCGGGCATCTCCTCGTAGCCAGGTGGTCGGAAGCCGTTAGTGCTTTCCACGGGATGCGTGGCCGGCGGCTCTGGCTGCTGCTGGACGGTACTGGCCAATGGGGCATCCTCGTGCGGCATCACCCGACTCAGGGCCTCCTGCGAAGGGACAACGCAATTAGGACCACGCATGTGCGGAGATGTTGGACTCAGGCAAACAAAGGACCTGCACACTCACCATCAGGTTCCAGTCGGCGGCCTCCAAGTGGGAGAAGGCCTCGCCCACATCGTCGATGCCCGTGATGTTCTGCAGAGGATAATAGAGCGTACCATATAGTTCGATATTGGAATTATCTACCAAAGTCACCCACACACCAAAAACGCACACGCATCGCAATGTGCGCAGCGAAATTGAAAGAGTTTTCTCTGTTTTGGGAAAAACTGGATTACCTGAAAACTGGCCAGGGTGTCTTCCTTGTTCTCCGACATTGTGAGTCTCTTTATTCAACCAATAAACTGCAGTGAATCACTTTCTGTTCGGGCTCTAAGATAGCCTGGCTTTTCAGGCCAGTACAAAAAAATTACACAAAGAAAAAGTGGCAAGTCAGTGTGGCCAGTTGTCAATGGACAATTTATGCAGAGTAACGCGAGCACTGTTAACGGCACTTTTTTTTTTGTAGGCTTTTTCTTTTAATTTTATATCTAGTGTCTAATAGAAAACTTATCAATTTGGACGACCAATAAGGCATTGATAATCAGATCGAAAATTCTTAGTAGTCTCCATGGAACTGTAGCAGCGGTTCCTATAAACTCTGTTAACCGTTTCAAGCCATGTTAAGTTCAAACTGAAAGGCGGGAAACCATACCACTACGGACTGTTTTCAAAGGATATAATTTCACAGGCTGCCCACACAATTCCCACCAAAACTGAAAGCCAATCCTTCAATCTGCGAAATGTATTCAGCTGCAAATTGTGATTAATATGAGAAACTTTATACTTCGCACCCCGGGGACGAAAAAAAAGCCGGACTCGCCCCCGCACTGGGGCCAGAACAAATGTGGCACAATTAATCTTCATGAAGTGGCGAAATCAAAGACGCACTGCGATGTGTCTTCGAGTTGGCTAAGACGAGAGCCTGGTATAGAAGCCTCCAGGCTGGTAAGCCGACAACATGTTGCTCGTGGGCCTTAAATATACTCTGCTACTGGCGATTAGCGGCTGCCTCCTCCTGATCCCAATACACGGAGCTGGGACAGAAAGTGACCAGGAGGTGCCCCACCGCATCTACCGGCTCCTCGACGGACTCTCTGGCGGACGCCGGCTCAGTGCCAGCTCCACATTTGCACTGCTGCTCTCCCAGTTCCTGATTAAACGTGAGTCCAATGAACCGTGCATTCGCGATACGGATGACGGATGTGCGTATTTATTTATGCCCTTTTGCAGAGAAACTGCGCTACGAGGCCCCCACGCGTTATGAACGGCAGCTCTATTACCATCTGCTGCACAGAATGGAGCACATCAGGATGGGATCGGGATGGGTCCAGGAACCGGGGATCCAAGGCGAGAGTAAGTTTTATTACATTCAGAACTGTGTATTATTGCTTATGCTAATTTCTGTGTAGTTCTTAGCATGGCCTTCCAAAGGAACGTGTTGCTGTTGCCACCCTCGCTGAGATTGGGCGAACTGGATGCCAATGGGGACTACGAACAGCTGGCTGAAATCTATTCAAAAGTCGTTAACGAGGGACAGCTTAATAGGACGCAATCGGGTGAGTAAGGATGTATTTTACATGGACAAACCTTCTATTTGTCTTGTAAATCTTACGTACCCACTTTATTATAATATAATATAAACAAATTAAAAACAAGAAAGGAAAGCTAACTTCGGGCGGAGCCGAAATTGATATACCCTTGCAGAATTTTCTATAGTAATGTTCTCCAAAATTATTCCTATGATGCATTCTTAATACTCATAAAAAATCCAAACTTCCTAACTTTAAAAACACCAAAGTTATGGCATTTCGAATCGTTCAGTTATATGGCGGCTATAGGATATAGTCGGCCGATCCTTATGAAATTTGGTAGGTCGGACTGATTGGACAAAAATAAAACCCATAGAAAATCACAACTTCCTAACTTTAAAAACACCAAAGTTATGGCATTTCCGATCGTTCAGTTATATGACAGCTATATGATATAGTGGCCCGATCCGGCTCGTTCCGACTTATATACTACCTGCAATAGAAAGACAACTTTTGGGAAAGTTTCAAGCAGATAGCTTTAAAACTGAGGGACTAGTTTGCGTAGAAACGGACGGACGGACAGACGGACAGACGGACAGACGGACAGACGGACGGACAGACGGACAGACGGACATGGCTAGATCGACTCTCCTGGTGATGCTGATCAAGAATATATATACTTTATAGGGTCGGAAATGTCTCCTTCACTGCGTTGCAAACTTTTGACTGAAATTATAATACCCTCTGCAAGGGTATAATAAGTAAGTAGGTAAAACACATATGTCAGCCAATCATATACAAATTTTAAATATTAAATATCATAAATAACTTGTAAAACTTTTTAAAGGAAATGGCTCATTATTCCTAATGTTAAAAACAATATATTTTCTTTGGACTTTAAACCAGTTTATTAACTATTGGGTTTTTAAGTACATCTAACTATAATAAACATATATTACCCAGATCTCTGTATGCGGGACATCGTGCAGCTAAAGTTCCCGAACTGCAAGCTGCTTTCCGGAGAGTGTTTGGAGCTACTGACAAGTGATGCCCCGGCATATGGATACCAGAGGACCCACCAGTGAGCCACTGTATTTTCTAGTAATGCATCATTCTAGTTCTATCTTCTTCCAGGGTCCTGCTCCTCTATGTGCTGCAGCACCAGGTGTGTGCCCCACATCTCAGTCCGCCACAGGTGTACGAACTGCTGGCCAGGAGTCAGTGCAACGAGGTGGAACGCGAGCAGAACGCCATAAGGAGCCTGGGGCTGCCAGTCGCATATCGAGATCTGTATCTGGAGCAAGGTGAGTCGGGGTCAGTGGGTTGCGGAGGGTATTCTATGGGCTATCCTTGCTGGTATCGCTGACACATATCTCTGCCACATATCTCTGCCACCACAGCCACCATCTGCGGGTTGTTTGGCTACAATGAGTTTGTCAACTGGCGCAACGTAATGGAAATTGGCAGCTGGCTGGAGGGGGATTCGCTGAAGGATATATTAGCAGATGACAACGATAGTCAGCATATAAGCGATTTGGCCTTGGTCTTCTTCATAAATGCACTGCTGCTGCTGCATTAAGTCCCAATATATCGAATCCCCCAACCCCATAATTGTTGCTTCTGCTTGATAAGTTAATAAAGTGCCGCTTAATGCTTTTATGGTTGTGTCGATTTCAGCAAGTAGAGTGTTAATACTTTTGTTATTGAACTGCATCAAGAAAGGAGGGTGGGTGATACTTAGGGGTTTAGTGGCGAAACGGAAACAACATTTGTAATGTGACACATTACTTGCGCTTGGCTGCCCGACTGATGGATATGCAGCAGGACGACAACTACGACGACAACACTTTCCATTACAAAATGCTCACGCTGAAGTGGAATACTAATATTTGCCCTGACATACTCGAAAACATGGAAGCCGGAGCAGCGAAGCCCGAGGGCCTCCGGAAGGAAAGGGGTCGCCGCCTGGGTTTTGGGCTTTGGCTTCTGGGTTCGGGAGGTCTCCGTCTGGATATTAATGCCTCATTTGCTGAATGTCGAAGGGAATGACAGTGTAACTAGAGGCGGGGGAATGCACCCACTAAGCCTGCGACAAAAGAAATGCACAAGGAGAAAATGTTTAGTACCTTGCCATACAAAATAGGGCTAACAACTTGTTCGATTTGATCAACTTGTCACATTTATTTCCGTGAATTAAACAAAATAAAAAAAATTTAAGTCATAATGCTTAAATTTTTTTTAATTACAAGAAAATCGAAGCGTTTGCTAAGTAGAATAAGTAAACTTTTAGATCTTAGGAAAGTCTATTTCAAACCGAAAAATTCTGTAGGAGCCACGACTTATTTACCATACCATTAAATTTGAAATAATTTGTGCTCAGTGTACTGTAATGTGTTTTATAGTCGGGACACTTAAAAAAAGCTCCATCTAGTAGATATTATGACTATAAACGATTAACATACAAAAAGGCTAAGTCTAGTGTTTTTCAAAAGTTCAAGTGAATTGATTTTAAATCTAGTAAATATTTCTGACAGTGCAGACAGGCACAAACACCCCATGCTATATGTTGTATGCAGCTCCCTTTGTCGGGGGTCATGAATAGCGCTGGGTCATTAGTAACGTTGACTTGTCGATGCAGCAACAACGCCGACAACAACAGCAACAGCGACAGCAATGCCGCAGACATCCCAAGTCTCGGTTACCATCAAGGGGTGAGGATAAGGATGAGGGGAGGTAGATTGGGTCCTGGACATGACTGCTCCTCCTCCAATACGTTTCTTTTTTATCATATCTTTCGGCAGGCAAACAACAGCAACCCTTCAACAACCCTTGCAACCTGATCAGCTGACTTACTGGCCACTGCACAAACACCCTCTCCCCGTAAATACACCCCCTCAACAACCACACCACCCCCACCCACCGCAAGGCGTCTCGTGTTGTTTTTGTCCACGCGTGTCCTCGAGTTCATTATGGGCTTATGTCCCTTAAAGTGTTGCTGGCTCTCCGGAGGTGTTTATTGTCCTGTTAACTGTTAACTTGCTGGCATTGGCAAGAACAAGCTGTTGTTTAACATTCGCTCTCTCTCGCAATACATCAATCTCTCCTGTGTTTTTGTACTGCGAACCCAGATTGTTTGGATGCTTATTTTTCTCCTGGAGCGCCTGCGTGCGTGGGAGAGCTTCTCAGAGAACGCCTGAGAGAGCCCATACCAGGCTGGAATTTTGGAGGTGAAAGAAGGGGAGAGATGGAACTGTTGGAGCCGCTTTAGAGTTGCCAGGTGAGCTGAAAGTCTTTAAAAATACTTTTAATCCTTTTGAAATAAAAAATATATTTCAGTTGTTTTCCTTTATAAATACTTCATTGAATTAATTAAATAATATTTAGTTTTTTTGTCTCTCAGTCCGTCTGTCCAACCGTCTGTCCGCCTGTCCGTCCGTCTGTCCGTTCGTGTGTTCCTCCGTCTGTCCGTTCGTTTGTCCGTCTTCCCGTTTGTCAATCCTTCTTACTGTTCATCTCAATAAACTATTTTATATTTACCAATTATATATAATTAAAGTTTTACCAATAGCCTTCTGAATTTTTCAGACTTGGCAACCCTATTAGCCGAGCTAACTGTGCGAATTGAATTGGCGCCTCTTTACATGGCCGGATAATCGGCCAACAGATATTACAACAACGCCAATGACCAAGGACTCTCTGAGTCCGGCTCTCCTTCCGCCGAGCTGTCAGCCGAGGGATTGTTTTTTCCTGCGAATGCTTGGCGCTCTCTCTCTTCGTCTCTCTCTTTCCCTTCCAAGTGGCTTTTCCATTCCGTTTCGAAACTCATACGCTCAGTAGTCTCCCGTCAATTAGAGTGTAAAAACGTTACGCTCCCCGAAAAACAAACGGAATCGCTCGAACGCCAGAAATCATCCGTATCCGCCGTCATCAGACATCCGCTCGCAGGATACAACCAAAATAATACATATACACACAGCCGTACAACGAATGCGATAAAGTAATTCTAGCAGGAAACTGGCCAAAACGTGAAATCCCCGTAATTGTAGATTTTTGAGTGCTCCGGATTGAAAATTCGCAAGTGCAATGTGAAAGTCAGCTTATACGACAGCTGAATGTGTCAGTGTGTGTGAGCCACCCCCTCCCCCTAGGAAGTGAGAGTGTGTGTGGGTGTGCGAGAGTGTGTAAATGTAAATACCACGAAAATCGCTGAACGCCGAAAAATAAAGCACAAGGAGGAGAAATCAGAAATCAGCGAGGACGAAGCAGAGCAACGTTACTTGGCCAGAGGCAGACGAAGAAGAAGAAGAAGAGCAAGAGCAGGAGCAACAGCAACATCAACCGTAAGGATTCGTTCTTGTCCTTTAAATGTATGTGTGTGTGTGTAGTTTAAGGAGACGGAAAAATGCGAAATGAAATAATGGAAATTTATGTGGCCAGCGCATTTCAAGTGGCTACTCCACTGCCCTTCCGCATATACAAACATGCCCAAAACTCACACACGCGAGTCCTCCCCCCTTACATACGCCACTTTTATTTATTGCGATTTTTGGGTCAAACTAAAGTTGCAATGATGATGTTGATAATTACCAGTTCGTTCACATCGTCAGCAGTTCAAAAGTCTTTGGGGGAGTTCCCTTTTCCACCCACACGCACACACAAGCACTCACGTAAAATCACCCACTCACACACACACAGGGGCCCCCTCGAGCTGTATACATGGGTGTGTGTGTGTGCTTTTGTTTTAGTCCTTGGATCCTTGCTGGGAAATTACTTTGTTGTTGTTGCCTTTGTTGGCCTTATTGTTGTTGTTGCTGCTGTCGTTGTGGCAAGGAACGCGGTCTTTGACAGCTTTCAAGTAAAACGCGCACCTGCGAATTCGCCATAAATTAGGCCCGCGTCCCGCATATAGGAGGATATATATTTAGTGCGACGTAGGGCCGATTTCTAAGCACTCAAAGCGTAGGCAGGATAAGCCGCAAGAAAAACGCGCCAAGCCTCAAGGCTATTACAGTGAAGACAAGGGATAAGGTACCCATTACGACTGAGAACTATGATGTTTTCGATTTAATTAGCCGTTTTTGGACCATTTCGAATAATTTAAAATTAAATTGTGCATCATCTTGTGAAGCAGTTTTTAATGTTTATTCTCTAAAAAAAATAATTAGACTTACTGTCATACAATAGAAATTTTAATTAAACGCAGACTCAAAAATTTACAGATTATTCACCTTGTTCATTCCGCTTTTATCAATATTCGGTTATATTTGTTCAACATTTTGAAATAACATTTTGACTAACATGACCATTTGCACCCAATACCATAGTAGTTCCTACTGAACCACATATTTTCAAAGCATATCTTTTGGTCGTTTATTGTCGTTTACTGAAAGCTGAAAAAACAAATTTATTATTTCAATGTAAGTTGAGTTAAATTTAAACTCCGAATCCTTTGTATTCGAATACTTTAATTTAATTAAACCGGATGCAGGTAGTAGTTCAAAGGTTGTCAATTGGTTTACACATTGGACATTTTATTTAATTGGATAAATTTTATTCGCTAATTGCGAAAGGTCAACAGAAAGGCAAACAAATACTTTTTATATCTTACTCTAACATTGTTCCTGTTTTATGTTGTTAAATTTGACCTTTGTAAAAGGTTTTAGATTTCAATCTCTAAACCATGAATAATAAACTTTATAGTTAATAGAGTTCGTGATTTTAATTATTTTTTCACAAAATGCCTTGTGTGCGAGGTCAAATTTATCAGATTTCGTGCCAAAATAAAATTACAATGTAAGTTACTTTTTCTCATTCCCTCCTAAATGTGTTGTAAACCTAAGGCTTCCCTTAAAACCACTTTAATGTGCTGGAAGAGCGGCGAAGATTAGCCCAATTAACGTATCTCCACTGTGGTCTCTCGGTTGTCTCCTGCCTGTCATTTTGGCCAGTTCGGGGAGTCAGAAGTCTGGCATGCGTGAATCGAGTTGATTCGAGTTCCTCCCCCCAAGAACCAACTTGCCTTACCCGCACCCCCCCATTGTTTTTGTGTGTATTTTGTGGTTGCTGGCCATCCAATTGGCTCTCCACGGATTTTGTGCTCTATTTACCTGCCTTATAAAAACACAATTTATTGCTGGACTAACGGTTTTCCTTTGTGTTTGGCTGCTGCCTCAGCTTCAGCTTCTGTTTTCTGTTTCCCGCTTTTGTTTCTTTTTTCATTTTCCATTTATTTTCTCCGCTTTTATTGTATTCCGCTGTTGCTGTTTTAGTTTTCGCTCTGTTTTGTCTCGTTCCCAACTTAACTTTTCCGTTCGGTGGGTCTGATTCTGTTCGCCCGGGGACTCCCCTTTATTGGCTTTCTGTATAAAGTTTTTGCGTGACATCAGCCATGGATATTATTCCGTTGGCTGCCATTTTGTTTGGCCTTGTTTGCCTTTTGAATCAATAAACTAGCCATGGAATCGGGAGCAGCTTCTAAATTATTGAAATGCAGCCGAGGTTTAGGCTTACCCCCAGAATTTTCCGACCGCAAAGGCCACTTAGCCAGTGGAAAAATCGCTCAAAAGCGGGAAACACTTTATGTGCAAGCAAATAATTCGGTTACCACTTATCCGGCTCACTTTCACTGCAGCTCCATAGTTTTTGGGCATATCTCTCGACAAAAGTTTCCGCCTCTCCAGAGC